TTTCCACGATGTGATGGCTTTAATACCGTTCCACATGCGCCGAGGGTCATCTTCCTCAAAATAACTCTTTAACCTGTCCCCGTAACTGCGCTTTGCAGATTTAATAGAACGTTTCAATGAGTAACAGGATAGCTTATAAGCAACTGTATCATTTGATTGAAACGCCAACACACGCTCATGAAGTTTCAGTTTCACTTCTGCGTTCATCCAAGGGTTTTGACTAAAATGTTCTTTAATGACCTTCTGTGGGACAAAACAGTCAATACAGAAGCGTATGTATCCAGACACCGCGTCACAGAATTCATTGACGTCCTCTGACTGAAACACAGACCAGTCCGTAGCATCAAAACAACCTTGTAGCTTCATGCTAGCCTCCTCAGACCAACACTGCACAGTGCGAGAGGTTGGTTTATGTTCCCTGCTCCTCTGAGTATATGAGGGAAGAAGGAGAACAGAGGAGTGGTCAGACTTTCCAAAAGGAGGTCTGAGACCGGACCTGTAAGCTCCCTTCACGTTACTGTAGCAGTGATCCAGAACATGTGCTCCTCTTGTAGCTTGTAGCTTCGAGAGTACAGTCTTTAAATTACATTTATTGAAATCCCCAGCAACAATGATGACTGCGTTAGGATGAGCAGACTCATGTTTGTGAAGGATCTCGCTCAGATCCTGTAGTGCTACAGTATAGTCCGCACGTGGGTGAATGTAAACAGCACATAAAAATATCACTGAAAACTCACGGGGAAGATAAAAAGGGCGGCAGCTCAAGACCAGGCATTCCAGATTGGCAGTACATGTTTGGTTCACGATGCGAGTGTCCGTGCACCAGCGCTGATTAATTAAAAAGCACACACCTCCGCCTCTGGCCTTGCCCGTGGTCTCCTTCACTCTGTACGCGCGGTGAGCGGTGAATCCCGGGGGCTGAACAGCAGAGTCCGGGACGTTCGAGTGGAGCCACGTCTCGCTGAGGCAGAACACAGCGCAGTCCCGGGCCTCGCGCTGGCTCTGGACCCGACACAGGAGCTCGTCCGTCTTGTTGGGCAGAGACTGGACGTTGGCCAGGTAGATGGAGGGCAAAGGGGTCCTGGAGGAGCGGCTACGAACGAGCAGACCGCCTCGCCTTCCCCGGTGTCTGCGCCTCCTTCGCCGACTCGAGGTGCCCAGCTCCACACCGCGGAGAGAACGCGAGAAGAGAATCCCCTCGCTCTGTTGCCGGCCACCACCGCGGCCCGCCTGCCGTGCTCCACCAGTCTCTCGAGGAAGTTTGTGCACCTCAGTTCAGGTAAAACGAGTGACAATTCACACGCGTGGTCCCGAATGTACAGAAGTATTTGCCGATCATATTTCACTGTGGCAAGTGAATCCCAGACGAAAAACAACAAAACAGATTGTGCGCACCAGAGCGTGCCGCCCGCGCATTCACAGGGCCTTTCTGAGTGGAGTTTGCATGTTCTCCCCGTGTCTGCGTAGGTTTCCTCCGGGTACTCCGGTTCCCCCTACCACTAAAAATATGTCCAATAGTTCTGGCATGCGCTTCCTGTACTGGCGACCCCGCTCCCATCTCTTTGTGGAGTGAGATACAAATGCCCAAAATTAACAATTGTAAACCGCTTTGAGACTCAGATCTGCAGTGAAAAGGCGGTATATAAATAAAAACTTACTTACTTACACTGCGGCGCCCTGACACGGCGCCATCTTGCTAGTCCTCATGCTCTCTCTCTCTAAGATTAAGATAGATTCCTGAATTCGTCGTAGTTTTACACTCTAATTGTCAGAGTTTCAACTTCAGATAAACATTGAAGGGACAGATCATTTTGAATTACATCCACATCTTTTATTTATGTCCCCAGACCATTGTGAGGTTTGCCAGTTTGTTACATGAAATTCAGTTAGTTTTGGCTTGTAACCAACAACAAGTATTCACATGTAGTTTCTAGCTAAACGCCAGCAGGTGGTTTGCATCAGTAATAAGGGCTTAGGAGCTACTGTACATGTGTAACAGGCAGAAGCGTGATGTACTGACTGTATTAAACGGCAGAGCATATTACACTGTCCATTTAAGTTTGAACACTCATTAGCATTTATACAATATCAAATAGGATATTTACTTGAAGGAGACATATTTCAATCCATAAATACTGCATTTGTTGCTGCCGGGTTTGAAAATGTCAATATTCCATCATAAATTACTGTTTGAATTCTCTGAAAACACCTGATTTTGTCCATCACGCAAAGCTCAATCCAGAACTAAACATGTTTTTATTGCGCGCACACTAAAACAATATTTTCAAAGACGACGAGAGACAAGTTTGATACCATGGAACATTCCAGGCAAAGCAATAACATCTTCCCAAAGATAAGCCGACTGGTACCTTTCACAAAAAACCCCTGAGATTGTCGAAACTGCAAAAATTAATAGTTACCTAATATAACTTAAGTTCTACGAATAGGTGCATAGTCCCTTAGCGGACTTCGCTAGTGGGATATCACGTGACCCCCAGGTCACACGCCAGAGAGATCAAAATAATTTGCTCCAATCACTAGCGACCCTCCTCTATAAAGGCCCCTGCACAAGGCCGCACCCCCTCTTGAACTCTGCCAAGCCGGGCTGGCCTGATGGGCTCGTAGCTAAGGGACTACGCACCTATTCGTAGAACTTAAGTTACATTAGGTAACTCTTAATTCTACGTCATGGTGCTACGTCCCTTAGCGGACTTTGCTAGTGGGACACGACACGGAGGCCGTAGGAACATGTACTCCCAGCAGGCCAGCGAAGAGTGATTGGAGCCCCGTCCGAGCAACCCTCACACAGTGAGAAGACTCAGGACAGAAACCAAATCCAAGCGTGTTACGGGGCCGCTCCTCCCAAGGACACCCCCAAGTAACACCGACCAAAAGTCACCCGTAGTCCCAGGACGCCTCTCTCAAGAGCTCCTGACGTGGACCATCCAACTGACCAACACCCCTAACACCGCACCTACAGGACGCCTCTCCCAAGAGCTCCTGAACTAGGGCGGAAGAGCAAACCGTAATCTCATAGACGAAGAACCCATGATTCCAATCAGTACGCTGCACCAAGCACGGAATGAGCCACCGACCGGTCCGACACATCCAACAGATAAGACCGGACAAAGGAAGAGGACGAAGCCCAAGAAGCCGCATGGCAAACGTCCTCCACCGAAGCCCCCTGAGGGGCGCACTCCACGCGTGGGTGTCAGGCCCTGAGCTTGATACGCCATCCGTACAGCCGAAGCGACCCAGTGTGCCAGACGTTGAGATGACAGCGGGGCGCCTCTGTTCTTGGGGCCCAGACACACAAACAGCTGATCCACCAGTCTGAAGGAAGATGTCAAGGTTAGGTAACGCCTAAGCATTCTGACAGGGCACAGCAGGTGCCGTCGCTCCTCCTCGGGGGAGGAGTGCGGCGGCGGATGGAAAGCCCTAATCCTGATCACTCTCGACCTGAAGGCCGAAGTAATGACCTTAGGGAGAAAAAGCCGGATTGGGCCACAACTCTACCAGCCCGTCCCCCTCTCCAAAGGACAGACAAGACGCATGTATGGAGAGCGCACACAAATCGCCCGCCCTCTTAGCAGACGCCAACGCCAGCAAGAGGGCAGTCTTAAAAGCAACACACTTGGGACTCGCCTCCGACACTGGTTCAAAGGGCGGGCCCGACAAACCCCTAAGGACCACTCTTAGGTCCCACACTGGGGGCATTCTCTGAAGCGGGGGCCTCTTCCTGCGGGCCCCCCGCAAAAAACGTTTCACCAAAGGATGAGAACGGGCCGTGAACCCATCGAAGCCACAGTGACCCGAGGTGATGGCTGCCGCGAACACCGCCAGGGTACCGACAGCCCTCCCTTTTTCAAAGAGTTCCTGTAGAAAGCCCAGGACTCCCTCCAAGGGGCAGTGCCTGGGATCCCAAGAACGAGCAATGCACCAGACGCTGAAGAGCCTCCATCTGGTGTCGTAGGCTCTCACCGTGGACGGCGCCCTCGCCCCCTGAATGGTCTCCACCACCGCCGGAGGAAGACCCAGGTCTACGAGGTTCCGCCTCTCAACCTCCAAGCCCAGAGCCTGCGGCCGATAAACTGGCGTGAGAACTTCCTCTACGTTCACTCCCTCACCCCTGGTCATGAGTTTTGTGTAATGACTGAAAGGATGAGATTGCGGATACAAGTGGTCCACAATAGCTTCCTCCGCAGAGTGGCTGGGCGCTCCCTTAGTGATAGGATAAGGAGCTCAGTCACACGGGAGGAGCTCGGAGTAGAGCCGCTGCTTCTCCACGTCGAGGGGAGATAGTTGAGGAGGCTCGGGCATCTGTTTGGGATTCCTCCTGGAAGCCTCCCTGGGGAGGTGTTCCGGGGACGCCCCACCGGGAGGAGACCAGGGGAAGACCCAGGACATGTTGAAAGGACTGTGTCTCTCAGCTGGTCTGGGAACGCCTCAGGACTCCTCCAAGTGACTATATTATGGAAAATACTTGAAACACAGCGCCGCAAATGGCGAAGTGGCACGCTCTGCCAAAACAATTTCCAAGTGGTAACTTTTGTTACTTACGTGGCAATAAAAATTATTCTGATTCTGAAATGTCCTAAAAAATAAAATGGGTAAAATGCCATAAAAGCCCAGGTGGCATTGGAAGGATGGGTCAAATGCAGAGGACATATTTCCCTATAGGACAATAAGGCGTTATGCGGAAACCTACGTAGACACAGGGAGGCAGAGAGAAAAAGAGAGAGACAAAGAGAGAGACAAAGAGAGAGACAAGAGAAAGAGACAGAAGTCCAGCCTCCCAAATTGTTCAAAACGTACAAGTTATCATGAAGTAAAAAACAATTAAGTTTATTAAATACACATTAAAACACCATTCTTATAAAATGCTATTGTGAAATAAAACAGGTAAAAGAAATTAAAACCTTTACAGACACATATATATATATATATATATATATATATACACAAACATGACAAAACAAGTACAGCAGGGTCCCAGTGTTTCAGGACAGCAGAGTAATAAGTGCATCCAGGAATTTACTTCTGTCCTCCGTTTTCAGCTCAATTACTGCAAAATATAGACATAAATGGAAATCACAAAAAATGCTAATAATATGAGCTAATATTTCATATAAAAATCACAAAATGTTATATAAGTCACCGTAGGGGACAATAAATAATGATTTTTTTTCTCGTGTAATGTCAACAACAATCAATCAACAATCAAGGGAAATGGAACTTGGAATCACTATCAACTATCTTATGCCACTTTTCCATTGTGACGGTACGGTACGGCACGGCATGGTTATTTTGCATTTTCACTAGGGTTGGGCATGGGATCAGGGTGCAGGGTCCTAAGTTATGTATTGAACTCGAAATAAAAACAATCAATGACAAAAAGTGACGCATCAGACCAATGTTAGTTACGCGTAAATTCCGTGGTCTGACAACCCCTCCCACGCTGAGGAGATACTTGGAGGTACTATTTTTAATGGAAAAGCACACACACTCGGCCGTGCCGTACTGTACTGTGACTATGGAAAAGCGGCATTAGTCAGGACTATACATGGGGTGGCAGCATTCCAGACTTATGCACTAGACTCTGGGTCTGGAATAGTAAGTAAAGTTCATTACAGGGCCGTACCTATATGACCGATCATCATCAGTCTTTTGTATGTGTTTTTACAGGGTGTTTTAAAAAGGGTTTCAAATGATGCCAATGTAAAGCACTTTGGGTTGTATTCTGTATGAACTGTGCTATACAAGTTGATTGAGTAAAGTAAAAATTACAATGAGACTAATTTCTTTGTCATTTCATGTTTTAGAATGTGTTTGTTTGTGATAGAAAATATATGGTGACACAAGTATGAAAGGTAAAAAAAAACCACTATGAGCCTGTAACTCCCTAATCCACCACCAGAGGGAGTTGGATTCGTTTTGTTTGTTTCACCAAAGAAATCACCAGAATGAATTCATGAGCCGTACTTTTGTTTTAAAAGGCAGAAAATCACAAAGAAGCTACAATTAGTAAAACATTTGGATTTCTCTTCTGTCTCAGTTTAATTCCTTGATTTTTCTGTAATAGATTGTGTATTATTATTAATAATAATATCATCATCATCACTACTTTACTTTCCTGGAGGTCCGTCTTTCTGTTCCGTTAAGTTATTTCATATTTAATTTTTATGGCACTCTAATTGCAAATTATGGTGTTTTAAGTGTTTATCTTTTGTTATTATTACAGAAGAAATGAACAAAGATTATATCCTTTTTATATTCTGTATGGTATGTTAACATTGTACATTGTCTTGAAAAAAAGAAGACATTTTGTAAAGCACAAATGACACAAACATCACTACAACGGATTTTGTTTTAACACATTAAATTATTAGGGCTTAAAGCTGGGGAACCAAGTTTAATTATAAAAACTAGTTCCACATGTGTTTGTCACATCTTCAGATCAGCTTTTTCAGACAAAAGTGAAAAAGAGAGGACCACCCTCACTCGGCTGTTTTTATCAGTTTATGAGAAAAAGAAAAGGTTGAGAACTCCACCGTTGCTTAGTAACTGAATATGTACTTAATAATACTAAAATGTTTAATTTCACAACAGATGAAACATTTAGTGTTTGTTTTTTGGGTCAAATTGTATCGTCTCATATTTCATTGATATTGAAATAGAATCCGTTTTATTAGACATTCTTTCATTACAAATATATAAAATGTATCTATGCACCAACTCTGAATCTGTTTAATATTAACAATTATTATCTCAAATCAGTGAAGTTTATTGAACAAGAGCGCCACCTGCTGACCAAACATTTATAACAAAAAAGCATAAGGAGAAAGTCCACCTCCTTCAAAGGTTTGGGTCACAAGAAACTCAGTGGGATTGCATTGAATAGAGTTATAAAATGTGTAAGAAGTATGAGGAAAGAGGCTACAAGGGGCATTTTTTACCTTCCATCTGACATTAACCTTCAGTTACTATTATTTTGGAGGGAGTTAAATACAATTGGGAGGACCAATAGCCTGGATCATCCACCCTGAAGTAAAAAAAATCTTCCTATATACCTAGAGTCTCTGTCCGCTGCTCTTTGTAAATGCACTTTATAATAAATAAAAACATGGACGTTACTCACTGGACGTGTCGAAGTGGTCGTGCAGAGTTCTGGAGCTGGTGCTCTCAGCCGCTTTCTCGAACGCCCTACCGAAAAAACTGAAAAGAAAGATCTGGCTTCATGAGAAATAAAGGCAACACATAAATGTTTACACCCAGTACACATAGCACCTGCCCCTCACTGATCCTCCTGCAGGTGGTGAGTCCACAGGAGCTGAGATCTTTCAGTTGGGGCTTTGGGCAAAGTAGGGTTAAGTGTCTTGCCCAAGGACACAACGACACTAGTCATCAGTGGGAGTCGTGAAGTAGGTCTTATGGTGGGCTCGAACCCACGACCTTCAGGCCCAAAGGCCAATGCTCTACACACTGAGCTACTGTCGTGTACTGGGTGCAGCTCTGACTGCCACCCCCCCCCGACCCAGAAATGGATTAAGGGGAAGAAAATGGATGGATGGATGGATGGACATAAATGTTTATAATATTATACTGTATGTGTAATACATCTCTTATGTATTTGAATATTCAGTCATTTCTCTAAAACGCAGACTCTCTAAAAAAAACTGACTTTTTCTTATCGGACGTTTCTGACTCCGGAGGGATTCCGACCACGATGACTGTTCCTTTCTCCACGTCTTTAGGAGCCGCCATGATCAGAGGCAGGAGTCTGCAGCGCTTGTTCCTCGTCTGTTTCACACAATAATATTATTATCCTGAATAATCCTTAATGCTGATCAATGACAGAGCGCTCACAGAGTGGATAAAAGCCTTGAGCAGGTGCTTGCTCAGCAGCGTCAGCGACAGAGGCTTCGAATACAGCTTCACGTCAGGTGTTCCCTGAAAAACACAACAGAATGAATGAATGATTTCACTTATGGCCACAATGAAGACTGGGCTCTTTTACTTAAGTAAACACAGAGCAGTGTGTAACATGTGTTCATGAAACACACACACAAACACACACCTCCATGAGGTAGCAGTAGAGGAAGGGGCCCTGGGACAGGATGAGGTTGGTGCAGATGCAGCTGGCCACAGTTTGTTGAATCGCCATCAGTTTCTTTTTGGCCAAGTCGATTCCTGAATGAAGGCGCTCGAGGTTACTCCTGTAAAGAAAGTTTGCATTAGTCAGATATAATAAGCTATAATTCAGTTGTTTCAGTTTGAGCAGCCACAGACCTGGAGAGAGAATCCAGAGCTTTGATGAAGTTATCTCCGTCGCTCTCGTCCTTCTCTGAGCTCTCCAGCAGAGCGGATGTGGCGTGGACCATGTCATTGGCCAAGAAGCGATTCTTAAATCCAAAATGGACCCCGAAGGTTTGGATGCGTATGTCCTTCATGCTGCAAGAGCCAGGTTCAGTCTGAATCATTCATTTCAACAGTAAAAACAGAGATGTTAGTCAAATACCCGTATTTGTTGGAGGATTCTTCAATGATCTCCCTCAGGTTCTCTTTGATGGACAGGTCCATGGAGTTAAACTTCTGCCTCACTTGTTTCAGAGGTAAACTGCACAAAATGTTAAATTAAAATAAATCCCATAAACCTCATGATTATAGTTCTCAGAACACACCCCATGTCTGCGAGGAACTCCTGAAGCTTCTTCTGCCCATTGAGAGTCCAGAGTTTGAAATGACAGGAGGTGTAGCAGGAGTTACAGATGCTCTCGTACAGAGACCAGTGCTGGTACAGAGTCAGACGCAGACTTTGGACTTTGTTAAAGAAACGTGGAGAACATAACATCCAAGAAAACACTGAGACGTTACAGAGAGAAGGATACTCGTACTCGAAGGAGATCCTCATGCAGTCGATGGACAGAGAGTTCTCCTCGTCCTCGTTTCTGTGACTGTGTCGAGACACGTGTCGTTGTAAAGTTGCTACATCTGTGATATACTTCATACTGCAACAGACGCGTTTAGAATCTTATAGATACATTTTAACCCAGGATTTATTCTTAACATACAAGTGAACAACTCTTACTGTGTGATTTTATCATGCACCCACTGATCCGTCAGACCGATAACAGCCCACCTGAGAAAAACCACCATTAGAAAGTTGAAATGATAGCAAAATTAGTTTTAAAAAGCAACATTTACCAGAGCATGTCTTTGGTGTCTTTGGTCAAAACCCAGGAGAGTTCAAAAAACATCATAGAGGCCTGAAGGAACAAGAGGACATTATACTTCAGAAGCACTCAGAAGTAGTATCAGAGATCTGCAGCATTTATTATCGACAGAGAGAGACACACACACATAAAGAGAAACAAGTACAGAGACAAAGACAGACAGAGAGAAACACACAAACACACGGAAACAGACACACGCACAGTGACACAGATAGACACACACACACGGAGACACATACAGAGACACACACACACACTTCATTTGAACTCACCGAAGTCCCATGATATTCATATTGCTCATAATCAAAGAGGATTTCCCTTCTGTAAAACACAAACACGTTCATTACAGACGTCTCTCTTCATGTGAATAATAAAGTTACTGTACGACCTCCGTGCCTCCCACTCCCTCTTGGCTCGCTGTCGTTCTATTCTTCTCTCTAGCGCCCCCTGTCCAATCAGGTGAAAGCATTTAGACTTGAGGACACGCCTCTTCACACACAAATACAATTCATAAATGTTAAAACCTCATCAAATCTCCGTCTTTTCCCCGAGGGCTCCGAGCCATCCTCGCTCTCGTTCCCAGAGTCCTCTTCCTCGTCCTCTTCGTCTCTGAAGATGTCGTCATACGTCGGCACTCCGAGGTCGTCGTCCTGTTTGATCAGCAGTTTGACCTTGAGAGCGAGAGAAGATCCAAACGTTACAGAGGTAATAGTAAATCAAAGTGGTTATTTTACAGCGCAGGTTCTGAAGATCTGCAGCTGAAACATTATCCAACTCATTAACACATTAACCAACTGTTGCCAAATATACTTTTTAATTCATTTTAGTTTAGCCCTAAATCACAACAGCTCGAAGGACTTTACAAAGTTGTCCGCTCAACAGCAACAGATCAGAGAATCAAACAGTTCTGACACAAGAAATGTAATAATAACAGAGACATAGAATCCATTGGTCCAAAGGGAGCGGGATGAGCCATGTCCATAAATGTTTATAAATGTGCTTAAATGTCCTGGATCATCATCATCCTCCTGCATCAGCAACGACTTAAGAAAACCCAGTGGGAGAAAAAGTAAGTTTCTTACTTTTTCTTGGGGAGACCCACAATGAGAGAGGGATCTGCTCCCACAGAACGATTATAGATCCATAACTCAGTCCTAGTTCAAAAGACTGAGGCTGTAAAAGTATGTAACGACATTTTGAACTTGCTGTCCTTCTTTATTGTTGTGTTACCAACTCAATGTCTTCCTGAAAATGTGAGACAGGCTTCTTCTCTGACAATGTTCAAATCCAGGTTAAAAACGGTCCTGTTTAGCTGCGGACAACTAAGGGATTTAATCTTCACTTTTTTCATAGTAAGGTGATTACTTGGAATTCCTTGTGTGATTGTTTAGGAAGTGCTTTGAGTTGTGTATTAACTGTGCTATACAAATAAACTTGCCTTGCCTTAAATGAAACGCAGTGTAGGTGTAGTGAGTACCTGGCTGTCGTTGTAAACGTTGACCACATCCACAGGTCTGTGAGTGTCGCAGACGAAGAACACACTGTCGTCATCGGGCTGCAGCATCTCCAGGAGGTCCACGTTCGCTCCGCAGTTTATCAGAACAAAGAACCGGAACTAAAACACACAAATAATTTTAAAAAGGTCAACATGAAGTAGAGCTGTGATACTGTTTTTGTACATTTGAACCATCTGAGCTTTTGCTTCAGAAAGACTGAATACGTTTTTACTGGAGGTTTACTATTCTTGATTTGAGAAGATTCATTCAAAAATATCTTCAAAAAGGAACATTTTCTCACTCATTTGTTGCTACTTTTTTTAACTAAAGCGTGTTGATGGTCTTATCTTTTTGCTTTGAGCGCAAGACTGATAATAGTAGGACATTCTCATCTACGCAGAGTGATACAGCTGATATTGGGTCATTACCTGCTCTTTATGCTCGAGGAAAGCTGTGCCCAGATCCTGCCATCCATGAACCGGCACCAGCGTGTATTGGACTTGGTCACAGTGAAAAAGAGCCTGGAGGAAATAATAACAGAGTTAAAATTACCTGTTAAATGTTTGTGGCTAAGTAAATATAAATGTAACACCTCCCTCTGCTGGTAGAAGTGGGGAATTTCATGTCAAAATATATCTTTCACACTTGCATACAGCTTTATATTTTCTACTATAGAAATGATTATGGATTCTAACGCACAAGTGAAGAGTCCTTTTCTTCTGTTTAAGGCTCAAACACAATGCTAATCAGTACTTAATGAAACAGGACAGTCCCAGTAAATAATACTAGGTCAAAATACTTATGTGCAAGATTTTTTACATCGTCTTTCCTCCTCCTCTGTTGATTTTCTTGGCAAAACGATAAAACCATATTATTCCACTTAATATGTTATTTTCTATGTTGACGTTTTTACTCCTGCATTCAGGGGTTTTCCTTCTAAAACAATTCAAACACAGTTCATTTTTTGGGCATAACAAATGACAATACATTGGAAATTGGAAAATTGGTTCTAAATATACACAATTGAGGCCAAATCAATGGTACATTTGGGGAAAACACATGCATCTTTTACCTGGAGTATCTTACACGCACAGAGCGCGTCAATATCAGCGGCGACGAACAGCGCAACTCTCTGTGGAAAAACAAAACATAAATGTAATGTTGAATCGCAGCAGCTACAGGTCAGGTCACACTTAAGATCAAGCATATTTTATCCATTATGAACGATGAGTCGATAGTAGTTGTGCGAGAAGAGACACTTTGATTGTAAGAGCTTACAGATATAGTTTACAAAAGTAACTGGTTAATGTAGTAATTAGTCAATTTATCTTTGTACAGTCCTTATTCACAACAACAGTTGTCACGGAGGAGGACTTTGCAAAGTTGTTGATTTGCCAACAACAGATCAGAGAATGACAGAAAATGCAACACATAGGAGGCATTGGTGCATAGAGAGCAGGTTAGCCACTGTCGAGAATTTATAATAAATGTCCTGGATCATCACTGTCCTGACTGAGACCCTTCTGGATCAGCAAGGAACAACTCTTAAAAATAAAAACAGTGGGTAAAAAGCACGGATTATTATTATTAATGGAAAAAGTGAGAAACTCCACATTGAGAGAGGGCTGTAGAACCAGGACTCCGGCTCCCAACACTAGCTATAATTCTAGTAAAAGAATAAAAAACATGTACAATGTTGAAAATAGTCAGGCCAGATTTAAAGCCTGTATATACCAATCCTCTTAGTTAATACATTCAGTTTGTCCAAAAGAAATTTCCTTGTAAACGCAGAATGAAAATTGTTTATCTGTTGCAAAGAAACGAATTAAAAGCTGATTTAAAGACATGACAGAGGCCATGATACATGCATGAAAACAAGTGTTGGAACCAAATAGTCTTAGAACCAGGAACTAGTGATTTTAGCGTTAGTTATTATTAATCAATGTTTAAGTGTTTTGAAAAATAGGTACCCCAGCTTTAATACCACCAGTCTCTCGAATTTGATGCCCCTTTAGACACGTTTTGAAGACCTTATCTCTGGCTTCATTAAATGTATTACCCTTTTAGAAATGTGTGTAGACTTTGGCAGCTGTCCTGTCACTCACACACACACAAAGCTCCCCGGTAACACACACAGACTGTATATATTAACACAGATAAGTTAGCTAGCCACTCACCTGGTTGGACACCACTTCGTAAAACTCTTTTCTAATGTCCGTGACAAACATGTTGAAGGCTGCGTGTGTGTAAAAGTGTAAAATTAAGTTAAAATAGACTTAAAACACGGATAAAACCAGGAGAATGTTTTCGTGTCGCTGCTACTTCGCGTTTGTTTCCCGTGGCGCCAAATCCAGAGCGCGCGTCCGACCAATCACAGCTGTCTACGTCACTACGTCACTAGTCACAGCTCTCTGCGTCAAAAAGCCGCATTTCCACCAGCCCTACCTGCCCCTACTCTACTCGGCTCTAGTCTACTCTACTCTACTCCGAATGGGAGCGTTTCCACCTGGTTTCCACTCAACATTGTAGTGATAATGATAATGCTATTTTTAGAGCACTTTTCATAAACAATGTTTACAAAGCGCTGCACAATCAGCATAGACAATAAAAACAGGCAAAATATAATATAAAGTCAAAATAATTAACAGTGAATATAGGAAAACAAAGCATATAAAAACACAAGAAGAAAGACAAAGCAGACAGTAAAATACAACAGGTGAAGTTTAAAACTAACTAATAGTGGGTTCAGACCAGAACGAGCTTTAAAAGTAATCAGTACAATCTGAAAATCAATTCTTAAATGCACAGGGAGCCAGTGGAAGGACGCTAAAACAGGGGTGATGTGCTCCCTTCGGTTAAACCAGTGGGGAGTCTGGCTGCTGCGTTCTGGTTCTGAACCAGTTTGAGGAGTGGGAGGGATTTAGAGTTAAGACTGGAAAGGAGTACCATTCTTAACTAGTATGGTACTTATTTAGTACTTGCTTGGTCCTGGTTTGAACCTGGCTAAATTGGTCCCATAAAGGCTAAGCTGGTACTAAAATGTTTTAATTGTCAGTGATAAGCCAGGGTGCTGCTGGAAGCCATGGTTACCAAGCAATTTCCATGTACAATGGTTTGTTATGAGGAGGTTGCCACAATACCAGATGAGTGTAAAGGAAACGCAATTAGGTAGAGTAGAGCCGTGTAGAGTTGGGCCAAAAAGAGCTTGTGGAAACGGGTCACAAGTGTTAATAAATTCATAGTAATATATGTAAAATAATTATTTAAAAAAACACATATTTCTAATCTTTATCTTGAACTTGTATTGTAGACTTCTGTTTGTACCTTTGCTCCCAAAACAGTTTGGTTACTAACACTAGCTTTTACATTTATGTATTGATTTATGTTGTGAAGAAAAATCTTACCTTATTTATTAGGAATTTGAGGTCAGTAATAGCAATCCCCCCAAATATAACTGAGTTTATCAAACTAGTTTTTCACGCTCAAAAGAGTTCTATCATTTTATTTTCACATGCGTTTATTTTTTATCTCTGTCACAAAGAGTGTGAATTGTAAAGAAGAATCTTTACAATTCACACTCTTTGTAACAGAGAGTGTGAATTGTAAAGAAGAATCTGTGAGCGTAAAACCGTAAGACTTATTTATTAGGAAATTAAGATCAGTAGTAGTTAATAGTTAATTCAAGGAAACTTAAAATTGTGGAAAAGAGCCTTAAAAAAACGATACGGACCCAAAAACACAAAGCAAAGTAGCGTCCACTGGGGGGCGCTCACACTTCTGTCTGATAACGTCAATATCTTACTGTACCAGATCTGTCTGGTACAGAAGAAACCAAATAACTTAATCACTTCACTTCTTTTTGTAGTGTATGGGTGGTACTATTTCTACATTGTATTGGTCCCATGTCATGTGTATGCGCACTGTTACCTCAGGTTGTCATGGTAACCTTGTAGCGTCAGTTACCGGTAATTCTTCAGTAAACTAACGTTCAAGCTGAAACCCATCTCCGAGTCTTCTTCCATGTTCATTTCATACTATGTTGTATAAAAGACACAACACTTTTTATTCAAATCTGTGCCATCACTGGTCTTATAGAGACCGAGGAGTGTGAACGCGCCCTAAAAACATGATTCCATTTCATCTGACAAAGATAAACGTACAATTGATGAAAACATTAGCACATATTTTCCAAAAAGAAAAACAAATGAATGTGAACAGAGCATTCGTTTCAGGGGGCTCCCACATTTATCAATCGGAGAGCTACTTTTATACAACAGAAGAGGCAGAGAGCTACTCCTTTTTCGCAGTCGTCATAAAAATGTAAGTAAGAATTAAGACAAGAGAGAAAACACATGGAGAACACAGGTGAATGAAACGATAATATTGTATAACCCTACATTCAATTCAATTAGTTACGTTTATTGTTTATAAATTAAATGTATTCTTGTGTAGCCCTAAATCACAACAGTAATTATCTCAGGGGACTTTATAAAACTGTTGAATTTTCCAACACAGATCAGAGAATCAAACAGTTCAGACACAAGAAATGCAATGGGAAAAACACATAGAGCCATTGGTCCATAAGAGGCAGAAGACCAATGTCCATAAATATTGTTGAGTGTCAAGTGTCCTGTGTCCTCACCACTGTCCTTAGACCCTCCCAGTATATTTAAACATACAATAGATAAGTAATGGCTCAAAATGTGTGTTAAATTCTAAATCCTTTGGGGAGCTACAGGTTGGAGACCCCTGAAACACATCAAAGTGACCAGAGAGATAAAGACAGGCAGCATGCGGTCAAAAACCTTGTGCGTCATCTGTAAAAATCAGACTAAAACAAACACGAATAAGAGCACAGACCCCGATAACGTGCAGAGTTTTTCATTCCGAACAATTACAACAAAGTAGAAAAGAAAGGCACGATGTCTTTGTTTTTCTCTGTTACACTTTGCCTGAAATTTCTGGAATTCACCAGATCAGAAACGGACACACAGCAGAGTTGCGTTGACCTAAAAACCAGGATCTGACGACGGATAGGACGATATCAAATTTGCGTTTTAGAATTCATTCCTGTAACTGCAGACGAGGTATTAAAAAAACTGCTGTGCTAACGACCTGTGTGAGAGTAACTGCGTGAGATGAAACAGTCTTCCTGAAAATGTGAGACAAGCTTCTTCTATGACAAACTAGTTCTGTACATAACTGAGGGATTGTATCTTTACTGTTTGTAATGTACTGTGGTTATTTATGCCTTGTGTGTTATAACTATATTTACCATAGGGGTCACTGTATTTAGGTATTTAGGATTCACTGTTAGTATCTTTGGGTAGGATCTTCTTGCACCACTGCTTTTAAGATGTATATCTAATTGATGTTCGTTTCAATAGACATTCTTCGGTAACCATTCATCACCCAGACCTATTTTCTCTCAAGTAAATTCATGATAAAACACAAAAACTGTGTCTAATCTTGCAGAGTGCACTGTAGGGTACTTGTATGAGTTTATTACGAGTATTTTTCACAGCAGTTAAGGCTGTTTTTGGGTGCTTCCCACTGCTACAAAGACTAATTAAAGCTGGGGTACCTAAGTCAAATGTGTTTTCCCGACATTTCCCGACTTGTTGTAATTTTTTAATTTTCATGATTTTTGTCCAAACATTAGATTCTCACTCTGGAACCCCATCAAAAACCGTTCCGAATTTTCCCATTTCATGCAAGTTCAAGTACCATTTCCACCAGCCCTACGTGGCACTCAGCACTCTGGCCAATCACAGTCAGTTAGAACCCTTTAGGACCAGCTTGAAATGGATGGAACCAGGACCAAGCAGGGACAAAAAATGTATCTGGTACCAGTTAAAACAGGGCCGGTGGAAACGCTCCCGATCAGAGTAGAGTCGAGTAGGGCTGGCTGGAGGACCTTTTTCCACATACAAACTAAAGCTGGGGTACCTATTTTTGTAAGTCTTCACAAATAATACATTTTGTTTGTGTTGTTATTATAAAACGTATTATCTTTTGCATACTCTCAGCCCTGTGAGGCACTATTTGACTCTTTGGGCTGAGAGATGATTGGCTGAGTGCGAGTGGTCCTTTCTCTTTTCAATCTGAAAAAGCTGAACTAAAGAAGTGACTGAGAAGAAAATACATGCACGTGAAAACTAGTGATAGCACCGAACAGAAAAAAAAAGGCTAGGATTGTAGTACATATTAAAAGTTAGGTACCCCAGCTTTAATTGAATGATTCAAACCCGTTATCATTCTAAAACATAAACATGGGTTTTTGCTTTCACAGTTTCAAGTGTAAATGTATGTGCTGTGTGTGATATTGTAGGAGGAAACTTTTTTTTTTTTAACTCTTCTTTCAATTTACTGGTGAATTTGACAGATCAAAAATGCAGGGGATCAGTTCAGATTTGTGACGTTGTGTAGAAATAGAAGTGCACATTATGGACAGCTCTACAGAGGCAGGGTGTAGCTGAAGTCGGTGAGCTTGCGTTCCTGAGCAGACGGAACATTCTCTCTGTGGCTCAGGGGCCGGTGGCAGTCCGGGTCCTGGAGGGCCGGGAAGTGCTGCCGGTAACAGAGCCACGCGAAGGCCAGTCCCAGGACCGAGCCGACCACCACATCTGCGGGACACAAGAGAGCTTCATACAGACGTTCATATTGAGTACAAAACAGTCACACCCATGCATTAATATAGACTTAATATTGATCTAAAACAACTTAAATAAAACCACTTCAAAAACCACTTCCTGGAGTTGTTTTTAGACCCATTCAGTCTTATCAAGTTCTTCTGGCACAAACATTTAACTAGAAGTAGATGAGGTGGGATCATAGACTGCATGAGTGGAGTTTGAATGTTCTCCCCGTGACTCCGTAGGTTTCCTCCGGGTACTCCGGTTTCCCCTACCCCTAAAAACATCCTCCAGCTCTGGTCCTGGCCAAGCCGAGCATCAACATCTGGAGATGGGTTCCCGGGCGCTGTTACTATGGCGACATAAGCCTTAGCGGCATCAGGATGGGTCAAATGCAGAGGACAAATTTCCCTACAGGGATGAATAAAGTGCACTTTCACCTTTACCTTTACCGTTACCTTTGTATATAGTTGGACAATGCTAACCTGCTAGCCCAATGAACCTTAACAAACAAGAATTGCCCCGACAAGCTATATAAAATACCAGTTTCAATTTCTAAAATGACTGACAAGCATCAAGACCTGACTAGAACCAGGAAGTATGATCACATCGTGTGGCTTCACTAACTTCCTTCCTATGGCTCAGAGAATAGCCATAGGAGCTCTGCTTGTTGCAAGTCTCTCCACGGTCTCGTACCAAAGCACATCTGTGACATGTTCAGAATCAGAATCCTTTTATTGCCATGTGAGTAAAAGGAAACCACATCTAGGAAACGGCTTTGGCTCTTGGTGCAGAAAAAAAACAAGAAGGCATGCATACATAAAAATCTACATGAAGTGCGGTAGAGTGCAGTAAAGTGACGGTCATAAGGCTGTCAGGCTGTACAACGAGAATGTATAACAAGAACTGCTGAGTCTCTAAAAGTGTCATTGATCATAATTCACTAGTTACTTTATCACTAGTCACTTTACCTGTTGATATTATTACTGATGTTTATTCTGCTCATAATCTCCGCTGCTTAAGAACAATGGGCCTCATTCACGAATAACTTCGTAAGAAACTACTCAACTTTCTTCTCAAGTTGTCCTTAAGTAGATTTCTAAGAAGTCCCCACGTGGGATTCATCAACGCACTCGTAAGCCGCTGAATTGTTCGCAGCTGTTCTCTCAGATTGATGAATCCCATTTCCTCGTAAGTACAGCGCGCGTGCCAGGTGCTTCATTACCATAGGTACTTAGCATAAGTAACCGCCCACTAATGCCCATATAAGGGAGTGCAGGGCCGTGTGCAGACGGCAGAGGAAACAGCAACAGGCCTAAAGCAAAGAGTTACACTTCTTTTACCAGACTGAGAATAAAGTTATAAAATGTTGACTTAAAAGTCGAAATATTATGATAATAATGTCGAACTAGCAAAATTATGAGATTAATCTAAGAATATGATGAGATTAATCTCAAAATGTTATGAGCTTAATTTAAAAATATATTATGTATTATTTTAAAGATGAATCTCAAAATATTTTGGACCCTGGGAGGAGATCCAGCGCGGACCAGCGCTGAGATCAATGCAGACCAGAGGAGAGACTGGAGTGACCAGCACACAGAAACCAGCGCGGACCTATAGGAGAGACCGCATAGACTGGAGTGACCTGACTGGAGAGACCGGTGCGCAGAGACCAGCGCGGACCGAAGATAGACCGCATAGACCAGACTTGAGAGACCAGCGCGGACCCGTATGGATCCAGGAGCATGCAGCACGGACCCGTATGGAGAGAGACCAGTGCAGACCCGTATATGGGAGAGACCAGTGCAGACCCGTCTAGATCCATGGGAGAGACCAGTGCAGACCAGTATAGATCCATGGGAGAGACCAGTGCAGACCCGTATAGATCCATAGGAGAGACCAGTGCAGACCAGTATAGATCCATGGGAGAGACCAGTGCAGACCAGTATATGGGAGAGACCAGTGCAGACCCGTATAGATCCATGGGAGAGACCAGTGCAGACCAGTATAGATCCATGGGAGAGACCAGTGCAGACCCGTATATGGGAGAGACCAGTGCAGACCCGTATAGATCCATGGGAGAGACCAGCGCAGAGACTCAGCGCGGACCCAGTAACCTCCTGCAGCAGCAGTATATATGCCGTTGTTCTGTGGCCCGTGGATAAAGAAATGCCCCCTATAAATAGGAAGGGGTCACTAATACACGGCAAGATTTCCAATGTATTTGATAAAGCGTTGGCACATTTCATTTCAAAATGAATTAAAAAGTAGGCCAGATCTGCAGTGAAAAAGGCGGTATATAAATAAAGATTACTAATAAAGATTACTACAAATAAATAAATACATACATCGATATGACGGGCATATCACTGGAATGTTGTATTTTTATTCAACTTCACCAAAGAGGACAACCCCGGCGTGTGAACATGTCGGCACTGAATGCGTACGAGTGCTCCTGAGGACTCGTAGGATTTGTACTTGCCCAAGAGAAATTCTGGTTACGAGAAATATTCGTGAATGCCACTTTCTTCGTAAAAACCGCGTAAGTAGGATTTACGTACAAATCTGTTCCTAAGAACCGTTTGTGAATGAGGCCCAATATACACATCTGTAAATACTGCTGAACCAAGTGCAATTATAGCTCCAGATTTTTATTTTATTCTATTCTTCTTATTTAAATTATATTGTCCATCATTTTAAGTAATAGACTATTTAATGTGTGCAAGCTGAGTGCTGTTATTTACTTCTTTCTCTGCTGTAATGTGCGCAACGATGACACTGACATTTCTCCACTGTGAGACGAATAAAGGAGTATCTTATCTAATCTTATCTTAAATGGGCAGAGGTGTGTTCATGAGTGCCAAATGAACCAACTCGAACGCTGAGGAGCACAGGGACTGGCCTCCTGCTGGAACCTAGAGTCAGGACCAAACATGGGGAGGCGCCGCTGCTTTAGACCAGTGGTGATTTGCTCGTGTTTCGGACCTTGCCAGTGGTGTTTGTAGTCACAGGTTCTGGACAGAGCGATCACGGTGGCCACGAGTAACGGACAGAGGAACGCACAGAGACGCCACGATCGGCCTTTTCCCACCGAGCTGAAGCAGTGGAGTTTTCCCGCGATGTAGAAAGCCGTGAACCCAAGTCCTGCAAAAGCAACTGGGAGAAACAACCAGAGAGACAGACGGTTATTCACAGGCAAAAGTCAAAAACAAAACTATTCTTGAGATATTTCTCTTGTATCCAGAGATATTTTACGTGATTTACTGTTTAAATAATTTAGTTTTTACTGTCGTTTATCATTTATTTTCCTAAAAAAAATTCTGCAGAAGTGGATTGAGTCAAATTTACAATGTTTAAACTTTTGATAATATTAAAATAGACACTTGATAGCATTATTCCTTTACTCCACAGACCACCACTAATCATTCAGGCACACATCAGACACAATGTGGGTGAAGTGTCTTGCCTAATGACACAACAATAGTATTGTACTTTACAGCCGAAGCCTGTATTAAATAAAAAACAAAAAACAACCTAAAGTGGTAGCACAGGTAGTTGCAGGTGGAAAGCATTTTTTTCTCTCTTTCATAGTCGTTTCACCAAATATTTTCAACTTATTGATAATATTTATTGATATCTTACTTCTTTATTCTGCTAAAGCTAGAGATTTTAATACTTGCTTCGTTATTATGTTAAAATTGGAGATTTTAGACTTGCTTCTTTATTATGCTAAAGTTAGAAATTGTTATACTTGCTTCTCTATTATGCTAAAGTTAGAGATTTTAGATTTGAAATTGCACTTACATGAAGAATGTCCACTGGGGAAACTCTTTCTGCCCTCGATGACAGAGTCTGGGTCTCCAGTGCAGCGCAGCTCTGGGTTCTCATGGCCGTCGGGGAAACAGCGGTGGAAGAAGTCTGGTCGAGGCCTAAACCAATCACAAACTCCGTCACTGTGAGGTCATTCAAAACCCAAAGGGGACGGGGGTACTGTGTTCTCTTTCTCGCTCTTACCTGCCAACAATCAGCTTGATGACATTTGTGAAAACTCCATTTAACACCAGGGTCAGAGACACAGCTGAAGAAAGGGCAGGAGAAAACAAGACAAAAGACATTAATTATTAACTTAACAGTGGTCTTTCGGTCTGAGCGCTACTGCAGCTGTCAAAAGCTGTTTATACACTGCAAAATACAGTTTCAGAGGACAGAGGGGCAGGAGCAGGACTGAGGGCTACGGGGAGACCAGAGAGGGAGACGAGAGAGATCAGGGAGAAAGATCAGAGAGAGACCAGAGAGAGAGACAAGAGAGGGACCAGTGAGAGACCAGAGAAAGAGAGACCAGAGAGAGAGATCACAGAGAGACTAGAGCGAGACCAGAGAGAGACCAGAGAAAGGCCAGAGAGATAGGCCAGAGAAAAAGGGACAAGAGAGAGGGACCAGTGAGAGACCAGAGAGAGAGAGACCAGAAAGGCCAGAGAGATAGCGGTTATATGATGTTGTATATAATTTTGTTGGACTATACACGGTGTATGAGAAGCACGCTGTAAAAAAGCACACAAATTTGGGAAAAATCAGTGATGCAGCGAAAAATATATTGTTGTAACAGACTCTCACCAAGACAGGCCTCTTTGAAATCCCCATGTTGTGTCCTCTTCATGAGTGTGAAAGCAAAGATGACAAGGATAGGGGTGAAACAAGCGATAGTCTGGAAGAAAAGTTTGCATATGATTAATTGCATGTCGTTTTGGAAGCCGCGCCAACAAGGGAAGTAATAGGTTGCGTTCATGTGACATCACAACATTCCAAAGAGCTTATAGTTTAACATTGTGGTGGAGGGAACTCTCTCCAGGTATTCATGTCAATAGAGCTGATTTCTCTGTTATACTAGGGCCAACCCACATGAGACAAATTATTCTCTCATAAAAGGTGTCTAAAAGTGGTCTCTCGCGCACTCTCTCGTTTCTCGCGGGTCTGTCTGTGCCCCAGTCTCTCTCTGCCCCAGGTCTCTCTCTCTCTCTCCCGTCTCTCACTTCCCGGTTTCTATATCAACTTTTGTCTATTATTGTCTATTATTTTTAACTATTTCTTGAAGCAGCTTTGAAAATTTCAGCATTTCTTTCAGATATTGTATGTTTCCCACAGAGGTAGTACTTGTCCCTGCCTTTCTACTAAATATACTTCTACAACACAAAGGCAACCTATTAAAGATTGACAAACAAGAATGTGTCTTGAAATTGACCTACAAACATGAGAGAGGTGGGGACATGATCCGCCTCGACATGGTGGAACTTATAGAGCCACATCTCCTCTGCCTGGATCTGACGCGTAAATGGAGGGAGCTGCTCCGTCACACTATGAACACAGAGCACACACATGAAGTGAAAAATGTAAACTTGAAGAATTGGCAACTTTCAAACCAAGCATGCACAAGTGAATGTTTTCTAAAAAGATAGAGATAGAAGGTTGTGGTCTGATGTATGTTACTTTTCAAGACTCTCACTGTTACAATTTCATAATGTCAATTCATTATGAAAAAAAGTTAAACTTTTAAAGTTATAAAACACAGGGGAGTCAAAGTTGTAGCTTGTCATCTCCTTCAAGGTAGCTTCTCAGAGTATTTAGAAATAAAATTAGATATTATACTGAATATTTGAAATTATGATTCACTTACTTTGAGCATTAGTAACAAATATGTGATAAATAATGACCTCTGATAGTGACAGTCTCGCTCTGACTCACTTTCTCCGACATATCCACTATTATTTCCAGGACTGCTTAAATAAGTGGCTCTTGGAGACCCCTGAGTGACAGTATGGATGATAACTGTGTTATGTAGAAACTCACAGGAAAATAAGCAGAAGTCCGATACGGACTAAAACCTCCAAGAGGAAACCATCCAGTCGTCTCCTCTTCATTCTGACCAACCCTTGGATCTGCTTCAATCATCGGCACACAGTATCTGCTCCAAACAAAAATATGTTTACAGCTTTAGATCAAACAATGAATCAAAAGCAGATCTTTCAATGGCATTCTGACAAATTTTATTGGCAGCAGAGCAAAAAAACACTAAAGAATATGGACTATGACTAAACATGAATCACATTAAAACAGGGTGACAACAGCAAGAAGGTTCAGGTTTCCACCAGCCCTACTCAGCCCTACTCAGCCCTACTCAGCCCTACTCAGCCCTACTCAGCCCTACTCAGCCCTAGCTGCGTTTCCCTTACGCTTTAGCATTTGGTACCGTATTCAAACAAATCAGTATCCATGAACATTCCTTAGTAAGCATGACCTCCTCTGACCAATTCTGTTTAGAATCAGGGCCAAGCAGGTACTAAAAAGTACCTGGTACTGGTTAAACAGGGCCGGTGGAAACGCCCCCAATCAGGGTAGAGTAGATTAGAATAGAAAGCAGGGCTGGTGAAAACGGGGCTCATGTCCAACAAAGAAGAATCCATATAAACATTACAACATTTACATAGGGTAAACAAAGGATAATTTACAGTCAATACTTAAACATAAACAACTTAATTATGTTTAAATTAAATATATAGTGAACTTTTCATATACACTTCATCAACCGGTAAAAAACCCATTTTATATGACCTTGTATTTTTATGATGGACTGACAGGTGTTGGGACAGCTGGCATTTTAAGAAAATATTAATAATGTATTTTCATAAAAAATATTGTATGTATACTTCTTTTGTAGCATATTGAAATAGCAACACAGAGAATGTCAACACGGGGCTACATCAAAAAGCTGCATGCTAGCAACATCTGTAAACAAGACATCTGGCATATTCCCGCATTGTGCTGGCCATAAAAAGCGACAAAAAATACATTATTAACTTTGGACATCCCGATCTTACCATAGTGTTGTATTTGTGCAAATTATTACGTTTTTTTGTGCACGAATCCTGAGAAAGTGGCAGAAATCACCTGGATGTGTGAGAGATGCCGAAGAGGCGAGCGATGAATCAACTAAGCTTCCGCCAAAAAAACGCTTTCAAAATAAATGTACACAGGGATAATCTTCATTTCCTGGTGCAAAACTGACGATAGATGTCCCTAAATTAATTCTGCATAGTTCATATTTTTTTTAGAAGTTTGATTTTGTGTTTAAAGACGTCAAAGTTGGCTATGACGTAACAGGTGCGTGTAGCAAGAAGTAGCGCCACGTCAGGCAAACGAGCGCCATCTACTGGACACTGGCTGCATGAGAAACTACATGTATTTTGTTTGAATGACTTCCACAAGGGCGGAGCATTGATGTATATTTACTATATTCTAATTTACTCATTAACAAACTTACTTGGAGTGTAAAAGATACATTCGACTGACCACAGAAAATAAAAATGAAAAAGGTCTACTAAAATAACTTTCAGATAAACAGGAAAAAAATCTACAGCTATGCATAATTTAAAGCTAGGGCACCTAACTTTTAACATCAATAATCCATTTAGTTTGTCCTAGTAAAAAAAGAGTCTGGTTAATGAATACGTTTATGAACAAATCTGACTGCAATCAGCTGCATTCATCTCATTAGAAAACATTGTGTATTTTTCATACTTAGGAAGAGCCCTGCGAGTCACTATTTGACGCGTTGGGCTGAGAGCTGATTGGCTGTTCGCTTTTTTTTTTTTTTTTTATCAGAAAAAGATTATCTAGAGATGTGACAGAGGTCAATACTACATGTGTGAAAAAGTATTTTTTACATAGTTCTGTTGTTGTGGTCTGAAAGTTCGGTACCTCAGCTTTAAGATCAGGTTAAAGATGTGTCTGTTGATTTTACGGTTTTTATTTGATTTAGTAGATTTGTTTTTCATATATAACACAACATAAAATAACCTTTATTTATGCCAGTCATAAACATTCATGACCACAGCAGGGCAATGTCAGTGTTGCACTATGCCCATTCAATTTTAACATGTTTTTTTAGGTGAGTTTTCAGGTCTAATAGGCTCCAACCTATTGGAGCCTATTAGACCGACTTTAAAGTTATGTAATAAATGTATATATTAGCAACAGCAGCTTTGTACAGTCTTGCGTATATATTATTCAGTGTTGTAAATATAAATCTATACTAGATCTATCTAATCTGCATTGTGTTGCATTGTTCTGACATAAGGATTTAGTTTATCAAAATTCAGAAATTATTTGCAGTTGTAAAAGTATGGGTCATATGTGGTTTTATTGGAATATTGACTTTTATGAGTGATGCTTAGTCCAGGACACTTACGGACAATTATGGACAGTGGTCATCCCGCTCCCTTTGGACCAATGCCTTCATGTTTTTGTTTTTATTTCCTTTCCTGTGTTTGAACCGTTTCATTCTCTGATCTGACGTTGGTGAATTGACAACTTTGTACAGCCCTCTGAGGCGACTGATGTTGTGATTTAGGACTAAGCAAAAATGAATCATGTTGTTTTATCCAATCATTTCTTACCAATGCATTAAGGACTTGCTCTGGAAAAGTATCTCTCTGGGGGAAAAGTACAGTAAATAGAGTGTATAGAACTCAAGTCACGACGCAAAGTCACTCTCTCTCCAAAATGTGATGTGGTGTAAATTTGGCCCATGGAGGACAAGTTTCACCGAGACAGAGTACACCTTTATTTAAGTCAAACTTCAGGCATGTCTGAACTCTCCAAACTCACTTTTTTAGAATGAAAAAAGACAGAATCAATATCTTTCGAAATAAAAAGACAGAAATGTACAAAAAGAGTGTCTCTGGGAAACACTCACTCACATTGAAGCAGATTTGTACAGGCAAAAAAGAGCAACGGCGACATGTTCCTATGCAAGTCCAATGCAAACTATGTACAACAATATGCAGTATGCGGCAACACATGTGGGTCTGACAGCAAACCGAAGCAACACCGAGAGATAAATATGATCCGTTACTGCCAGAATACTTTGTAAGTAAACGAGATGGGTGCTTATAAAGATGTTTTATTCGTTATTTCAACACTATTCCTCTGCCGACAGCATGACAAAAACAAAGACAGATTTTGAACATTGCACAAGAAGACATCACAGTGAACTTAAAGGTGCCCTGGTTTGACGCAAGGGCTGCTCTTTTTATGTGACTATAACAAAAATATATATATATGAGAGTTGAGTAAAACCTTGGGCAGATGGAGGACCTCCGTCAGGCCGCGTAAGCTACACTTAAAATCAGACTAAAAACATGCACTAAACGGTAAGAAACCAACGAATCGTCCACGACACAGTAACAGAAGTGAAATGTAGGCATAGCAAGACTGTGCTGGACCTCAGGACTGGCACCGGGTTGTGTGTGTGTGTCTGTATATCTCTGCATGTAAGTGTGTGTCTTCGTGAATCTCTGCATGTGTCTGTCTCTGTGTATCTGTGTGTGTCTCTCTACATCTGTGTGTGTGTCAATCTCAGCGTCTGTTTCTGAATCTCTGCATTTGTGTCTGTCTCTGTGTGTGTCTGTCTGTCTGTACCTCGGCGTGTGTGTGGGTGTGTCTCTGTCTGTCTGTGCGTGTATGTCTGTATATCTCTGCATGTGTGTGTCTCTCTCCGTGTATCTCTCCGTGTGTGTACGTGTATCTGTTTGTGTGTATCTCAGCATCTCGTGTGTGTGTCTGTCTCTCTGTGTCTGTGTACCTCTGCGTGTGAGTGTGTCTGTGTATCTCTGCATGTCTGTCTCTGTAAATCTCTGCATGTGTGTCTCTGTTTATGTGTGTATCTCTGCGTGTGTGTCTCTATCTGTGTGTGTGTGCAGAGAAAACAAAAAGGCTCTCCGGTATTTGACGAAGCTTTGTCCAAGAAAAAGGCAAAACAAAAACAAAAACATTGGCATTTCCCACATGGCAAACTTAAAGCAGATTGAAATCGATGCAACCATAAGCGACCGAAGAGGCGTTGTTGTGAAATTGCAGACTGTGATGACGTCTCAAAGAAAAACAAAACAAAAAAATTCAAGTTTAATGGTTTAAATATTACTAAATGAAACATAAAAGTGCCTTTGAAATTCGCCCCTAGCCACAAGAACATAACAGGAAGTATGTCATAGGTGCTTTCTCACTTCTAACTCACTGGTTTCAAACTGGGGCGGTGTCAGGACCCTCTAACAACACAAAAGTAGCATATAAATAATGTTAAATACTGTATATTATTGTTATATGTGATGAAATGACAGAGTAATGCTTTATTTATTCTATTTATTGTCACAAATAATATAATGTGAATGTATTAAACTGCAGAGTAAGTGGATAGAAGCGACAAATATACGTATAAGCTTGTGTGAAAAGGGGGAAGAAATTGTAATTATCTACTTCTTTCTGCTCCTTTTCCTTCATATTGTTGTAGTTTGACTGAAGTTTTATCATTGTAATGTAAATGTAAGTTAATTTGAATGAAAATGAATACAATTGCAAGCCTTAAATAATACTAAAAAGCTAAAATTATGCTCATAGACCATAATTAAGATTAAAATCGATTCCTTACGTTCTCAAATCAAGGGTAATAATAACAGTTTTAAAGACAATTTCTCTCTCTCTGACTTTTTTTGCAGTGTAGTAGGTACATGTATTCAAAATGTTTCCCAGGAAAAGCTTGCTGACCCTACTTTCTGGGCCCTGACCCACCAGTTGAGAATCACTGGTCTGTAACTGGACCAAATTCACTCCACAACATTGAGTTTATTCTAATATTTACCGAGGAGACGAGTGGAGACCAGGGACTGCACCAGACCACGACACCAGAGCAGAAAGTGTGAACGCACCAAAGTTAATATTTCAGTCCAGAAGTTTCTATTTTTGTTAATATTATGGGACGAAAGCAGCAATAGTTCTGCATGTTTTAACCAAAGTGTTTATTGGTTCTAAAATGTGGCACTTTACTCAAGTTACCCGGTCTAACTTAAAGTGCGTACGACAGGTTATGCTACATTTTTCACTCAAATACAAACCGACGTCAAAAGATTGAAGATTTTACGGAAATCAGTATTCACCTTTTATCCCAGTTTGTTACTTCATCATAGTTATAAATAATACTTCCTGGTTGCAGACCGTGACATCATGCTAGGGAAGTTAGCAAGCGACAATCTTGTATATTAAGCTCAATCTCCACAAATGAACACCAGAATTATGAATGGGATAATAACATGATAAGAAAATACTTAGTTGAGGGAATTGTGAAAGATGTATAATAATGTTAGCATGATTTCTTGTTAGCCGTATTGTGATGGTGTAAGCGCGTTAAACTTCATATAAATAAATATTCAAAAGGACAGTGTGTAAATTGCACTCTTTCTTAGTGTTCTAATAAAGTCATTACAATCACACTTTTGCCGTCTTCCTTCTGTGACACATGTAGCTGCTTAACACTGCAGACTGATGCAATCCACCTGCTGGGGTTTAGCTGGAACCTGTACAAACTGTGTGTGTCACGTATGACTACTGTTTATATATACTTTCCTTTAAATGTGTGGTGCTATTTTTATGCTATATTTTTATTTTGTGTTTTTTTTTTTTTCATGAAATGTACGTAGTTCTGGCTCAAACAACTCCGCCTCATTCTGCTCTCTATTGGATATTTGGCGTGAAAATTGTAGCCATAAATGTTGTGGACATTGTGGTCTATTGTATTTTTAATTTTTTACCTCTGTCTGATAATGCATGTGATATATATATGGTCATGTATTAATCTACTTTTTTTTTTGGACATCACCGGCAAAGGAACAGGCTAACATTTGGCTAATGTTTATTAGCCAAATGGGGCGGCACGGTGGCTGAGTGGATAGCACTCTCGCCTCTCAGCAAGGAGGTCCTGGGTTCGAATCCCGGCCGGACCAGGGCCTTTCTGAGTGGAGTTTGCATGTTCTCCCCGTGTCTGCGTAGGTTTCCTCCGGGTGCTCCGGTTTCCCCTACCACTAAAAATATGTACAATAGGTATGGCATGTGCCTCCTGTACTGGCGACCCCACTCCCAACAATTGTAAACCGCTTTGAGACTCCGATGTGCAGTGAAAAGGCGGTATATAAATAAAAGCTTACTTACTAGCTTACTTACTTACTATTGTACTGTTCTTGTATACTTAAACATCATACCAAACCGATTAGGAATAACTCCGCTTCTACCGCAATATAACATCATATCTCTGGACACCAATCGATAATCTATTTCTGTGTATTGATAATCTATTGAATGTATTTATATAGTAGAATTGTAATAATATTGTGTCTAACTTTTTCTGCCTCTTGTCCAGGACTCCCTTAAAAGACTTCCTGTTACTTACAATGACAATAAAAATAATTCTACTTTTGTTCAGAAAGGGTCAAACACTAGACAAGTTGCAGATGTGAGCTGTGATCTGGGGACACATACACCAGATGTACATGTCCTGCTGTGTTTTATTTTGAAATCACCTTTTCTTGTCCTTCTAGATTTACTTCCTGTCCCTGATTACTGCCCCGCCCCTGACGTGTCTCACCTGTGTCCTTGCGTATTTAGTTTGTGTGCTCCCTGCCTCATGTGCCAGATTTACTCATTTCGTTGTGTTCTTGCATTTAGTGTATTTTTAGTGTAATTTTTTTTGCCTTTTTTCTATTAAAATGTCAAAACCGCCTTTTGACTTTGGGTCTGTTTTCGAGCCACTTTTGTACAAGCCTGACAGATGCAATTTAAAACAAAAATATTACACACTGTCCCTTTTTAAAAACAAGTTATTCCAAGTTTTAAAAAAAAGTCAGAATTAGCACCTGTCATACGCACTTTAAAACATAATACTTTTTAGTACTTTAAGTTGCTTTAGAAGGACTAGTGTCGGACTTGTTTTCGTCAAGGCAGATCGCAAAGTCAATGAGCGAATGCTAAAATGTACAAAATCCCCCCAAAAAAAAGTCAAAATAATAATCTACATTCCTACTCGGAATACCAAAGACTAAATATTTTTGAGCAGCACCTTCCGGCAGATGGCGGTGGGAGTCCTTACACCAAGAATACAAAGACAGAACGGCATGACTAGAACATAGAGATTATGTAAAACCCACCATTTTCAATAGTAGTAGTGTCACTTACGCCTTAATGGAGATAAGAGACGAGTTACTGCACTAGTGTCTGGAAAAAATGTTACAAAAGACGGTGCATCAAATACAAAAGATTTCGATTTGACAGATGAGCGATAAAAACACTGTACAGGGTTTTTTGCCTTTTTTGTACACGATACCGACTCCGAGCCCAGACTGGTTCAAAACAGTTCAATGTGTGTTTGTATAAGCGAGAGATCCGGGGCTGCTTTTCTTTCTCAGTTTGCCCCCGTTTCCGAATGCTTTCCGCTGAAATAGGCCACTTTTCTCAATTCCCTCGAACCTCGCGCCATCGGTCGCGAGAGCTCACCACAGTTTAAAATCCGACATGTAAAAAGAGGTATCCATTTTTAACACTAAAAGTCTATATATCTGTATGAGGGTGTTCAGTGTCGAGCAGTGAGAAAGTGCTATTCAGAAATGCGATGAGAGAGCGGTTTAAAAGAGTCGTTTGTTTTGAGTGAGACCAAAACAGGAGTGCGTGGGAGCAGTAGTTTTAGTGCAGACAGAACCAGTCGTGTGAGAGAAGCTACACTGTGCGGATTCACTTTTTTGTTATAGTGGTTTTCCCTTCGCCTTTTATTAAGTATAGAGGCTTCCTATTCTTGTGCTGTGTGCTCTTCATTCCTACTGGTCGCTTTCGAAATGCATTGTAGGACGAGTAAAGGATCTATCTCTCTCTTTACACACTCAAAGATGATTTAAGAGTGCTTCATACATGATAAATACTTGTTTTTATTCTTGTCATGGTTGAATAAGTCACTTTTATGGCTGAATATTGTGTGATTTTAGGTTGTAAAGGTGGGGTACCCTACTTTTGATTTTCATAAATAATACATGTTGTTTGTTAATCCATCTATCCCTCCCTCCATTTTAGTCCGCTTCATCCGTGGCACAATGGCGGGAACGTAAATCGACTGGTAAATAGAGAGCTCTGACTGCAGACGCTGCTCCCTCTTCACCAATCAAACAAACGCTGCATCCTTCCCTCACTCGAGAACAAGACCATGAGAGACTTGAACTCCTCCACTTACATAAGAACCTCTCCAACCACCTTGATTTATTTGTGGTTTGAAAGTTAGGTACCTCAGCTTTAATGACAACTACAAAAAGTATATATTTTGCTACATATAACTCCTATTTGCCACTGACACAAACAGAGAACAATATAGTAATTATGTCATTGGAAAAAGACTGTTTCGATACTAGCATTTATCACAATGAATCTCTGTATTAATTTATAGTCTATCCATTTGTTTTATGGATAGACTATAAACGTCAACATTAATCAGTGTAATCAAAGAAGTCCTCCCCTCGGACCACAAGTCTAGTTAGCGAACAGCAGATTTTCCCCCTTAAAATGAAAAGGACAAAGGTGCAATGGTGGTGGTGGGGAGTCACTCTAAATGCACCGAACCTGATTCTCTCTCAAAGCAGCTTCTGAGTTTGTAAAAGACAAAGGGAAAACAACTATAAAACAGTTTGTAAAAAAGCTAATTTCACACATCACCCTCTCTGTGATGCTCAACACTTAAAGACAGCACCAGCTCTCACTCTCTGGGCCCTTCAGTCTACAACTGTGTTAAAAAAAGGAGGAAATGAAAGTGAACGGTTTCCCAAAAAAAAAGATCCTTACTTATTTTACACTAATCTGAGCCAATTACAGTATGTACATCTATGCGGTGGCGGGTGAAACCTGGCGAAATGGGAATCACAGAAATCTTTTGTAATGCCGATAACATTACATAACGCTATATACCATAATATTTTGCCTTGCTTTTCTCACAAGGCGGTTTTTGCGCTGAACACCGAAACGAACGTAACACACCACTCACCGAGCTGACATGAGAGAATATGTCTGTAAACATGAACAAACATAGATACCGTATATAATTATATTCATCTAAGTATATTTAAAACCAGGAGTTGGAATGTAAAGTGGTCCTGAAGCGTCCCCCTCCCCCCCCCCAGTGCTTTTTACGTTTTTTTTTTCTTCTTTCCTTTTGGAGAAGAGCTCAGCGTGAAGACAGGAGTGTGGTAACTGGTCATGATGGAAACAGAGAAAGGCAGGCTTTGCAGCTGATCAAACTAAGAAATACTTTCTTAAATCCAATCCCTTTTCTCAATGCTGACAAGATAAGTTGACAACCGACGTCCCGCCAAAGTAAAAAGTAGAAAATAATAAGTAAATGTAGAACTCTGGGCCCGTCAAAAGGGGCACTGGTGAGCTGTGAGTAACAAAGAAGGAGGTATACAGCGCCAGTGATGCTTGCTAGCTTGCGTTCTCCCGCGCCATCGTCCGAAAAAAAGCTTTTTATCAAATGGGAGCAAGATTAGGACGGTTGTAGCCAGCAGGAGCGCACGTTACATGAGGTAAGAGCGGGGTCACTTGGAGTCCGCCGTCTCCGTGGGCTCCTCTTTGACGCGGGCGTAAGTGCGTGGGCGCGTGGCGGTGCCCAGGGGGTCCCGCAGGCTGTGGTGGGAGCAGCACAGGCGCTCGTCCAGGGAGGAGACTTTGAGGGAGTTGTCGTCGTGCTCGGGGCAGAAGGAGCGCGGGCAAAAGTCGCACTGGGACGAGGCCGCGGCGCCGCACACGCTGCAGTCGTGCCACGGGCATTCCCACCGCCCTGCGAACACAAGATTCAAGGATTAATTCGCCATTTGCAGTAAAACCACATTGGAAAAACTGTGCAAGACTACCCCAGTTATTTAACCAGGAAAGTCAAAGAATTTCAGACTTCAGAATCTCATTTTCAGGGGAAACTGAAAAACTGGAAAAGTGTATTTGCGGTTTTTCATTTTCACTTTTCTTTTGTACATGTGAAGCACTTCAGGCAGCTGCTGTGGTAAATGTTCTGAACTAATCCTAAAACTGTGAATTGCATTGTGTATGTGTGTATATAGTGTTGTTCTGACCGTATGGAGGCTTGTTGAGGCTGAGACACAGGAGATGGTAGGCTTTGGGACAGTCTTTGCGATCGCACATGACAAGTTCTCCGCCTTTCCCGCAGCAGAAGCAGAAATACTCGTGCGGCTGCTTTCCTTCCGGCCGGAGCTTCCTCTTCTTGGGCTTTAACTTGGAGTTTTTAGCCTTCTCCTCTTTTTCAATAACTTGTGCACTCTGGAAAAGACATACAAAACAGTTAAAATAAGTTAAATGTGTTACAGTGTAGGGCAGTGCAAAACAAGAACGACTGAAAAGTGACTCCTTATGTACAACGACCAACTACTATGTTCAAAAGGAGTACAATAATAGTGAAGCTAAGGAGGAAGAAGTTGATTAAAAGTTGATTAGAAGAGCGGCAAGTTAGAAGCCAAAATCCTTATATGGGCATTTGTTAAAACGGGGTGATGTGCTGTAGCAGGGGCACATGTGAATTTAAGTCTTGCTAATATGGTGGCTAACGAGAGTTTCCCCCGCAAATAAAGGCAAAAAGTCAACAATTAAGCTCATATCTGAATTAACCAAGACAATATAAACATAAACACCAGGATCCCACTGAGCAAGATTTTTTTAAGCTCAAAAAGGTGGAGTGTGACACAAACAGTTACTGAGCTAGAAGAGTATATTTTTCAATAGAAGTTCATAGGAGCGAGTTGGAGAAAAACTTCGTCCACGAGTACTTCCCTAATGGGCTTCATTGAGGTAGCGAGTTAGCATTGTCTACCTATATTATACAGTAAACAAGGAAGCGAGCGTTTTTGTGTAGCCTGGTCGTACCACACCATAGTACAAATTACATTTCGTACTAAGGTCTGGAGGTGCTCCATTGAGCTCTGTTCACAGGTGGCAGGGGCTAACTCCTTTTGCAGATTGAAACGATTGGATCTGAGTTTACTGTGACGTATGTAATTCGCCCGAGTGAGTTGTTAGCATTTAGCATTTAGCCTAACCATCTCATTTGCCGACAATTTTTGTCAGTGATTACATTTGCTAAACATTTCTTTTGCTCCGGCTTCAATTTCTTGATAGAACCAGACCTTAATACTTTACTATCGCATTCTTCGCCATTGCCAAACTACAACCTGCCCGTTCGACGCAAACTCTTGATGTCACCCACAACTAACTACTACACCCGCCTCCCGCGCTCGCTGATTGGTCAGATGGAATTCAACCGATTGTATTCGCTAACACATGGACCAGACCCAGGCGTTACATGCAGTGAAATGATTATTGAGTGGAGTGTACGGATGGCTAAGGCCAGGCTAGTTTTTGTGTGTATAAAAACATAAATTCAAAATTGTATTTGTGCTCCCGAACGTGCACAAATCAATATAAATGAAAAAGGCAAACTGAAATCAGACTGTGACGGTGGCGCATCTTTCAGCGCTCGTAGAAGTGAATGTTTCTCACAGTTGGCTGGACCCCGAGGAATCCGGAGCAGTTATCGGATCCACAGTGACACGACGTCCTCCTGTTCCCCACACAGTGAAGGTTGTAGTTGAACGTCAGCTCTGAGCCTGCCACGACAAAGACCAAAAAGTCAGACAAAATAAATCCATCTCTATTCCCATCGTAAGTAACAGGAACTCACAAACTGGAAATTTGCTTCGGCATATGGTGCAATAGAGATAAAGGCATGAATTTGTTTTCTTTCTTTCTTTCTTTCTTGCTCATGACCATTTATTTGGTAACAAGCACAAGTTACAAAACAAAACCCCAAGATGCCCCAAGATTAGGGTCTAAAGAGATCTAAATGACCCAGGGCTGGTCAGGTTAAGAAAAGTCATCAAATTTCACTTAATAAAAAAGGATTTAGGGTATTTTTGATTCACTGTGACGGATCATTTTTGCCCCAATGGCACAAACATCAAACAACAGATGTTTTTTTTTGTTTTTTAATGCTTAAAGTTTATAAATTATTCTATGGCTTCCATTTTCTAAGTGCAAAGATTTTTTGGACTTGCATTGATGGATATTTGACATAATACTGAGGGAGGTACTATATCCGTTTCTGTATGCAACAATGACTCCTAATAAACTTCTAATAGATAAATAAATAGAGTCATTTAAATAAATGACCAGATTATGAGGTTGTTGGTATAAAGCAGAGTTACACACTGATTCTTAAGAGTAATCTGGCCGATACTAATGACACATACATTTGGTAAAATAAGATTGTTGAAGCCAGAACCTAAACACATCCTGAGAGCAGACAGTCCCTCACCAGCTTCGATGTCAGTCAGAGCGAAGAGGCCGATGTGCACGTCTCCGTTGACCGTCCACTTCTGCGTCTCACAGTTGGGGCTGCAGCTGTGGTTCATGAAGCGAGCGGAGTTTCCCTTTGGACCGGCGTCGATCACTCGATCCTGCGGCAAAAAGAAACCTCTTAACTTCAAAACGTAGGTGAAAATAATGAAGTTAAACATGTGTCAGACACGGTACTATATTAAAAGGGCTACATTTGGAGCAAGAGCAGAGCATGTGGAGTTTTGAAACAATTGTGCGCATTTGTCTCACTCCACACAGAGATGGGTGCGGGGTCGCCAGTACAGGAGGCGCATGCCAGAACTATTGTACATGTTTTTAGTGGTAGGGGAAACCTACGCAGACACTGGGAGAACATGCAAACTCCACTCAGAAAGGACCTGTTCCGACCGGGGACCTTCTATCTAAGAAGCGAGAGTGCTATCCACTCAGCCACCGCGCCTACTGCTGCTACTTCTACTACTACTACTCCAGCTGCTGTTACTACTAACACTACAACTACTACCACTACTACAGCTGCAACTGATACTACTTGTACTGCGACCACGACCAAATTCTTCCCCTCTTGTTTTTGTGAAGTATTTTGAGTTGTCCTATGTATGAATTGTGCTATAAAAATAAACTTGCCTAAAGCAGTCTTTGTTTGATGAAAAGGCACCCCATAAAAAAATATGATTACAACTTCCTTACTCAAATGACTTTTAATATCACTGTTTATTGTGAGGATTTTCTACTTCCTTCAAACACTGAGGATAAACTAAAATGTACTGACCCTAAAAACACGTTACCTTTGTGAGCGTGAGCATGTAGAAGTTGGACACGTGGTTTTCGTGGGCGAGTTTGATTCTCTGTTGGCATTCCTCCGAGTCGATCACTTCTCCCACATATTCAGTCACAAAATCCCCCTGTGCACATTAGTCACATTCATTATACAGTAATACACAGCAGGTAACTTACAGAAACTAAATTACAGCCTTTTATAATCCTACAGGGGCAAACTAGAGGTAAGCTACACACTGGGGCTGCAACTAACTATTCATTTAACAAAAAGGGTGTAGGATTTTGAAGGTCCAATCCATTTGACCAAAAACATACAAATACTGATAAAAAATATTGCTGTACCTTTAAAGACAATTTATTATGCATTATTTTTGGCCCTTAAAATGATAATGAGACAATTTATTTCATAACTTCATGTTATAGAATGTGGAATAATATCTTGATAAAAGAGTGAAGAATGAAGCAAGAATGAAGGGTAAAAAATGCTTTCCGACTGTAACTCCCTATGCTGCCACTAGAGGGAGGAGTAGATTTTTTTTAATTTTTTTTTTCAAATACGAGAATTACTGGCTGAAAACAGGCATGCTTTTTTAAGGAATGTAATTCCCTTTGAGAAATTGCCAAAACTAATTAATCTGCAATACTTGACATACTTATGAGTGTGATGTCATAGTGGTACAATGACTATACAGGACTGAGACTGGAGCTATTAGACAGAAGGAGCAGAGCTACAAGTTTGTGCCATAAGCCCCTGATATTAGCATGGAACTGAACACAACTGCTGGTCTGCTGGTCAATTTATCAACTCATTTATGAATTAGTTGATAAACTGTTGCAGCCCGACTACAAACGTTGTCTTGTGGATTGCAAAAGTTCTAATGACACAACTCGAAACTACAATAACTGACCTCAGACACAAGGAAGACTGGAAAATAAAATGTAACACACTTTAGGTTCATGTCTACAACACTTAATGCACGTTTAGAATCTGTGGTTACACAAGTTTAGGAGTCACATGTGTCACAAGAAGAAACATTCTGGCAACATTGGATTGTAATTAGGGGTGGGCGATATGGCCTAAAATTCATATTGCGGTATAATTTGGGACACAGACGGTAGACGGTATATATTGCGGTATAATTTGGTGTGTGAATTTCAATATAGGTCTAACAGGTTCTTGCATAAAATAGTCAAGATTGTTACTTATTTATATATTATAATCTAATATATATATTTTTTGAGTTAGAAAATCAGGTGTGAGACAAATAAAGAGACAAATGTTGTAACATACATTATTTATGTATGTTACAGTAAATACCATTCACTGTAAAAGCAATTTTTAAAAAGAAAAACATATGCATTCATTTAAAATATAAAAAACTCACAAATGTTGAAATCAAAGTCTGTAGAAGTTATACATGGTCATTATTTATAGTGTCTGAGAGTTTTGTGCAGGTACATGGCTTCAGTAAAAGCTATTGTTCGTTTACAAAGCTGGTCTTGCCATTTGTTGACGCTCCCTAAGCGTTTTTCTCTGCGCTTGCAGTGAACTGGATGATTCAATGGATTTATGTTCATTAAAACAGCGCATTGGATTTGAACAATTGATGTAAATGATCATTTTGGCACAATTAATTTTGTTTAACAAAGTAGCTTTCGTGAGATATTGACCGCGGAGGTCCGAATCTGACGCTAACTTTCGCCAACTTCTGCTGTGATGCTGCGGACACGGCGAACGCATGGATCTATTTTGGCTCACGCTGGCGCTTCGAGGCTACGCCCCTTTGACACTGATTGGCCAAAAGGTAGGCGCTTAAACTGTGATTACTGTGTGTGTATTTACCTCTGCTGCGGCCGCTGTGACAACAATACAGAGACAGAAACACGGTGTTAATGCCGTGCTGTTGTTCGCTGTTTCCAGTGGTGTCTGCTAGGCTAATACTGCAAGGCTAATGTGCAAGGCTAATGTGCAAGGCTAATGTGCTAGGATAATGCTGCTATGCTCATGCGCTAGGCTAATGCTGCTGAATGCCGGTTTGTTTTGGTCCTTTCTGCTGGCGTCAGAGCCTGCGCAATTTGATGAAATAATGACGCAATATGCCGGTAAAACAAAAATCTCTACCGTGGGCCAAATTTATATCGCATACCGCTTATACCGTTTATATCGCCCAGCCCTAATTGTAATAATTGAAATGATTTTAACAGACCAGAAGGAACCGCAGCCGTACCTTTCTCAGAGCCTGGTTGGTTTTCAGGCCCCAGCCGCAGATGTCGGTCTTGAAGACTTCGGTGTCGGCGTAAAGGCGTTTGGAGAAGCACTGGTTTTCACAGCTCTCGCCCGCGGGACACACCTGAGGAGAGAGAACAACTTTAACTCAATGAGAAAAACAAGTCACCTATCAAATATTTTCCCCACAACACTTGGAAAATAGGGCTGGTCTCTTTCAGGACCTGTTGATACAAAACGTCTCTTAAAAAGACACGTATCATATCAAGGGACTTTTAATCCAATACAATATATTTTAAAATGATTCGATACGATTTAGTATAAAATAAAGGCTATTGACTTCTCTATCCAACCCTCTGTCACATTCTAACAAGAATATATCACTATTATTGCATTTATATTGAATACATAAAAAGGTATTAAGTTGTTATGAAGTCTGTATATAATCATGGTTTTATTTTATTTAATTATTTATCAGGAAAAAAAATAAAAAAATTACTAAATAAAAAAATATATATTGTAAAAAAAAATTTAACCTCCCTTAGATCCACTAAAATTGTTATGTCACATTTGATTCCGACACATCTTGAAGCTACACTTATAATAAATAAATAATAATAATAATAAAAGCCCAGAACCCCTGCTTTAGACTCTGACCTGTGGATGGCACTCGTACTGCAGCATGCGGTTCAGACACTGCGAGTCCAGGCCACACGGACGCTTGTCCGACGGCCGACAGTTACACCGAGGGACTTCCGACAAGTCCGCAACATGCATCTGGACTTTCCCCACCGGTTTATTGGACTGAACAACACAAGAATGTCAAGGTTAACGGTTAAATGTACAATAAGCGACTTCCATCAAACATTATTTTGCCTTTACCTTAATGATCTTGTACGGTGGGGGTTTCCGAGAGTTGCGTTCCTGTTCCAAGGCCTCTCTGCTCTCTCTTTGAGCCTTGAGTTCTTGAAACCTCCGCGCTGCTTCTTCAAGAGCTGCAGAAAGGATCAGTTATAAATAGGGATTAACAATAATGCAGATTTCAATAGATGCTAATCATTTCATACGAGTCGACACAGATAATGCCAGCCCAGCCAATAAGTTTCCAAAGTTTCAAGTTTTTTTCATGAAACTTGGGGTAGCAGAAGAGCTTAATATCTCTGTCCTTTTCAAATAAAAATTACAATAAACCTCGTCTACCATTCTACCATCTATCATTGTCCATGGGAGCAGGTTCCTCTCTCAATATGGGCCGAGGTTTTTCACTTATTCCCCAATGGATTTTTGAGACGTTCCTTGCTGAGGATCTAAGGACTGTGATGATCCGGGACATTTTTTGCCCTTGGTCATCCCGCTCTCTATGGACCAATGACTCCTACATGTTTGTTATTGGTGCGTTTCCTGTGTCATATTACTATACTGTTGTGATTTAGGGCTGTACAAAAGCACAGTAGCAGCAGGAGCAAGTGACAAACAAACCAAAACAAATCAATACATTTTGAGTTTAATTGAGCAGATCTTCAATCATCAAGAAAAAATTGTATTTTTGGAATTATCAGTCTGAGTTCTTGGCTAAGTCGCTAAAGATACTAAACATGTAAAGTTTTACATCCCTAGTTATAAAAGAACAACTATGATAAAACAAAATGTCTTTACCTTTCTTAAACGTTTTGTTGACGTTAACTTGACCAGCGACAAAGTTCTTATCGTTGTCCACATAAGGAAACACACGGCCCTGGTTGATCCAGTAGTAGTCGTGAGAGCCGAAGAAGAAGACGGGAAAGTCGCCGATGTCGTGACGGAGGCTCTGGATGTTTGACGGCACCAGACGAGGATTGCAGATCTCCGCGGGCCACCACCTGCAACACACGACCAGCACAGTTAATGACCATCAAGATAATAACATACTTACTCGGCTGCACCTCGAGTTAGTCTAGACTCTGCATTGTGCATTTAACCCTCTTCAGGCAGGCGTTGCAGATTTGCAACAACTTAATTTCTTATTTCCTACAACTACTCCACATCCATATTTGTGACTCTATTTTTACTCAGAAGTACCACTGCTGGACTTAATTGAGCTTTAGCAACACACAGTTTTCCCGCAGCTGTCTCACTTCCAAAATGTCAAGTCTCTTTGGATTTACCAAAACGGATTTTCTAGCCATCAATTTCAACGACCGTAACGTAAACCCCGCGATAAACAAGGTACCATTGTATATAAAACAGATGCATTATCGTTAATATTGCCCAGCCCTAAATGAGTTTTAATCTATCAAGATAAATATAATAATACCATAAAACACCACGTACCTGTAGTTGCCCAGTTTGACCCAGACAATCTGTTTGTAATGCGGTTTCTTCCCAGCCTTGCAGTTGGAGCAGGACCAGGGCCCGTCTGGAAGCTCCATCTCCAAACACTCCGGATGGAAGGAGGCCGGACATGAATCACAGCAGAGCAGCTTTCCCCCTACAGATGTGCGTGTGTGTGGCGTGTGTGTGTGCGTGTATGTGTGTGTGTGTGTGTGGACATATGCATGCATGGTGGGAAAAGGAAACGCAAAGAAAGGAGTGCATGGTTAGGCAATGCACCTAAAACATAAAAATCCTCTGAATCTTATTTGCAGACATGACAATTCTGAAAGACAAAGGTGTTTAAATTATCCATTCAAGGCATTTGCTGCAGTGAACATTGAGACACTTTCTGTAAACAGCTTTTCTGCATGATTGCCCTGCAGAGCTGAAAAAGGCCTTCATTGTGTATCACAGAAATACAGTAGATGTCTGACAATCAGATTCAGAGCACTGGAGTGAAGCCAGTCTATGGATTCATGCAGCGGCACAAGGATAAAGCCAGAGGTTAAAATAGGAGTAAATTATTGCCAAAAAGCAGACATGCAATCCCTGTTCTTCACATTCTACGGAGACCTGCTTGTATGGAATCAAAAGAGGATAATTCTTTTGTCATATGTGGTTTTGACAGTCATAACAAGAGACCGTTTCGCTGCGATAATTGCTCAATACTCTTACAAAAAGAATGGTTCCATCCAAGGCAGGTCAAAGCTTAAGGACTTTTCCAAAAAATCTTGAAATAAGACAAAGAAAAAAAAGCTTTGCTGTGATAAAAGGGAGTGGGCAACAAGGAAGGGGCCGGTACAAGGCAACGAAGCAAAAGCAATTCTAGCTGTAATAAGATCCACAAAGCAGACAGGCAGAACCAGGACGATTCTACTGAGAGAGCAAAGCCGATTACAGGACCCCGTCAAAACTCCTCTCTCCAAAATAGGAATCATTACAGCTTAGCACTTGACAACGAGAGCTTGTGATTCAGAGTTAGATTCATAGACTGTATATAGATGGACAATGCTAACCCTTTAGCTAAATGAAGCCCAATAAGGAAATGGTAATTGCTCCAACTCACTCTGGTTCCTATTGACTTACAATGAAAAGTAAACTCCTAAAACGCACTAACAGTTTCTTATTACACTCACCATTTTTGGCTCTCTTTGGTGTTTAAATTGGGATACGTTTGTAAATCTCGGGAGGAGGCATAAAAAGAGATGCATGGGAAACTCCACCACGTCTGCCCCTGTTACGCCGTGAAGCTAGCGCCGTCGTAACAAATGCGCATATAAGGAAAACGTCTCCAGCTAGCTCATGTTCAGTCTGTCCACTCCTAATATACAGTCTATGGTTAGATCATTGGTGAATTATCAGTGAGTGTAATGCAAGAATGACTTGACAATAACAACCGTATTCAAATTTGGAAAAAAGCGTATTACTTTGTGTTTGTGGTCGGAAAATCTCCCAAAACAAGACATTAAGAGTCACTGAGAAACATTCTTGCATCATGCCGATTTCTCAATTAAGATAATTAAAACTGTAGCCAATGCTGCCTTGCAAATATTGGGTTATTAAGGGAGCACGACAGACAGTAAAGTAAACAAGAAAAACTGAAGAACAGAGCAGGCACAACAAACACAGGCCAGTGGGGCAAATAAGAGAAAACTGTTGCGTTACCTTTCCCAATATTCTTTTTGGTAGCTGACGAAGGAGAGGGAATCATAGGTAATTTCAACTCAGCACGATTTGACTCAGTCAGAAGGTAGTGGGACTTATAGGCATATGAACTTAATATGGTGTCAGTAAGGTCTTGCACTAACAGCCCTACACAAGACACACAGGAAGAGACGGAGGTGAGCCACAGTCAAACTCAAAAGTATCAACAAATCAGAAATGAGAAGGGATGGACACACAAGCAGCCTCGCACACGCTTCCAAACAAAAAGAATGGTCAAACAAACTCTATACTGACACAAAAAAGGTTCAACAGTTCACTCAACTTGTAGGTAAATGGTTCATGGATACGGGAGACATCTCTTAGAGCAGAGTGCAGTGTACCAGTCTGAGCATTTAGGAGCTGATCCATTATTTATCTGCAAATGAGACGGAAAAGAGAGGGGGGAGCTCACCTCTGTCGCACAGGAAGCACCAGCCCACATTGACGGGTGAGGTGAGGAGGCCGTTCTTCTTGCCGCTGTGGCTGCTGCAGATCATGGTGTGATGGGTCAGCACCACACTCCCTGCGGCCACACAGCTGTCTCCAGTGTGGTACGCCACCGGGCAGCGGATACAGCGCATCAGACGCCCTGCGGAGAGGAGATAAGGCTAGCACTATCAGTATTCTCTTTGGACTTTGTCTTTGTTTTGTCTTTCTTCTTGTGTTTCCTCTCTGCTTTGTCTTCACAGAACCTACTATTATCAAATTTACAAGGAAAACTACAAATTTACAATATCGTTCAAGTTCAATTCAATTCAATTCAATTTTCATATTAGATTGATAAATAGATACAGATGGAGAAGTAAAAACTGCTGAACCTGTACACATCATCTCATCTGTAACTGCAATCACGTGCAATACTGCAATTTCAAAATGTCCGTTGAATGTCACTGTATCGATTTATTCTGCCCATATTGCGCCGACTCTATTACTACTGTCCTGTATGTGGCTTGCAAAACCGAAAAGTCCCCTAATCTTCATTATTTTTTTTTATCTCATTGGGACTCAAATAGGGAGTGGGAGTAAGGTCAGGGAGGGTGTTACAGAGAAACCCCGCTCCCATCTCTGTGTGGAGTGAGAGGACAAGTGCCCAAAAATAACAATTGTAAACCGCTTTGTGACTCTGGTCTGTGAAAGGCGGTATATAAATAAAGAAATAAATAAATAAAATATTGTACATGTTATTAGTGGTAAGGGAAACTGGAGCACCCAGAGGAAACCTAAGCAGACGCGGGAAGAATATGCAAACTCCACTGGTGATTCAACCACTATATTCAACCAGTTAAGCAGTCCCATGAGCCAATTATCAACAAAACAAATCAACATTAAAGCAAATACGAGCTTAATATATCTCACTTTGCCTGTAATGAGTCAATTTTACATTAAGTTGACCAACAGAACTAAGTTTGAACAATTTTCCGTGTTTCCCTTGTACATATCTGGACCCTGGTACCTTTGGAGGCTCTCTGCAGGTCTCTCTCCAGGCAGCAGGTGGAGCAGCAGTGTTGGGGGCAGCAGAAGCCCCCCTCCTGCCCGGGGGTGGTCCCTGGCAGCTTCTGAACACAGTCTTTATGATAGTAACAGCCGCATCCAGACACGGAGCAGCGAGTGACCTCCGAGCCCGCGCTTTTACAACTGAAACAAGGGTGATTGCCTGCACACAGAACACAAGTGTGTGAATACCGATATGTCACATGGTTTGAGAGGTTTGAATAAAAGTGTGTATTTTGATACTTTATTGTGTCAAAAAACATGATCAAAGCAAATTTCAAGTACCATAGTAGACACACTTATTTGTCTTTTCACCCATTTTGCCAAACAACAGAAGTAAATAGAATATATTAATAATAACAACAATAATCCTAATTATGAATACATGAGGGGGGGGGACTCCTACTCACCATTTCTGCATTCTGAGCAGGTGAACCGGCCTTCGGGTAAAGACGTCAGGCCGAGGCAGTCTAAGTGGAAGTGTCTGCTGCAGTCTCCTTCACACACAACCAGGCCCTCTCCGTGCACTTCACAAATCTACAAAGGAAGACAGACAAATATACCAGGCTGAACTTAGAGAGGTGTGTGTGCGTGTGCATGTGCGCGTGTGCGTCATCACAATATTCCAAAGAGTTGGTAAGGATCCAGGACATTAAAGGACATTTATGGACATTGGTTGTCTCACTCCCTATGGACCAATGGTGTGTTTGTAATTATTGCGTTTGAACTGTTTGATTCTCAGATTTGTGTTGGAGAATCGAGAACTTCCAAGTCCTCCAACATGACTACTGTTGTGATTTAGGGCTATACAAAAACGGATTTTTTGGCAACTGAAAAATCTATTAATCTGCACTATTTTAGTAAGTGTCAAAAGTCACATTTCTAGTCTGAGTTCAGGGCCAATTTCTCTCCAATCCTTGGGTCAATTCATAATGAAAGAAAACTGTCACAAAGTTCCATATCTTCTTTGTCAGCACGTATTAAAAATGGTCTAATTATTATCTCATAAAAGGTGGCTAGAAGTGCAGACAAAATTCCCAAAACATATGCACAAAGTTGCCCAGAAGAAAAGGCTTTCAGACGCATGTGGGATGTGAGAGTGTGATTTTATTATGAATTTGTATTATTAATCTTCATTTCAGACTCAAATTGTATTGGTTTTAAATAATAGGAATACATGCGTAGTAACCTCTGTTTGATCATGTATGTAATGTATTCATCGTTTGTACTGACTGTTTTATTAACCTTTCTCAGGGCCTACAGGTGTAAATTAGCACTGCTGCTACAACCTGGAACAATGCATCTCTCCTGTCGGCTAACGTTCACCGTACACTGCCATACCATCATGCCATACCAAAAATAATATGGCAGTTTTGTGGATCTAATAATGAATCTAACATTTCCTTATTCAAAATGTCTCCCATTAGAGTTGTATTGGCGCCTCCAACTGGAACAAAATCCTTCAGTATAAACATTGACAGTTGTGGTCCTGACCTGACAGACAGTGTCACTTTTCCCCGTGCTGCCGTCCTGCCGCGATAAACCAGAGTCCACCGACTGAGTGTCTGAGGCGTCTGCGTCTGCTGCTGCCGGACTGTCCAGACTCTTCCCAAACAAGCCCTGGACCAAAGACAAGGGTCAGACATGCGTGTGGAGATGAAGATTAAGATTCCAGAGTAGTACAACAGAAGGAATGAGAAGCACACACAGAACAACTGTATACTTGAAAATAAAATCTCTATCTTTAGCCTAATAAAGAAGTATACAAAAGTACAAACGTATAAGGTGCTAAGTATAAACTCTTGTATACTCTAGTGTAAAGAAATATATACTTGTATGTGTAAATATATGTATACATCTGTAATGTAATGTAGTTTATGAACATACTAGCAATAGCAGCTTTGTACAGTTTCATATAAATGCATGTATATTTCTGTGTCGTAAATAATATCCTATACTTGCACTGGTTGATGCAAAACTGGTGAAATAATATAGCGAGAGAGAGAGAGAGAGAAAGAAAGAGAGATAGAGGGAGAGGCAGACACACACACACAGAGTAAGACACAGAGTGAGAGAGCGAGAGCGAGAGAGACAGAGACAGCGAGACAGAGAGATAGAGAGACAGAGACAGACAGAGAGAGAGACCGGAAGAGACACAGACAGAGAGAGAGACACACACAGAGAAATAGAGACAGACAGAGAGAGATAGAGACATACCTGAGGATCACTGAGGCCTCTGGAATCGGAGTCTGACGTGTCTCTGTACTGAGAGGAAGTGATTTCTACATCGGTGGACGCTCGGCTTCGTTTCTTCAGAGGTTTACAGGCGTCTGAGATTTCACTGGCTCCTGGAACATCGTGAGCGTCAGCAGAGACGACAAAACTTCAGGCCAGTAACTGAACTAATCCTGCTTCCATTTGTAAATAATGTATGTAAGCACGAGATTGTTTGAGTGAGCACATAAAGCACTCTGCATTATGTGTTTATATCACTGTTGTAGATCATGTGGTAAAGATTTACAAATTGTGTATGTTATGAAGCGAAAACTCAGGACAGAGGTGAAGAATTAGCTATAACAGTAAAGTGGTGCAAAAAAAGTCTTTAGTCAGCCACTTAAAAAGATGCTCGGGTGTGTACTGGGGTAGCCTTGCACAGTTTTTCCAATGTGGTTTTACTGCCAGTGGCAAATAAATTCTTGAATCTTGAATGAGAGACAAAATAGGAAAACAAAATAACCAGAAAATCATACTGTCTGATTTTGCATTGGGGCTATTTTTCAGAAAAGGGACCGGGACGATTGATCCGGGTAAAGGAAGCAAATGAATGGGGCCATGTATTGTTAGACTTTGAGTGAAAACCTTCCTGGATGAAACGTGGCTGGGTTTTTCAGCATGACAACGATCCCAAACAGACTGCTCGGGAATCGAAGAAGAGGCTTTGTAAACTGCATGTCAGGATCCTGGAGTGGCCTAGCCAGTCTCCAGATCTCAACCCGATAGAAAATCTTTGAAGGGAGTTGAAATTCTGTGTTGCTCAACGACAACCCCGAAACATCACTGCTCTAGAAGAGATCTGCATGGAGGAATGGGCCAAAATACCAGCAAAAGTATGTGAAAACGGTTGATCTCTGCCATTGCCAACAAAGGGTATACAACAAAGTATTGAGATGGACTTTTGTTATTGACTAAATAAGTGATTTTCAGGATTTTTTTTCTCATCTTGTCTTTCATAGTTGTGTCATGTTGTGGACTTTATTCTTGTAAATAGTTTTATTTTGACATTAGTTCTTTGGTTTCATTTTTAGTTTTACTTCCTGTCTTGTCCCCCTGATGTGTTTCACCTGTGTCTCTGTCTATATGTACCTGTGCTCCTCGCCCCTTGTTGCTGGTCCATTGTCTGATTTTTAGTTGTTTTTTCCCTGGAAAATTATTATTATCTTCATTAAATCATTATTTCTGGTTTCCCACATTTTTGGGTCATCATACACATAATCTCTCATATTTTGAAGTGGGAGGACTTTTGGTCAATTGGTGGCTGACTAAATACTGCTTACCGGGCGGCAGTAGCTCAGTTGGTAGAGTGTTGGCCTTTGAGCCAGAAGGTCGTGGGTTCAAGCCCCGCTCAAAACTTTCACCATCGACTCCCACTGACTACTGTTGTTGTGTCCTTGGCAAGACACTTAACCTCTGGGAACACCAGCCACAGTGGGGCGGCTGCGGCTGTAAAGTGCCAAACTACCGTTGTGTCCTTAGGCAAGACACTTCACCCCCATTGCCTAGAATGAGTCTGGTGTGTGTGAATGGTTGGTGGTGGTCAGAGGGGCCGATGGCACATACTGGTTGCCTCGCTTCTGTCAGTGTGCCCCAGGGCAGCTGTGGCTACATTAGTAGTTTATCACCACCGTGTATGGAGTGAATGAATAATGACACATGTGAAGCGTCTTTGAGTGTCCAAAAAAGCGCTATATAAAACCGATGCATTATTATTATTACCCCACTGTATGTGTTGCATTAGCTGCTGTAACCTTGTCTGACTGCAGTGCCCTGGGTCAAATACATAAATAAATAAATACATACATACATTCGATCATTGAAAAGCTGGCCTTTCATGATCTAAGCACATAATCCATGAATATAAAGAACAACCTACTGTCATTAATTATCAAGACAACATTTAAACAGACCTTTTTGTGAACCGGTTTTCTGAGTTGTCTCTGGGGCCATCTCAGCCTGTGGAGAAATACATACATTATAATTCATTAAATAGTGTCATTTTTCATTTGTTTTGATTGTGTTTGTGTTTGTATCCACCTGCTCCTTTTTTGTTTTCTTCTTGGGGACGACGTCACTGCTCCTCTCTGACTCAGATCTGCTTCGTATCGACCGCCGCTGCAACTTTCTCTCCTGAGAACCTGTTTGACCGACGAACAAAGTCATGAGGTCATTCTAATAACACTATTTACTGAAGGGAGTCAGAGGCTTGTGGAGTCGAGTAGTCAACTTGAATTCTTAAAACTCTATTTCGAGGAAGTTCCATGTTTGGAAAGAGGAAAACAAATCTTAACCTTATATTGTTTGGTGTTTTATTGTTGAAATATACACATTGATAAAAGCCCAGTAGGTAACTTTATAACAAAGTAAATAGACTTCTTAAAATACTTTTTAGAACTGTTTTTAGAGAATGTAATGTCATTGAGGGCGGTGAGAGAGATTTGGGGAAAGAAAGTGGCAGAATATATCATGATTTCAATTGGATCTTGCCAAAAGTAATTATTTTGTTCTATATTTCTAAACAATTACCTACCTCTTTTGTGTCCTCCTCATTCATATTTTGAAACATGTGATACAACACTGAAATTTCTCCACTGTGGGACTAATTAAGGATCTGTTCATCTTAATCTTAATTCTTTTTTTTCATTAAAATAAGATAATAGATAAGATGGTATATGATGAACTTTACTGATCTCACAATGGAGAAATGTACATGTCACATTTGGCACAGGTAGAATCACTCAGGGTGTGCAAAAAAACAGGTGTGTGCAAACAAAGGTTCAAATATGGTCTGTTATGGATGTTGTTTTGGCGGTAACCTCCAACAGAATGGCATTAAACAGATATACAAGATGAATTATTTGTGTCTGATTTTGTACCTCCAGAAAGTGACGTATTGTTGTTCTAAGATGTGATTCTTAATTAATAACCGATTACTGTAGTTCAAATGTGAGGTTTTTCTTGCTACAACCCTCAATTACTTACAAAAGTGATTACTAGCCATCACATTGTAGAAAGATGTGATGCCATTTGTGTGTACACTTTCGGAAATAAAAACAAAATAAACAAAAAATATAAAACAATTCATGAGAAAATTCAAGTCAGTCAAAAAAGATTGAAAAGGAAGAGACTGACCGTGGGGGCTGCTGTGTGGAGAGCCGGGGGAAGAGCTCGGCTGCACTCCTGCTTCACTTTGACTTTGACTCACGGGGGAATCTCTCCTCTCGTCCACCTCCTCCTCCTCTACCTCCTCTTCGTCCTCCTCTTCCTCAGGACTCGCCTCTGGTTTCGCCTGACAGTCCTGCGGAGACGGTACATAACCGGGATATACAAAACGCTCCTAACCGTGTTGACAGAGCTGCTGGATTACACCGTTTGGGACAAAAAGCAAATGGAAAAGCAGAGAAAGCCCACAAATGATCTCTTTTGATGACATCTAAGGCCTTGTTCACGAAATATATTTTTTTAATTTTTACAGTAGTGAAAAGCAGGTTCCTTCTCATCTCAACAGACAACAGCTCAAAGAATTCTACTGATGAATAAAAAAACACCTTACCCCAAGTTACTATGAACGGCTAACTATGGCAGTAGCATCATATGACCACATTCTCTTATATTCCATAAATATAGACACCGGGTTTTTTGACATTTCGACTCTGGACAGCAGTGGGAAAGGTTGGCCTGTTGTTTGGACCAGCGGAGGCTTTTCACCATAGCTAAGACAGGAACGTGTCAAAATAAGAGTCAAAACAAACTCCAAGTAAGTCCCTGCCTAGCTTAGTGCTATGATGGGGAACCTCTGGGGACAGTGGCAATAAAATCGGTAAAAAGACTAGGTCGCAAGGCGGGTTCAATGCCGATTTGAGACGATTTGAGACACCAGCCCATGTTGCTCAGTGTGTAAGGAAGAGGAAATCTGAGGTTATAGGTAACATTTCCAGTGTTTTTGCGCAGTAGAAATGAGGCTTATGCTTCACTTTGGCTGTACCATAATCATTACAGTGTTGCATATTGCTGCTATGTTTAATTTTGGGTCAAAAAAACTGATAACAAAAACCCTCTGTGTTTGCCTTTTCATCTTATGCTACTACAATCTCTGTTTCACTGACCTCTGGAGAGCAGTACCCCAGATCTGGTTGCCTCAATTCCTTCTCCACTGGTTCCTCGTTTTCGATCTCTTCATTCTCTACCTCCTTTTTCGGCAAAGTTACTGTTTTCTTCTGCAGCAGAGGCCAGTCACACTTTGTAATCTCCACGTTTAACCTCTTCATGGTGATGGAGAGAGGTAAAAGTTTCCTTGCGGCTGCCGTTTTCCAGGCTCGGACCGGTGGCGGCGATTCCTCTGCGGCCGTTTTGTGGTTGGGGGAGTTTGGCTCTTCCTTGGGACTGGCCTCGTCGTTCGAAGACTGGTTATTGTCCGTGTTTGAAACGCTGCATTGTCGGCGAGGCTGGAGGCGCCGTGGGACCGGTTCTCGTTCCGGGGACTTCACGTCGGTCTCCTCCCGTCGGTTTGTGGAGCCGCTGGACCTCCGCGTGCATTTCTCCGGCTTCAGAGTGGGTTTTTTGGAGGGCGGGGGTTCGTCGGGGTCCGGGTCCACGTAGATGAAAGTGTAGTTGTCGATTCGCTCTTGTCGCGTCATCTTAAAGGCTTCTTCAGCATGGCCCACTCCGACCTCCCACTGCGAGCGCTCTCGTTGAGGGATGGGCTTTAGCAGCTGGAAGTAGAGAGAAGCAAAATTATCTTTTCAAAGACCTACTGTATTGAGATATTGGGCTTTATTGAATATTGACTATTTAAGTCCATTTTAAATCATTCAGGAAAAATGTCATGCCTCCTAATAATACACCGCCTTCTTACCCAATCAAATTCTACTCCCCTTCTTCCAGTTCATGTCTAAGAGTAGTCATGAAGTATTTTGATATTGTAATATGGACTTTATCTGAATCAACAAAAAAACGTGTAAATGGCAAAATACATCAATTTGTAGGGGCAGAATGTAAATCTGCAATACCTTTTATTTTTTCACAATTAATACTTGTTTTTGTCCAAACATAAAAGCTACTTTAAAAGTAAAATGTTTAACTTTTTTTTCTTTTTGCAAGAGCCTTGAAAGTGACTCACTTCTCACTTCACTGTCTGAAAAACTGATCTTAAGATGTGACAGAGGCCAAAAACATACAGGCAGGTGAAAACTAGTGACAGAACAAAACTGTTTTGAGAGTGAAAAACAAGATGGATACATTTTTTAGGTACCCCAGCTTTAATTTTACAATCTCCCAAAATGAATGTTTTTGAGAAATGTGAAGCTTTCAGGCCTTGGAGAAATAGCTTGTTAAATTTGAATACCCCAGGGCCACCTTTTAACCTTTCACTACTGACTAACTCACACATTGGGATATCGCTGTCCACAAAATAACGTGTAACCCAATATTACCCCCCAAGTGAAAACTATTGCCCACCCCGGAGCTAACATCATTGCAGAAAGCCTTAACTGTTGCTCTTGGAGTTTACCTTTTGTTTCTCCACGGGGTTGGAGGCCTTGCGCAGCGTCTCGGCCTGAAGCTCCTCAAACTGCTGCTTGCCCTGGTACGTGACGATCCTCTTCTCGTGGATCCAGGCGCGTTCAGCTACACTCCCGAAGAACTGCACGTGGTACTCCCTGTGCCCTGTGAGGGTGATAAGAGCATGTCACTAAAAATGATACAGCGGGTTTTGGTCGTAGTTCAAAGGTCCGCAGAGACCGTCGCACCTCTCGTGTTGATGCGGGTGTGCACCTTCATCTGGGGGTCGGACGAGACCATGCACGGCCACCAGGGGTAAGTGCCCACCTTCGACCACACCAGGTCTCCGATCACGAACTCCTTACAGAAGCCCGTTTCCTGGATCACCGATGGATGGTGAACTTTGACCACCTGAAACATGACATTTCATTTTTGTTTTTATTTTCATTTATTTGTTTTCAGGTTCATTCAGGATTCAGTTATTTGACTTTTCAAGTACAGACCTTGAACATAAATTACACACATGAATACAGACCCACTTTTCACCCATATAGAGACCTGAATTTGGATTTCTGAACTCCCACCACATCTACATACATACATACATACACTCACTTTTGCTGCCTGGTCAGTAACACAACTATGTCAACAACAACAACAACAACATCATCAACAACAACAACAATTATACATTGAAATGAATATAATTACTATCTATCCTCATTATCGTCTCACCATCATAATTTTTATGTTCTGTACAGTCATTAGGTTAGACCGGTTTAACCCTCTAATGTTTGCTCAACCATTTGGTTGAACTAGGGGTTATAATTTTTTTTGAAAACATTAAAATATTTGTGTTATAATTTTCTTACTTTGCTTTCTTCAAGGAGTGAATATTAAAGGAATTTAAATAAAAAAGTATTTAATTGCATCGTAAGGCAAGTTTATTTGTTTAGCACAGTTCATTCAAGGCAACTACAAAAAAATAAGATATACATTGCTGGTGTGTGTGAGTGCGAGTGTGTGTGTATGTGTGAGTGTGTGTCGATGGGTGTGTGCTGGTGTGTGTGCGTGAGTGTGTGTGTATGTCAGCGTGCTGCTTTGCGTGTTTGAGAGTATGAGTGTGTGTGTTACCTGTTGTGGTTTCGCTTTGGGAGTCTTTGGTTCTGCTCGGATCACCGTCTTGTGAGGCTTCCCTGTGTGTGCGCTGGGCCCCTCTCTCTGTGGGAGCAGGACGTGTGGCTCCTCCTCTGGGCTCATGCTGCTGCTCTGATGGGGACACGGCTCCAGACTGTTTAGAGGAACCTGTGGCGGCTGCAGCTTGGCCGTCTTTTTCCGCTTTTCCTTTTTCCTGTCGTGTCTGCGCTGCATCGGACCAGTTGGCTTTTTCTGCGACTCCTGCCGAGTGAAAAGTGGACAATGTAAAGCATGAAACACACAGGCAAACTTAGAATACCATTCAAAAGTCTATTTACTTCTGTAATTCAGCTAACAATGGGAAACTCATAAATGATAGTCTCATTACAAGTGAGATATATCAAGCTATACTGTTGATAACTGGCTCACAGATCTCAGAAAATTATAATATCTTTTAAAATGGACTATCAAACAAAAAAAGAAAAAATACACGGGTACATTAGGGCTGCAGCTAAATGTTGTTGTGATGATTGATTAACCTTGCGATTATTCTTTGTCAGAATCAATGCCATTAGAATCCCACTGATGTCTTGCCTGTCTATATTTGGGTGGACAGAATTGGGCAGAAGCCACAAGAGAATATTCTGGTATTTTACATTTTCTACCATGAAAAACATTTACATAATTTCTGACTATTTCTGATAAAGTTGTGACTGTTCAGATATATATGTATTCAGGTGTGTATCTATGTATGTAGGCGTTACTTTGTTATTATTCTTACTCGTTTGTAATTGTTTTTCCATTGTTTCACCTGTATGTTCGCCGAGTCAATAAGCTATGTGCTATGTGACTGGGTGCAGCTTTGACTGCCACCCCCCAACCCAGAAATGGATTAAGGGGAAGAAAATGGATGTATGGATAGATAAATATATACACTTGTTGCAACTATTACAACATATTTACAGATATTTAAGAAGTATTCACAGCTACTTTAATGTATATTGTTCCTTGTGTGCGTTTATGCAGATGTAATGTGTGCAGGTATTAAATAAAACAAAAATCGAATTAATCTCATACCTTGGACATTTTTTAAAGAACAAAGTTTGACATTTGCATTTTTTTGTTTTTATTTTGTATAGCCCTGTTGTGATTCAGGGGGATACAAAAATACATTGAATTGAAGAGAATAGAAATCTTTACTATCTACCTGCAGCTCCTGAAGCAGATCTCCACACAACGCCGACTCGAACAGCTCCTTCCCGTTCTGATACGTCTTGATGATCTTCAGCTTGATCTCGGGGGAGCTGGTCTTCTTCAGGACTCCGCTGTGGGCGCCGGGCAGTGGGTGCGCGGGCTGTGGCGAGGGCGTGCTGTCCACCAGGGAAGGTGGCGGGCTGGACGAGGGCAAGTGCAGGGGCGGGGGCGGGGGCAGCGCGTGGCTCATGATGTGCGGCGTGTGCGACAGGTGCAGTTGAGGCGGCGGCGAGCTGTGCTGATGGATGTGCGGCTGGTAGTGCGATGCGTGCTGCGCGTGGATGTGGTGTTGGTGGTGGATGTGCGAATGGTGCGTGGGGAGAGGAGGCGACACGGGGGACAGCGGCCTATCCTGGAGCCCTGGTCCCCTCAACACCGTCCCCTCCCCGGGCAACAGGCCGTGCTCGCCGTAGCCTCGTATGGCCCCGTAGCCGTTAGCCGAGCCGTTTGGGAACTGCGAGTACAACGAGAACTTTGCCTGCGGCTCGTAGAGACCCAAACTGGCCGGGTAACCGTTGGGGACCTGAGGCATGTCCTCTGAGGCTGACGAGGGGTAGGAAAACTCAGCATCCAGGGCAGTGTTGTATGAGGGCCCATCCTCGCCGGGGTCACTACCAGTGTCACAGGTGCCATCCTGTCTGATGTTCGCCGAGTCAATAAGCTGAGGGGGTTGCTGAATTGTATTTCCCATGATCCCTTGCATGAAAGAGAAGGAGAAATCCATTGTTGAGCTCCTGCATCCTTAACTTTCTTTTTCTTTGACTGGGCCTGTTGACATGAAGAACACGGGAATAAATCAACACGGATCTTATCACAACTGCAGCATCAACATTTCATTTAATTTATATATATTTTTTCAGATTCATATCGGATTCATACAGAGATGTACATTTTCCTCTTCACCCCTATAATGGATGACAATGGATTCAAAACGTTGGCGTGTTTCAAGTCTTGTCTTAAAACCCAATTTTATTCTCTGGCTTTTAACACAGCGAGTTGACTTGTTTATTTAATTTTGTTTTGTTTTTTAATTTCTATCAATCAAGTGCATTTATAAAGCACAATCCATGCAGTGCAACACAAAAAGTGAGTCACAAAGACATAAAATCATACACATTTACTGACATAATAAAACATATGAGAAAAAACATCATAAAACAATTCAACACTCAATGTCAGAAATAAAACTCATTCTCAGAGCTAAATAGTGTTGTTGATTTTAAACACAATAATCCAGTATTTTCATATTGTGACTTTTTTACATCAATCTTTAGTAATGTAATAATTTGTATAGCTGGCAAACTCGTATATTTTTTGTCTCTGCGCTATATACATAAAGTGTATTGCTTAACTCAATTCAATCCAACAAAGGTAGTAACTAATTAATGATGGAGAATGCTGTCAACTACTTTAGTAATTTAAAAGTAATTATAAAAAACTGGTTGAATCCATGTGGAGCCATAATGATCCCAATTTGACTGCTTCAATGAATCTGCCATTTTTTATAATGACAGACAGAGAGAACTGAGCTTGACTTGTACAGCCATAAACATTTATCTCTTACAACTATGAATACTTTTGTCTAAATTCTATGATTGCATTTAACAATTTTGGTGTTGAAATTACTACCGTTCGCTCCAGGGGTTCTCAAACTTTTCATTAAGAGCGTGTGTTAAAACGTGTGTGAAATCAACTTGGGACCAAACTCGATTAATCAAAGCAAGGTAATAATACTAATAGATAGGTTACGCGTTTACTAAATAAATAATCGTCAGCTGTAGCCCTAAAACTAATTAAAAACATACATATGCAGATACTCTATAGCTCTAAAAGGCTGTAATAAATGCAGAGTGAAACTGATGCGTTTTTGTTATAAGTATATAGGAGGATTTTCCCAAATTTTAGGAAAGAACGGCCCTCTCCACTTTTTGAACAAAACTCTCTGGTCTTTCTTGACGAGCACGTATCACCAGAATGATCGACAATTGAGAGAACCAATAGCCTTGATGATCCACCCAAAAGTAAAAAAATCTTCCTACATACCTGTAATAACTAAATAATGCTAATAACTAAACAAAACAAATATGATTCTGATTACTACATTTATTAAAACTTGTTTCTAAGAAGATGTATTCAAGAGGCGTTACTTTTGTTTTGGTCAAATGTATTCAGGAAAATAATCCCCATTTTATTATTATTCTATTAGATTATATTTAATACCCATTAACTGCTAGAGTAAAAGGACTGTGGTGATGATCCAGGACACTCTTAATATTTCTACAACATTTATGGACATTTATCAACATTCATGGACATTGGTCAACTCCTCCTATGGACCAATACCTATGTGTTCTTTATTTTCCTCTGAGAACTACTGCTGTGATTCAGGGCTAAACAAGAATATATTGAATTGAGTAATGGAACTATGTGTTTTTGTATTGATAGTGTAAGTACAAAATAAGTCATGATGAAACGTCCTCAAGGGGATGGACACGCCTCTATTCTTATCTTATTCAAACCAATAATCACCCAACTAAATGATTATCAACATTAACAGCCCTGAATCTAACCACACACTGTCATCCGGCTGAAGTGAACTCGTGATGACCTGGATTCCACTGAATGGTTAGATGCTTGTTTGTGATCTTGCAGACGTGTGTAAACATCAATAGAAGAATTGGACTGAAGCACAGGACAGATGTGTGCAAAAGTACCCCAAGAGGCAACTGATCAGTGGATGCGTAATGTTGCCACTGATAAACAGGGGCTCGGTGCCCATAGCTGGCAGTGGATGATCCCTGTGATGAACCTGGCATATGTCAATACGCAGCTATTCACTAGTTACACAACACAACATGCATATTAATGTTAGTAAATAATCCTGTAGCTGCTTTATCTCAGTAAACACAGGAGCTACTGCGCAGACAAAACATTTCACAGAATGCTCCTTTAGCTTTCTGCGTTATTAGCCTGCTAGCTACAGCTACCTGCCATCAAAGAACTTGCCCTGAAGAAAGTCCATCACAGTCAAGCCAGTAGCATTTTACAACACGACGGCATGCTTTATAAATAACACAATATATCAGCGTGTCGTGTTTGCGCGTAAACGCTATAACAACGTCGTACACCCCTCACATTGCTAAGATATTGAGAAGCTAATGTGGCTATGCTAGCGGTTTCAATATGGCTGCCTTTGCCCCTTTAAATCAAATTGCCTGGCGTGATTAAACCACCATCACGGGTATTTTTTGGTGAAAATGTGAGCACACAAAGGCAGGGCTGACAATGAGGGGAATGCGTGTATATACAACAAAAACATGCATGGCCGAGCGCACTGGTGGTTCTGCGGCTGTACGTGGATGGATGCCGAGCCTAGAGATGCAGCAGGGAAATAAAAATGTCAGTACCTTCAGCGTGTCCCATTCTAAACATATATACACCAGCCAGCACCGTTTTCTCACTTGCTGTAGAAAAGGGGGAGAGGAAAAAATAGCAATGATATCACGAGTATAGTCCTTTTATGTTGTTAAATCTCAGGCCTTGCTTTTTGGTTTTAACGCAATTCTCAACATAGAGCCAGAGAGGAGGGGGTGTTGTTACGCTATCTGCCCGCGGTCCAATCGTCTCGCTCGGCTCGTCCTCCTGCTACATAAGAGGTATTCAAAAAGCTTCACAAGGCTTTTTCTTCTCTGTTGATCTGTATTTTTTCAGCCTGGTTTTTCCAGTGCCTGTAGACCAGTCTTGATTGTAAAAGTCCACAGTTTATGACGACTTCTTGGAGGCGGGTGGTGTGTTGTTGGTGGTGGTTTATCTCCAGGTTCAGCGCGAAACGGAGAAAGGAAAAAAAGGGAAACTTGTCAAGATCCGGTCAGTCGCATGTGATATCGGGATGTGTAGTTCAAATGTACTTTATTCAGTGACATTAATAATTCTATGGGAAAGATACGAGATGCATTTACAGATATGAACGAGATTGAGAATACAAGTGTTGCATGCATTACACAAAAAATAATTAATATTATGCGTTGTTTTTGACATTCAAAATTATGAGGAGACTATTTACGTAAAATCAGATTTCAGATTGTAAAGTATTATCTTAAGTAGAAAATACCTGATGAAATAAGTATGAATGGTAAAAAAGGCTTTCCGCCTGTAACTCCCTATGCTGCCACCAGAGGGAGGAGTAGAAACTGTTTTTGGGGATTTTTTTTTCTTTTCTTTTACAAATTTGAAAATTTCCTGCTGCAACGACAGATATGAGATTGTAAATTATATATCTTCAATGGAAACATTGCCAACATTCATGTATGGTTACTACTTTTGTTGTAAAAGGTATAATACCTGAAAATACCCGTAGAATACATAGCGTGATGTCATTGTTATAAAATTACAGCATATTTCAGGACTGAGAGATAGAAGAGGCGAAGGATGGTTCAAAAAACAAATTCAAGTCTGTTTACTGATGAGAGGAGCAATGTTTAAACAATGGTTTATAGCTATGAAAATATTATTCGTATAATGTCTCCTTTAAGCATTGTTCTATACTTTTCTAAACCATGGAACACATGGTTCCAGCAAGAGGCCTGTGTTCCCTGGAGTCAGGAAATATAGACGTGCAGCTAAAATGTGGAACAATCTTCCCTATAATGTAAGAGGCGCTTTTATTGTATGAGAATGTAATGTTCAAATCTAGATTAAATACAGTGATGAAAAGTTGTGGACATTTTCCAGACTCTTTAGAATAAAAACACTTTTTTGTATTGATTTGTGTTAAAACCTGTTTGTAAGATTTTAATAAATCCAAGTTTGAATTGCTTTGTGTTTGAACTATACCTCTCAATCCTTGTCTAAAGGGTAATCAAACATCCAAATCCTTTTTACCTGAGACAGTCCCAGTGCCCTGTGTCCCAACATATTTATCTAAAAACCATTGATTTGACCCAGTTCTTCACGGATCATGAACCAAATGTCTCTACAATGAACCTGTTTGACACCAACGCAACATTAAAGAAAGAAAAATTCATTTGTTTTAATATGTTCTTTTTGTACATTTTGCTTGAATGATGACAAATTACTTAATGTGTGTGATACGTCAAACATATACATAATTTAGTTGCAAAGGTTTTCAAGTAGTCTAACATTAGATCTGCTTTCCTCCAACTTGTAACATGCAGATCCCACCAATTTTAATAGTTTCACATCAAAAAGATCCATAGTTTGTGAAGAAATGCCCAAAAATATGTTGGCATTTTTTTGGAAGCTGAGCCGCGTTCTCAAACTTATGGCTCTATTACGGAATTTCTATAATAATAACAAGTCAAGAATAAACATGGGACGTTATCTTGATTCAAAGTGTATGTGTTTTTACAAAATCCTTTACTGTCCCTAATACAGAGCAGTTCTCACACAGTATTTTATAGTTGGAGAAAAACATTCAGATTTAGTCCAAACAATTCTGTGCTGCTGTCCTTGGCTGTATCAGGAAATTAAAGTTATTGTAGATATGGCTTAAAGATGACCATAGAAGTCACACACACATGTTTACTATATAATGTTTGGCATATTTTCAATTCAACTCATTCCATAGTAAGAACACAGAGAAACTGGTAAAGTGAAAGAGCAAACAAAAATCGAACTACTGAAAGTTACAGTCATGGGTGAACAGGTTGCCGGTCCTGGCAATGTGTCCGATATGTGAGGTAAGAAACTTGCAGGGACTTGGATGATCTGATTTTACAGAAGAAATAGCAGTAGAAAGATTTTTTTTATTTTGAATGTATGTAAAATGAAACAATAAACAAGATACAAAAAACAAGGCACAAAATAAAAGGTTATGCTTATGTGGCTCCAATCCCTCTCTATAATACAACACACACACACACACACATGACCCAAACACTCTCTGACCATACACCTCTCTTCCACATAAACAAATACACACAATATCAGTTGGAGACACCACATGGCCTCACACAACAGTTCACAAACATTTCACTACAAAAACCTGGGCCCCTCAGAGGGTCATTGTGAGCCACAGTCAGACTTGTATCTATAACAGAGCTGTGCAGTGTAAACAAAGGCGAGCAAAATGTCGAATAAAGTTGCATTTTAAACGTCAATAATGCACATGTGAAACTTAGCCTTAGCCTAAAGTGTGCAATGACATGCTTCGGAAAGGTCGGAAGTCACAGAATTGTGTCTTCTAGTAATTTGATCTCCTCTGAGGGTTAGAGAGCACAGAGAAATTTTTTTAGGATCGTCAAAGAGAAATAAATCAGGAACACTGACTTTTTTATCTTTATTTACAAGCATAACTTGACTGTTTTGCCATTGTACCGGATGTAATTTAGGTCATATACCAGGACCAGGCATTGAACAGCTGCTGTAGGCTTGCACTGTATGGACACAGCATTACTAAGTAAGTATGAGTAAGTCATCTTTATTTGTATAGCGTATTTCACAGAGCAAGGTCACACAAGGCACTAGATTATCTCCAAGTGGTTCAACAGGTAACTTTCAACTAAACATCCAGTTTTGCACTCTTTAGCTGTAGACACAGGTCATGTAGACGTTATACTAAATTACAACAAACACATTTTTGAGATACTTCAATGACTCAAAAGTCAATAAACATAATGTGTATTGTACATTTAGTCAAATCATAATTTTGATGTACTTAAAAGCAATTTCAGCTCATGATTACAATGTACATACAAGGTAACATACCCAAAGTTATGTCAAAATGTAAAACAAAATAGAAAAAGTACAAATCCTACACAAGGCAACACAAAGTGCTTAACAAAAAAAGATATAAACAATCACACAAGGCATTCAAATCATAAATCACAGTTGAAGACACAATTCTTCAGTTGTATGGTTATTTTAACCTAACCATTGGCAGAGTAGAAGCCTGTTTCACATTTTCAGATAGACTGTTCTAGATTTTAGCTGCATGAATCTGAATTGCTGTCAACACATGTTTAGTTTATCTAGTATAAATAGTCCAAACATAGAATATGGGCTATAAAGTTGGAGTAACTTACAATCAAACTACAAAAATGCAGAGTTATGTAATAATATCCATTCGCTGCTGAAGATTCGAAGAACATTCCAGGCACAAAAAAAACTTGTATATGGACTCAAGCTAAACATTTAACCTATACCATACATCCGGAAAGTTTTATAATCCACCAGTACTAATATGTTTTGTTTGTTTTTTTCAATCTTCTTGAGTGAGCCCTCTGCTTTGCCCACACAATCTCTACGTGCATAGACGATCTTTGTCGGCGTACACTGCCGCCTCTGCGCGTGACCTCAGTGCGGCAGCTGCCTTCGCTGCTCGTACTCTTCCCGACAGAAACCTCCGCAGATCGCACACAAATCCACGGTTTTAAACCCTCCGTAAATGGGGTTTTCACCTTCCCAGACGTTACTCTATTCGGCACGGATTACCTCGGACGCACGTTGTGGATGGATTGTATTGTTAGCTTCCTCTTTACGCCCAGTCAGCAGCTACAGCTCGGTCAGTGACGCTGGAGGTGAGTGCTGCCATTTCACTGAGCTAGCTTCCAATGCTAATGCTAATGCTAATGCTAAGCTTATGCTACCAAGCTGCTAGCCACTCCACCACCACCGCTGCCGCCACTGTAAAAGATAGCTGTCTGACAGGTTAATAATTAAGCTGACACCTCTCAAAAGTATTATATTTAACTGTATACTAGGAATATAACATAATTCTTGCTAATCAAAACCAAATATATCTGATGATTGAAAGTCTATTTGGATTGTTAGCGTTAATGTTTGGAAAAATGTTACAATGTTACAATATTTTTGTTTTGTTTTTCCGCGTTTCCTCTTAAATGCGTGTTTGTCCGTGACTTTTAACTGATATATTTCAAAACATTAGTCCATATTAGTCCACGTTAACATTGGGTACGCTTTATCTGTCAATATAATCAGGCCCGTCCTAAGGGCTGTGCGACCTGTGCCGTCGCACAGGGCCTCGCACCACACAGGGGCCTCGCAATCTTCCTTCCTTTTATTTTATTTTATAAATACACTAGTTCAAGGGTCCCCAAAGGGCAGACTGCACTCCAAATTTGGAACCCTAAACCCCTTTCTCTGGACCTCTTTGATTTCGTTTGATCAAAAGAACATTTTTACAAGTAAAGTCAAATTTTCACCAAAAGCGATTTGTAAACAGGCAGGCGCGCGGGCAGCTATGTATGCAACGGGTCCTCCGAAAAAACTGTCAGATAACTTTAGCAGTGTCTGAGTGAGATACAAAGAAAGTAACGGGAATGATCGCAGTGTAGGAGAGATGGATACTCGCGGAGGAGCAGTGAGACAGGTGTGAGCAGAGGAGCAGACCCCTTTGTGTGAGCAGAGGAGGAGGAGGAGGATCAGCGGTGTGACAGGTGTGTGAGCGCTGCTATTGCCAATGTTTAGTCCGAATATCCACATCAAAAACATATTTTTAAAAGCATTAGCAAACACACTGTATGTCTAGCTTTAGCTAGCTGGAGTGTTTTTGTTGTGGTCAGAGTGTGTGGAGGAGGAGGTGAAGAGTATTTTGTTGTTGTCAGTGTGGAGGAGGAGGAGTGTATGTTGTCAGAGTGTGGTGGAGGCATGGCAAAAACGTTATTTGATGAGAAAATAATAATATTGACTCCGCCTCATAGCCATTTTGGCGCATTTTGCCAAAATCTAACTATTAGAAGAAAAAGACTCCTTTTGGTTCAATCTTTTGAGTTGCTCTGCCATTTTGCCACAGGACGAAAGAGACATGTCAGCTAAAAAGACCGCGACCAATATTGCACGTAGAGTGTGTGTGCGTGTGTACGTGCGCGCGCCAAACGCTGCATAGGAGCGAAGACACTCGGTTACACGCGTGCTGATCTCTTCACGCACCGCGCGAGGTGGTGCTGAATTCATGTCAAAGATTATAACAGGAAAAACTTTCCTCAGATCTGGGAAAAAAGTGTCAGGGCAGGGCCTCGCGTTTCGAGTTCGCACAGGGCCTCGCACCCCCCTTGGGACGGGCCTGAATATAATATCTGCACACGATTACAATATGCCAATCCAAGTGTTATCTAATACCTACGTAAAACATGTGTACGTTATCAAGGTGAGAGCTTGTGGTCGTCATGAATACGCGCATTATCAGCTTGCAGCGTAAAATTCAGCACTTTTTGTGTTCTGTGCGGCTTATGATGGATGGTGGAACAGTTTGTGCTGCTTTTGAGTCAAGCTGTTGCACATAAATGTAACCGGATACTTTGCAACGCCCCCCTCACGTCTCCATGTGCTTCTCCTCAGAGTTCCCACAGCTACAATGGCAGTCTTCAGTCACCAGGTGCTCTTCGCAGTGACACGATCCAGGTAAAGGCCTTGTTTTTGCACTCTGGGGCAAGATCTTGATCATAGGAGGAGCGAGTGCTGGATTATGCACGAACCTAGATCAAATTACCATTACGTAAATCTAATTCTACGGTGTTTCCTGTTCACAACAAACCATTAGAGTTAAAATGAAGCAAGCTTAGAAGTTATGTTTTGAAGATCGGTATGTGTGTTAAGATAGATACTGGATCAGCTGATTTTTCGTCAAAAAAAGCAAGTTTTTTTCAGTTGTCCAATCCTTCCTATTTATAAATGTTTCATGTTCATAGCCAAGACTTCGCTAGACAAGATTCACTCTATGTGCCTGCTAAAAACAAACTACGGTGCCTTTTCTGATTGTGTCAAACTATATCAATGCATTTTTTTCTACTCTTAGTCCAGTTTTTTCATTCAGAATGTTATGATGTTGGTAGTACAGATACCGATCAAGTGCAAGGGAAAGTAAGTAGTTGTATTAGCCCTGAAATAGAAACAGAAAGTGTTGCTTTTGCTTCTATAGGTTGTTAGGCTCCACCATTTCTCATTGATAAAACTTCTGCCCATGTTGAATGTTTATGTAACATTCTGATCTTATCCACATGACTCAAAGTGCATGAAAGTCTGCAGCCGGCACGTGATATGTCTGTGCTCTTACGGCGAGGTCACAGTGAAATGTTAAAGTAAATACATTGGTGATGTTGTTAGATTTAAACTACACAGGAGAGAAGCCACATATTTTCTGTGGCATAAGTTTACCGTGATAGAATGTATAGCACACACACAAATCGCTTTGAATCGCAATTTGTTATTTTTCATGTAACTTAATCTTCAGTGAGTAGTTTTAATATAAACAAAGAACTGTAGCTTGGGTTAGAATAATCTTGAGGGACCTATTTTCCTTATCAACAATGACAACAAATAACCTCTTGTCTTGCAACATTGATTGCACTATAATAAAACCATGACTTTAGTAGAAGCTTGATGGTATTTTCTTTTTCTTATCTAATTCTCCAGTTAATCATTCATTGCAGACACAAAAGAAAGTATTATGTAAGAAGTCCTCTTTTATTGTACATTGCATGGAGCAGACTTTGTTTAATGATATGATAATATAGAGCGTTGCTTAAAAGTTGTTTAAAACCTGACGCACGTCTTTGTAAAACACTTTGAAGATGGACTAAATATCACATAATCAAAAGCAGCTAACCTGTAAGTCATTCAGTCTCTACAGACTTTTTCAGAAATGCAGGTGACAGTGGCATAAACATTTGAGGGAAAACAATGCGACTGGTGAACTCCCTTCTCAAATTCTGTTCATGTGAATCTAATACTTAGTAAAGGGCTGTCAGATATTTTTCTTTACAAAGTCTCGTTACAAAAAGTCTGGGTGTGTCCATAATAGAAAAGGTAACTACATTATTGCAAGTTTTAAAGTAAGTAAAAGACATCTGGGTTGTTAAAGCTCAAAGCAGACAACAACCCAAACGTCTCACTGATTTTTTTTCTTGTTTTGGCGGCAGACGCAACAGTACAGTGTGTAACCAGTTTTTCTTGTCTTCAGGGGATCCTATTTATTATCCAAGAGACACGGCTGCTCCTCCCTGTCCTCCAAAGCCTATCTGCACATAGAGCCGCCCCACAGGTTTTCAGTGGTTTCCTCTAGACACTCCCGCTTCATTTCCCCCTGCAGTGAGAGCCTGAGCCACAGAGTCACACTCTTGGCTCGCTCTCTTCACGGCTCGGCCCCCTTGCTCCAGGACATAAAGCCCGATGACGGTAAACCTCCTGACGCCGCTGCTCAGGAGTCTCCTGCAAACAAAAAGGATTCTACTGTTTCACCGTCGCCTCCTGCAGCTGCTCCGGTGCAGGCCGCCACTGCAGCCGCTGTGCCGCCAGCGCAGGAGAGGACTCTGGTCAAAAAGTCTCTGTATGTCAGAGTCGTGGACGAGCTTAAGCACTACTACAATGGGTTTCGCTTACTGGGGATTGACATCAATATCGCTGGACGAATGGGATGGAGACTTCTGCACGGACAGCTCCTCACACGCAGGGAGCGGAGGAGGGTAAGCTCTGCTTCAATAGACTGTTTTATCACTTTGTGTTTGGGGATGTGTTTTAGGGCTGAACAACACTAGTGTATCATAGAGTACTGACGGCATGGTTAAGCATCTGCTTTAGTCTGTGCCAGCTGTCATGTTTGACCCTGGAGACTTAAAGAAATCCTCATTCATTCATTCATGTATTTATTGAAAATCCTTCACCCTTAAAGTATTGGTTTGAAAAAACACATTCCCCTCAAAATGCCTTCTATCAATTTGATCCCAAAAATGGGGTATTGGCCATTCTTAAACAGACGTAACAACAGACGTACTCCAAACACATTCTTTGTATCTTTTGCAGTCACAGCATAAAGGGACATGTTCTAAACTCAAATGCACATAGTCTCATAGTGACATTTCTCTCTCCTCCAGTTGTTATTGATGTTGTATTGTCACTGTTCTGGAACATTACAAACTGCAGAGCTGTCACCTTCTCTGCACAGACAGTGATACTGTATTTGGTCTATTTTGGGCGTCTGGCTTCACATGTTTCAAAGGCTTGAAGCGGCCTGTGATTGTGTGTGCGCTGCGCATGAGGACATGTGCCCCTCTGTGTTTGTCTTGGCTTTGGAAACTCTGACGTTATCTTCCGACTTCTCAAAATCAGTGTTCTTGAGGAACCAGTGACGGGGATGACACAAGCACACAAACAACAATACAAAAATGTGTAGAAATGTTGTTACTTCTATTTAAATAGTAATTATACATCTACAATCTAGTTCTTGTGGCCATAAAGTCACAGGTTTCCCAGTTGAATTTCCTTATTGAGCAGCGTTCTTTCACATTTTTTTAGAGTAGGAAGTTGGAATGTCTGTGTTTTGAGATCGTATGTGTCCTGATCTGTTTGTGTGTATGAACTCATGAGGACGTGTTGTTGATCTGTGTGTGTTTGTGTGCAGCTCATGAGGACTTGTGCCGACCTGTTCCGCCTGGTTCCCTTCATGGTCTTCATCATCGTTCCCTTCATGGAGTTTCTTCTTCCTGTTGTCCTGAAGCTCTTCCCTGAGATGCTGCCCTCCACCTTCGAGACAGAATCCAAGAAGGTGAGTTGGTTTGTCCCGAGTCTAGATTCCATCCCTGATTCTTACAAACACTAGTCTGTTGTTTAAATACAAATAACCACAGGGACAGTACTTTAGACATCAACACAAACATTCTCAAAATAAATTGATCATTCTAAAAAGCTAACCTAGACTACAGAATGTATTTTCTACTCAAAACAAAACAAGGAATGTGTCCAGGTTGTTTTTCACCCAGGTTTCCTCACATGATAATTGTGTAATGTATGATCTAAAAAAAAATGAAAAGAGAAAAGAAATTGCACAAATTTTCTGTGAAATTCAGACCCCCAGCCTTGACATCAAATCATATATTTATCATGAAATGTTTCTTGGTATTCATGAACGGATATTTCCTCGGGCTGTGGTACCACGCTGATGTCGAGATACAGAAGACATAAGCCTCAATTTCAACACATTGCAAAACACGATATATTGCAAACGTATTTTTATATGCTAAACATAAGAACGAAACAGACTTGTTTCCTAATCTTCTAACCGTCTGTCCCATCCCAGCTCTATGATTGCAACAAAGAATAAGTGGGGACAACACAACAAACATTTAATTCCACGAATGGCTTTTATTTAGAAATTAGAACATTATTGCTATAAGTGTAAGTGTAAATGTGACGATGCGTGCGTGAAGTGTTCGTTTTCTTGGGCATATGGACTATGTCACTCCAAATATCATTACCTCACGGTTATATCCATCCTTTCTTCCGTTCCAACCCCAACCCTGATGGAGAATATCAAAACATGCCATATTCATAAGGTCTTTAGGTGGAAAAAAGTCTGATTTTTTTTGTGTTGAGTTAACGACAAAAGTTCTTTGATTTTGCAGACTGTCTACTCTGACTTTTATAATGTGTTGTGGTCTATGTTTCTCAATAATTGGGACGATACTGTCCTTGGGGCATAATTGTGGGAAATATTGAGATTAGGACAGATTGGGGCTGACCCTCTCTACAAATCGGACACTCCTTGTTTTGTTAAATGTTCTGTATATGACTTTTCTATTCAGGACAGAGCTGTTTTCTGGACTCATTTTGAACTTGCAGTCTGACAGTATTTTATCCTAGTATTAGTCTTTGCTTTATGATCTTTTTTTCATATCATCTTTTCACTACAAGGAATGTGTTTTTCTCCTCTCAGTCAGCTTGCAAAACACAATATTACTCTTTGTTTTATAAGGTGGAAATATGGTGACAGGAGCTTTCTGTACAGACACAATATTCAAATTGAGTGTTTCTGCAGGAGGAGAAGCAGAAAAAGGGGTTGGCTGCGAAGCTCGAGCTGGCCAAGTTCCTGCAGGAGACGATCGCTGAAATGGCTCGCAGGAACAGGGCCAAAGTCCAGACGCAGGACGAGACCCAACGCTTTTCCACTTATGTGCAAAAGGTACGCGTTTTTCCTGTTAATCCATAGTAGTTTTAGTCTTGTGGATGTGGGATTGCGCAGTAGACACATTAGTACATCTCTAGGGAAAGGTCTTGTTCGATGAGGTTTCTTTGGACAGTTGTAGCTTGAGTAATGAGCATAAGGTGATTATTACGTTTGCCTGCAGTGTCCCTTACAATATTCAGACTGGGTTATTTTAGCCGTGAGCTAACCATAGACTGTATTAGGAGTGGACTGACAGTGCTGATGTCACCCATAGTGTTGGCCTTAATGCGGAAGAGGCTGCATTATATCATGTTATACCTTAGAGTTAGACCTAACACACGGAAAGAGAATCATACTGTGGTAATTATTATAAATGTGTAAATATACCAACCCATGGGGAAACTATGGAAAATACTGTTGCTTGATTGTATATAGTAGCAATTTAAAAAATGTAAGTCTACCTAGTGCATAAAGTAGGAATTTTATTAAATGTTATGTAGATTTTTTTTTCTTCTAATTTTTATTTGTATGCATGCCTTGTTCCATTTTTACTTTTTTAACTTGTTTGCACCAGGAGCCAAAGCAATTTCCTAGTTTGTGATTTCTTGTTACTCACAATGCCAATAAAGAGCTAAGTGTATATTTTATAAATATATATTTGCATGTATTTGTATATACTGTAAGCACAGTAGGCAACAGAACAATGTACAAAAGTATCTCCATAAACTAAGGAATGTAAAGCCTATAAATACTTCTCAAATGAATTAATAAAATAAAATCAATTATTCAAAGGGCAAAACGTATCTGGTGTTTGATTCGTTCTGTGTCCATCTTTGTCAGGTGCGAGGCACAGGGGAGCAGCCCACCACCAGTGACATCGTGAAGTTTTCAAAGCTGTTTGAGGACGAGCTGACACTGGAGCACCTGGAGCGCCCCCAGCTGGTGGCTCTGTGTAAACTACTGGAGCTGCAACCCATCGGCACCAACAACTTACTGCGGTTTCAGCTCATGATGCAGCTCCGGACGATCAAGGCCGACGATGAGGTCAGGGGTGTTATTGAGCTTTTAACTACGTTTCAACACTCTGCCTCATCAGTCTCAGACCTGGAGTTGTTTTTAGATCTATCTACGCTAGGGCTGGGCGATATATACGGTATAACCGGTATGCAATATAAATTTGGCCCACGGTAGAGATTTTTGTTTTACCGGCATATTGCAATAGGTCATCATGTCATCAAATTGCGCAGGCTCTGACGCCAGCAGAAAGGACCAAAACAAACCGGCATTCAGCAGCATTAGCCTAGCGCATGAGCCTAGCAGCATTAGCCTAGCACATTAGCCTTGCACATTAGCCTAGCAGTATTAGCCTAGCAGACACCACTGGAAACGGCGAACAACAGCACGGCATTAACACCGTGTTTCTGTCTCTGTATTGTTGTCACAGCGGCCGCAGCAGAGGTAAATACACACACAGTAATCACAGTTTACATGTCTACCTTTTGGCCAATCAGTGTCAAAGGGGCGTAGGCTCGAAGCACCAGAGCCAAAATAGATCCATGCGTGTGCCGTGTCCGCAGCATCATCACATCAGAAGTTTGGGAAAGTTAGCGTCAGATTTGGACCTCCGCGGTCAATAGCTCACGAAAGCTACTTTGTTAAACAAAATTAATTGTGCCAAAATGACCATTTACATCAATTGTTCAAATCCAATGTGCTGTTTTAATGCAGATAAATCCATTGAATCATCCACTTTACTGCAAGCGCAGAGAAAAGCGCTTAGGGAGCGTCAACAAATGGCAAGACCAGCTTTGTAAACGAACAGTAGCTTTTACTGAAGCCATGTACCTACACAAAACTCTGACACTATAAATAATGACCATGTCTAACTCCTACAGGCTTTGATTTCAACATTTGTGAGTTTTTTAAATATTTTAAATGAATGCATATGTTTTTCTTTATTTGCTTTTACAGTAAATGTTACAGCATTTGTCTCACAACTAAACTACAAATATATATACTAGATTATAATATATAAATAAGTAACAATCTTGACTGTTTTATGCAAGAACCTGCTAGACTTACATTGAAATTCACACACCAAATTATACCGCAATATATACCGTCTACCGTCTGTGACCCAAATTATACCGCAATATGAATTTTAGGCCATATCGCCCACCCCAATCTACGCTAATGTCAGCAACTTCTGGCACAAACATGTTGCCCTACTCTACTTTACCCCATGTAGGAGTGCTTCCATCGGCCCTGTTTAACTGGTACCAGATACTTTTTAGTACTTGTTAGTTTGGCCCTGGTTCCTGGCTGAGCTGGTACTAAAGTGTTGGCCAGAGTGCTGCTGGAAGCCATGATTACCAAGGAATTTCCCCCAGATACTGGTTGTGGATAGGTTGCTAAAATACGGTACCAGAAGTAATAGTTACACAACCAAGTAGAGTTGAGCAGAGTAGAGCTAGTGGAAACAGGATTTTTGACATAAGTTTTCTGCCTTTTATTGCCTATGTATTTGTTTTTGTATTTTCTCAGTTAAAAAGACATTCTTAACAATCAAATGTCTGTTTTTAGCCAATAAGTTTACGATTTGGGGGGGGGGGACTCCCTCTGGTGGTAGTATATGGATAGGTCATCGCTAATAGACCGTGGAACTCTGTAGCTTGTTGGTAATATGGACTTCTTGGCGCTTGGCTTGTATTTCTGTGTATATCTGTTCATGACACAATTTTGTGTTTTTTGGATGCATTTTTATGCTCTAACACAAAATTAGTACTTCAATATACTCTTTTCAGAATGGAGACATAACTTTGTTCTTGGCCTCTCTTTGTCAGATGATCGCAGCTGAAGGCGTCGCGGCCATGAGCGTGTCAGAGCTCCAGGGTGCGTGTCGTAGTCGTGGGATGAGGTCTCTGGGTCTCACTGAAGACCAGCTCCGGCAGCAGATGCAGCAGGTGAGAACGAACGATTCAATGTAATTTGTTTTTGTCCTAAAATCACAACGGTATTTAGAGAGGACAGAGGACTTTTCAACACTATTGATTCACCAACACAGATTAGAGAATCAAACCGTTCAAACACAGGAAATGCAATTGTTAAAAAACCGCATAGAGCCATTGGTCCATAGTCAGCAGAATGACCAATGTCCATGAATATCCCAGAGCATCACTGTCCTTAGACCCTCCTGATAGTATTATGATAGTATTATTGAATGTGGATTTGAGCGTGTCGTTGCTGTTCCCTCTCAGTGGCTGGATCTTCACCTGAAAGAGAACGTCCCTCCTTCACTTCTGCTGCTGTCCAGAGCCATGTACCTCACCGACCTCAAACCAAAGGCTCCAGTGATCCCTCCGGTCGCCAAGCTCGAGGTACGACCTGCACACTCTCTGCTGTTTGGAGGCTTTCACACCACCCCCAGTTTACGAATCAAGGATTATCTTTACCCGACGACAGCCTCAATGATTACAGATAGTCCAGACCCGACAGTATTTAATTTTTCACTATGATTACGTTTACAAGAAAGAGTTTGCTATAAAAAAAAGACACCCAGATTTTGCCTTGTGACGCTTTAAAAGGGGTCTCGTAACTTTAGCCTAATCCATTTTTCTTACACCACATATTAGTTTTTGACCATGTTTCAACATTGTTCCCTCATCAAAAACAGACCTGTTGTTTTTAGCACCATCTACACAACTCAAACACGTCCCGTCGCACCTTCTGTCTATATTCTCCCATCTCAAACTTGTTACACTGAGTGCGTTTGCAAAGCTTAAGAATATATACCGCAAAAAAACACTATTCAGAGTTGCTCCCAAACCCATCTACTACTCTGCTCCCAGTCTACATCACATTGTGTACATACAAGGTGTATATAAGCACAGTTTTGGCAAGTGTAACACGCAACATCTTTGAGCATTTGGTTTTCACACAACTTCTCACGTCATTCTATTTACAGTATTTAGCAGAATTAAATGTACCATATTTCCTGCTTTTGCTGCTCGAAACAAAACCAAACAATGAAACTCATGCAGAGGGACTGTGTACTTATTTAAAATTATAAAATACACACATTTCTAATATGAGCCTGGCTTTTCCCTGTGCTCATAAATGCATCTGCTGGCCTTGTCTCTCTAGTATCCGTTTTCTGTGGTTATATGCCAGCTTTAACAGAGTAGAAATGGTTTAATCCAGTAACTCAAACACTCAATAATGCGTTTTGCTCAATAGAACTAATTTGATGTATCCAGTTTTCACTACTGCCACATAAACATACTCAATAGTGATTTTTTTATTTAAAAAAATGTCCCTTCCCACAGAAGTCGCCCCCTCCTGTAGAGAAGACGGAGAAAAACGCCTCTCCGGTCAGTGCGGAGGTGCTCAAAGACCCTGCTCTCATTATCAAAGACAGAGCGGTCAGTCGCACAGAGCCTTCTATGCTTTGATGCCGTCGTCTTCTTTTTGCTAAATCTTTCTCATTTTCAGGTGGAGGAAATCCGAGATAAGGCCTCAACTCTTTCTGACAAACCACTCACTCCAGCAGAAGTCCTCCAGGTCAGAACTCTTCACTTGTTCTTATTTATAAAGTCTTCAATGTCACAGTCAAGTTTCAGGGTAAATCGTTGAAATAGTGGATCGATATTCATATTTTTTCAGTTTGCATCGTCCTCTGAACCTGTGTCAAACGGCTTCAAAGGATTGTGTAATACTTTGATCTTTATCACATGAGCAGCTAATCTCTAAAGGAACGCTCTGTAAAATGGTACATTTCAGTTCAGTTGTAAGTCCAGCTCTCAGAAGGTTTGGACCCAGGTTTGGGACCCAGGTTTGGGACCCAGGTTTGGGACCCAGGTTTGGACAAGGTTTTGACCAGGTTCTATTATCTTTCAGGCAAAAGCAGCCACAGAAATGTCCCACAAGAGCAAGATGAGTGCAAATGGTGTTTGAAGCGAGGCCTCTGAGAGAAGGTGAAAGATGTTCAGACGAGTCGCAGACACTTCCTCCTGAAGGAGTTTCTCTAAACTGCATCAGTGAAGGATCTGTTTCACTCGTTTCACTGCGAGGCTTTAGACGGAGACAGGTGTGAGCCTCACTCCGTTCTCGTCCAGAGCCTGAACGACGTCCCCCGCTCTCTGTGGCTCCTCTGGTGCTCACTCCACTTTCTGTAAATGTGTAAATACTGTAAATTATGTCTCTGACATCGCAGCAGCTCCTCTGTACAGTTTGCTATGCAAAGGCCATTGTCTCTTGAATTTTTCAAGTTTTCTCTTGTAATTAGTTTTATTTGTGAACCTGCAATTCTGTTTCAGGAAATGAACAAGGTAATTTACTCCCAAGTTTATATTGAACATTTTAGTTCAATAGTTCTAGTTTTAATTCAACCTGATGCACAAGCATCAGTCCAGTAGAATCTCCAGCAGTGAACAGTTTGAAAACCACATTAAGAAATTAACCTCCCAAATACCTCCATATTTAAACGATTGGTCTTCACACTCACCACATAAACCAGGTCTAAAACAGGACTTTACGATGTCCAGGTTTAGGACAAACAATGTTAAAAATAGTACTGCACTAGTTCTGTAGTAGTTCATGACTTTAGGATAATCGTCACACAGAACATGTGGATTAGCTAAGGGTCCTATAAACGATTGAGCTGCAGTGGCACCTATGTACCACCAGCTGGACACGCCCCACGGTTTGAGAAACACTGATCTGGAGGTATTGTTATTAAAATCTGATATGAATTGACTTTAAATTAGGTTCTTATTTCGCTTGCTGCTTGAACACTGAAAGCTCAAGTTTTACTGGGAAAGCACTCATTCCCCGATGAGCGGCGTCTGTGGTAAAGTTTACTGCGTATTGGACTAAAGCAGATTCCATCTGACTGTAAAAGGTGTATGTATTGTATTTTAATGCTAATATTTAAAATAAGAAAGAGAAAATACTTGATGTTGTCCTTAAAGATATATTATTGTGGGAAAACTCCCCGACGAGATCAGTATTTTTGCTATTGTGGCATCAAAAGTGTTTATGTATACATGATATTTCCCTGCTCCTCCATGATGAAGCTCTGAACTCCTTTTGGAAAGTTTACCTGAAAAGTTTGGCTTGTGTTTTTAGTTTTATCCTCTTCCTCCATCCTCCTCTCCCCCGGACACATGTTTGACCAGATGTGTCTTTGCTCTTCATCGGCACCAACTGTTCTGTGCCATAAACTGTCTTTAACCACAACGTTGACTGTTTCCCATTGATGAAGACGAAGGCAGACTTCCATAAACAACACCGGACTCTTCATCGTGTCCCAGAAACACAATATACACACATACAAAAGTGGCATTTATCTAATTTAGTAAGTGATCCATAGTTAATTGCTATCGATCCTGTGCCTACATATTTGTGATTAAGACTAAATTAAATAAATTCAAATAATAGTAATTTTGTTGGGCGATTAGATTTGCGAAGTATTGATAGCTACAAATTGACAGCTAGATACTGTCAAATTGAGTTTTTGAGAGAATTTTGAACAATGCCATGTGTTTTGACCATATTCTGTACATAGACCTGAAGCTGAGCCAAGGCAAGCTTATTTGTGTAGCACTCAAAGGACTTAAAACAAGAAAGGAAACATTAAAATCACACAAAGCATTAAAACCATAATGACAGAACATTAAAAAGGAGATACAGTCCTTCAGTTGTATGTTTTTATCCTGGATTTGATCATTGTCAAAGTAGAAGCCTGGCTCACATTTTCAGGAAGACTGTTCCAGATTTTGGCCTATGTCTGAACCAGTGATTTTCAACTTCTCATACTCCTCAACTACAAGACAAAATTGTTATTATAAAACCGGTTTTTCTTTTTTTTAGTACTCTGGAATCTCTATGGGTAATTTTTGCTGTATTTTTTGGGTTACTAAGTTTGATTGGCTCTACTCAAAATTCTACTTCTACTCTTTTCTTCCACGGGGGCTGCAGTCCAGACTTCCCTCTCCACACACACTTCCTCCAGCTCATCCGGGGGAATCCTTAATAATTCCCAGACCAGCTGAGAGACCTAACATCTGGATCTTCCTCCCCTGTGTTTAAGGAAACTCAAAGAATGTCAACAGTCTACAGTCTGTCTAACACTCTTACTCTTACACTTAAACCTGGCAGCCTTAACTACTTCTTCTTGGTGTAAATGGGACTCTAGCCCGGGCCACTCTCGTCTCCAGAATCAATGGGAAACTTTGACGATTGGTTTTACTTCTATACAGTATGTGCCTGATGTACAAAAAAAAAAGATAATCCACTATTTTGTGTTAGTTTTCTTTTTATTTGAACATTTAGAAGAGGCTTTTGTTGCACTTTATGTCAAAATGACTTCTGCATTTTCTGTAAGGTTGTTCCGGTGTCGTTTTGGCTACGCAGGGGAAAAAAACTGCCAATTTCCATCTAAATCCACTATAGACTGTTACTGTCGTGTGCTGTAGACCTTATTTGGCCTGGAATGGTCCACAGTTAAAGCAGTAGAAACAACTTTATAAAATGTAAGTTTTATATTATATTGGGTATCATTCCTAGCAAAGAAAAGAGAATCAAAATCTGGCAAAAACGTGATGAGAAAGATTGCACAATAAATAAGTCTGTATAAATATCTTGAAAGTTTACGACAATATTTTGGCTCAGATGTTTGTGTTTCACTGCGTAGCTATGACGACGCCTGTTTTTGTCGTGTCATCTGCAAAAGGTTGTGTGTTTGACAAAGAGAACGTGGACCTTTTCACCGTGACTTTTGATGCATTTGATGTCTACAATGGAAATGGATGGAAAATCAGAAGCTGCTAATAAAAAGGCATTTGGTGACGTACTCCTGTGGTTTAATTATTTCATTATAAAAAGCTGGGTTTACCTAATGATCAAACTTACATAGGTAAAGTGCAAGTTTATTTGTATTGCACAGTTCATACACAAGACTGTTAGCAAAAGTGGAAACGATCGCACAGCATTAGAATCATTCATCACAAAGAGCAAAGATACAGTTCTTTATTGTACATACAGCTAAACGGAATGTTTTTAACCTGGATTTGATGTTTGGCAGACTAAAACTAAATTTTCAATATAAAAAGTTAGGATTTTATTATTTTTCCTCATATTTTGACTTAAACATTATGAGAACAAGCCATAATTTATTAAGAGGTTGAAAAATTCTTGAGTCATATATATATATATATTTACTTTATTCTTCATGAGGAGTAGCCTGGTCTTACCACACCCTCGTACACAATTCATTTGGACAATAATGAGTTTACGGATGGCTAAGGTCAGGCTAAGGTCAGGCTATGAGGAGCGGTCGCGCTAATATTTGACTGTCTTCAGATGAACAGCAGATGGCGCTGTTTCCAAGGTTACAGCCTCAGCTCTTGTAAACATGTGAAACGTGATAAATTCGCACATACAGACGCTTTTATCCCATGTTTCTTTGCTTGTACAATGTCATTGAAGAAAAAAAAAACATTGTCATAAAATACCGTTTAAGTCAAAAGTCTGTGTTCAAAGCAGTGTTGCACGGGGAAAGGGTGGATCTATATTTACCACAGGACTTCAGAATGTACTTCTGACATCTGATCTGACACTGCGGGGTTGACTTGTTGGTGCAACACGTCTAATATTTACAGTCTGTGGTTGGCGCACGCAGGTCTGAGGATTCTTTCTTTTTAAGCTTCGTACAAAGGTCGAGTAGGTAATGTTTTACCTACTCGCGTCCTTCAGGCTCCACCAGCTGAAGAATAAAGACAATATCTGCTGCTAAAGTGTCCCAGATACAAGGTAAACACATTCAAATACTATTATATTTCACTTGTGTTTCCATCATGCTCACTATCCACGCAAGGGAAGGCATGGCAAGTTTATTTGTAGAAGAAACAGTACATTAAAAACACAATCCTTCAGTTGTATTCACGGAAACTGTTAGAATCCTGTCTCACATTTTAAGAAAGACTGATCCATATTTTAGCTGCATAAACAATAGTTAGTTTAGTTTTAGTTAATTTATTTCAGTCTCTTCACTCAGACTTCTGAGTCTTCATATCGAATGTATTAGGAAGCGCGATACAAATATTTAAATGGACAGTATATGACATATTTGTATTATATCGTGTCCTCAGATAACAGGTCACATATACAAATCATTAAACCTTTTCCGATCAGTTAAAAGTGTAGCTTTTTTAAGGCTGTTTTTGGGCTGGCTGTTTGTTATTGAAATTTAGGTGGTTTTGGCTATTTTTTCTTTTTTTCACTTTCAAAAAATAGCACCACATATCTGTTTGAATGAAAGCAGACACAAAACAAGCTGCCAGACATTACACACAGAGTTTGTACTGTTTCCAGCTAAACCCCAGCAGGTGGATAGCATCAGTAATCCGTGCATAGGAGCCAGTTCTGTCACAGGCAGGAAGAATCTGGCAACGTAAGTGTGATTTCAATGACTTATTACATACTGAATTACGTCATTATAATTTAGATTGGTTTGATACTTTCCTTTTCTTTGATTTGTTTTCTCCAGATGAAGCTCACCGTTGTTTTGTTTTTGACCGTGGCTTTGGTCTCGTGCCACGTGGCCCTGGCCAAGAAGAAAGGATTGATCAATAAACTCTTTAACAAAAAGCCAAAACCACCTAAATCACACCCAAACCAGTTCAACCAAGGAAGCTCTGTTCATAACCAAAACATCCCCGGGAGTCCCTACAACCCCAGACCTCAGCAGCCAGGAGGAGGAGGGCAGGCGGGCAGATACCCTGCTCAAGGTGGGTATCTGTCTGTCTGTCTCTCTCTCTGTCTCTGTGTCTGTCTCTCTCCGTCTGTCTCTGTGTCTGTCTGTCTGTCTCTCTTTCTCTCTCTCTCTCTGTGTGTGTCTGTCTGTCTGTCTCTCTCTCTCTGTCTGTCTGTATGTCTCTCTCTCTCTCTCTCTCTCTCTGTCTCTCTCTGTCTCTGTCTGTCTCTGTCTCTGGCTCTGTCTCTGTCTCTCTCTATATCTACTTACTTTTCTTTACCATGAAAACTTTTGGAACTTACTCTTAGTTGAGCCTTGAGTTGTTTGGGGTATAACTGTTTGGTGAATGGGGCAATGAAAAAAAAGTGCTTTATAAATACATTTTGTATCTATTGTTTTCAAGGAGGTGGATACCCAGCACAGGGAGGGTACCCAGCACAAGGAGGGTATCCAGCACAAGGAGGATACCCAGCACAAGGAGGATACCCAGCACAAGGAGGGTACCCAGGTCAGGGTTCGTATCCAGGACGATACCCAGCACAAGGAGGTTATCCAGCACAAGGGGGTTATCCAGGTCAAGGGGGTTACCCAGGTCAAGGGGGTTATCCAAGACAAGGCTATGGATCCTACGGAGGCGGTTACCCTGGTGGATACATCAACCAAAACCCCAACAACCACATCCTGAGCCCCCACTACGGCAGCAGCAGCTTTGGTCATGGCGGAGGCTACGTTGCCGGAGGCTCGCCGTTCGCCCGCTCTGCCCAAGCCATGGGGTACATTCCCTCGGAGAAGTCCAGAGGGTTTGGCCGCGGGGCAGTTGTGGCGGCGGCCGGGGGTGCCGTGGCGGGAATGGCCCTCGGGTACGGGCTTGGGAACTTACCACGGCCTCATTTCCATTTCCACAGTCGGGAGGAGGAGCTGTACTATAATTATTACATGTACAGGAAGTATGGGGGTAGGGTTAGGGACCCCAGTCGAGACCCTAGCTACAAGCTCCCTCCCAACAGCTATAAGATCTTTATGGACAAATGCATGAAACGAACAGATCTGCTCCCTCCTCCCAAGATACGCAAACCAACTACTACTACTACTACTACTACTACTACTACTACAACTTCTACAACAACAACTAATGCTACAGCTAGTAATAAGACCACCACAACCACTCCAGTCTCCCACAACATCACAGAAACAGCAGCAAAACACTCAATATCAAGTCCATCGCCAAGACTTTCCAATGATTCCCACGTGGTCCCAGAAGCCGTGGCGGTCCCAGAAGCCAAGGAGGTCCCAGAAGCCAAGGAAGTCCCAGAAGCCAAGGAGGTCCCAGAAGCCAAGGAAGTCCCAGCAGCCATGGCGGTCCGCAGCAATGACGATGATGACGATGGCGATGACACGTACAGCGTCGTGGAGATCGGATACCCAGCTCTGATCGAACAGTTGAAGATGAGGAGGTGCATGGGGCTGTATCTCGTTCATTCGGAAAAGTTTTTGAGGAAAAGCCCAACGCCCAGTCCCAAAGGAGGGGCGCGGAAGGAGACGGGATCAGGGCAGGTGTGGCTGCTCACGGCTGCTGTTGTGTGGATAGTGAATAGTTATGTGTGAGTAATGTTATCATAAATATGGACTCGAGAAATATTTTGAAAAGGTAAGAATATGGTTTTGTATGTAAGATTGATAAATGTCCATAAATGTTGAATATTGAGTATCCTGGATCATCACCCGATAATTTGTTTTTTAGATGATTTTTTTAATCTGAAATTGCTCTCAGGAAATAAATAATAAATGAATAATAAAGTAAAGTTCATTTGTATAGCACTTTTCACAATACAAAGTAAATGTGATAGAAATACAGATATGATTCACACAGATGGTATAATTTTGTGATTTTCCCCATTTTTATATCAAAATACTTTATTATTCTCATTGATAGGAGCTTGTAGCGAGGGCTAAATATGGTCAAACTTTCTCATTTCTTTTTGGGCAGAACACATGTACCCCAGACATACAGTGACCATTATAGATAGTAAGCCCGATACTTTGCTAAAGATAGATTTTGTGTTATTTTGTTTAAGCACAGAATTGCACTATATAATAAAAACATTATTTACCTTGTACTGTGTGCTACTGTCCTGTAACTTGTGATGCAACACTGAAATTCCCCCTCTGTGGGACGAATAAAGGATCTTAAAGGTCAAAAATAGATGTTTCATGATTGACCTATTTTCTCCACATTTTATTGTCAATGATAATGTACGTGAATAAACAAAATTACAGAAGAATACATCTTTAGAAGAATTAGTTGCTTGGGGTTAAAATATGTTACAAATTAACTAAGCTTCGAAATACATCTTGGGACAGAACCAGACTAGAGAGATATATTTGGTATAAAAACCTTCAAGATATGACTCTCACTAAACCAAATAAGAAATAAATCAGAGATGATGCACATGGAGCCTTCTTTGTAAATAGAATAGATCCGTTTGATTCTGGAATGACCCTTTTGGCATTTATCACACAATATCAACTTTTACTATTTCAATTGCTTCAGTAAAAGTTCATATTGTTTGATAAAATCGATTATTTTGTATTGCTTTATTGAACTGAAGCTATTTGTTTGTCTTTCACTCTTTTCACTTGCTAAGAAGTACAGATGATGGGTGAGAAACCTTCCTTTGCTTTGACTAATCCCTGTACGACTGAGGGCTTACACAAACTTTCACTCTTTTATTTTGTTAATGTAAACTTTCTATAACTGTTGAATAATCGCGCATCACTGCTGGTTAAAAAAAAATCTGTGATAAAATGTATATTCAAACAACGCGGTTCTTTCCATGACAGAAATTACAACCAACCATGACAGAAATTACAACCAACCAGATTTTTGTGTATTTATTACAGTTTACAATTTCAAAATAGACATTCTTATCAATACACAATGTTTCTTCACAAGTATAGACATGGCTGCTTCTGGAATGATCTCTTCAGAATATAGAATAACATAGAAGATATTAAAGCTATCTCCCTCTATCGTCATTCACAAGTATAAAAAGTGAGCTGTCAGTGCAGGGGTCTTTGGCTCGCAGTGTTCTCATGTGGCACACAGTTCGTTTTGGTTCTTCTCGACATGAGTTTTGTTTGGCAGGGGCGTTTGCAGAGGGGGTGGGGGTGGCAAAGGGCCCCCTGTAAGTCTAATGGGGCAGAAAATTAAGGATGATTTTGATTTACTCTTGTTCACAGTGGCTTGCAAAATTACTAGTTGAACTTTTACACATTTTGTCATGTTTATGTCCTCAAACAATTTCAAACAAATGTATTTTCTGTTATTTTGAAAGAACCACAAGAAAGTCATAAACACAAGTTGGAGCTTGCACAAGTATCAGACAACATGACTATTTCCTTTGTGGAACCCAGTTATTTTGGGGTGTGACTCTACAAGCTTTGCACATCCTAAAACTGAATGTTTTGCTCAAAATTTCCAACAGCCAAAAGTTTTCAGGTATTTCCACAGATTTCTTATTGAATTTAGGTTGTGACTTTGACTGGGTCTTTCTAACATACACAATAGTTCTCATATACAAGTTGGAGGTCCCAGTGACTAACTTGCCATGAATGAAATAGTATGTCAGAATAAGAGGAATAACTGTTCTGCATTTATTCTATGTTTTTAAATTCTCAAAAAAAAAGTTTTGGGCCCCCCTGAGATGCTACCTTTTCACCACTTGACAAACATATCCTGGTAGCGCCACTGTAGTGAGACATGGTTGTAATCAGTCTGTAGAAGATGGGCTGTGGATCTAAAGCACAGCTGCCCAGGTGCCCATGAGCAAGGCAAACACAGAGCCAATCACCACCACCACGCTGTTGAAGAGGGGTCCACTGGATGCTGCGCTGTAGTAATAGTCCATGTCTCCGGATCCCTCTGGTTCAGGTCCTCTTCCATACCCTCCTCGCGGCGCGCCACCATACCCACCATACCCGCCTCCGTACCCCCCATAACCACCACCATACCCTCCACCATACCCTAACCCTCCATATCCTCCATAACCTCCGCCATACCCGGGTCGGCTGAGGGCAGACCCGATCATGGCCCCCCCGATCGCACCAGCGGCCGCAGCTCCAGCCACTTTCCCCGCGCTCGGGCCTCGGCTCTGGACGGGCGCTCCACCCATGGGCCGGTAGCCTCCTCCACGGCCGAAGCCTCCCCCTCCTCCCCCGCGGAAGCCTCCCCCGCGCCGGGCCTCAGTGTAGGGGAGCAGGGTGCCGAGGAGCAGCAGGAGCAAGGGGACGGTCAGCCACTGTCTCTGCATCGCCAGTGATGTCATCTGTGAGGAAAGAAGCAAGGAGATGAATTAAAAGCCCCATTTCCACCAGATCTACTTGGCCCTACTCTACTCCACCCCGATTTAACCGATACCGGGTCCTTCTTATTGGCCCTGCGGTTCTGATAATGCAATGATTTTATATAGCGTTTTTTTGGACACTCAAAGACGTTTAATTCCACACACAGCGGTTATAAACTACTACTAGTATAGCCACAGCTGCCCTGGGGCACACTGACAGAAGTGAGGCCACCAATGCGACATCAGCCCCTCCCACCATCTTCATCACACAAACACACACAGCAGACATTCATTCTAGGCAATGTGGGTGAAGTGTCTTGCCTAAGGACACAACAACAATTTGAAACTTTACAGCCGCAGCCACCCCACTGTGTAAGTAGTAAGTAAGTAAGTAAGCTTTATTTATATATCGCCTTTCACAGACCAGAGTCACAAAGCGGTTTACAATTGTTATTATTTTTTGGGCACTTGTCCTCTCACTCCACACAGAGATGGGAGCGGGGTCACCAGAACAGGAGGCGCATGCCAGACCTATTGTACATATTTTTAGTGGTAGGGGAAACCGGAGTACCTGGAGGAAACCTACGCAGACACGGGGAGAACATGCATACTCCACTCAGAAAGGCCCTGGTCCGGCCGGGATTCGAACCCAAGACCTTCTTGCTGAGAGGCGAGAGTGCTATCCACTCAGCCACCGTGCCGCCACTGTGGCACTTAGTGTTTTCAGAGGTCTCCCATCATAGTACTAACCAGGCCCTGCTCTGCTTAGCTTCAGAGGTCCGACGGGGATCTAGCTTTCACATGCAGGTATGGCCATTCTATCCAGGCTGAGCTGAAGTGTTTTAACTGACAGCGATTGGCCAGAGGTCTGCTGGAAGCCATGGTTACCACAGCCTTTCCCTAGATAGTAGTAAGTAGTAAGTAAGTAATCTTTATTTATATAACGCCTTTTCACTGCAGATCTGAGTCTCAAAGCGGTTTACAATTGTTAATTTTGGGCAATTGTCTTTCACTCCACACAGAGATGGGAGCGGGGTCACCCATCAGATACTGGTTTGTTGGGGGTAGGTTGCTTGGATACGGTACCAAACACTAAAGCGTAATGGAAACTCAACCAGGTGGAGTAGAGCCGAGTGGGGCTGGTGGAAACGGGGCTAAAGTGAATGTCAGTAACTTTTCCAATCGGGAAGAGAGAGACAAACATTTTCAAACGCAAGCTAGCCGGCCATTTTGTTTCACATAAATATTCATAAACATTTCCACTGTAATCTTTCTAATCTTATAGAATAACGTCGCTTTAGTTCAGCCTTTCTCACCGCCACTCGTCCCGTTGTGCGTCAGCTCACATTAACAAGCTTGTGTTGAGCTGGAGCAGATAAATAAATAGACACTAATCCAGCTTTGACTCACACTGGGCCGTCATGTCCTTCCAGTAAGACGCACAAGTTTAATCTAAATATACATGTACATAAACTAGAAACACAGCACCAGGCTTACAATCCCGCAACACCACGTTTTCAAAATATATTACTGTCATTATTGTTATTATTATAGCTTTTGTAGCTTCAGTGACAGACTTATCCACCCTCGCTGTGTGAAGGAGAGGTTCCGCAGGTCTTTGTCGGACTGTACAACGAACACTGTCATCCTCACATACCTACAGTACATACAGATGTACACATATAACTATATATTTCTACAATATACAGTACTTTACGCTTGCTTCTTTATTATGCTAAAGTCAGAAAATGTGTACTTAATTCTTGCTTCTTATTATGAATTATAGACTGCTTACTATGCTAAAGCTAGTATCCAAGCCTTGTATATTGTAATATATTGTATAATTCTGTTTGTGAAATGATATTAATGCTGGTTTTTGGAATAAACAAATAAAAAAAGGAAAAAGTGTTTTCATATTCAGTTATTTTCTTCATTATTGAGTTTATTATAGAGTTATTTAGAGAAGAGTTGTGTTCATGTATCTTGTGTTGTGTGCTGCTCATTCCCACTTCTCTGTAACTGGTGATACAACACTGACATTTCCCCGCTGTGGGATGAACAAAGGATCTTAATCTTAATATTTGTTTTGACATTGGGACAACATGGGCTGATTGTTTACACTCTGTCATAACAGGATTGCATCGTTGTTGTCTGCGGGACCGGGACACAGGGTTAAATCCGGCTAATCTTTCTGTCCAGTTACAGATAGAGCTATTATTACACCGGGGTCAAGAATAATCCTGACACTATTTCAACTTATTATGAAATTTCACATTTTAGCCCTTTACGAGCGTCTATAGAACAAGTCTGAGTAAAATACCACTCGAGACATTTTCTGTTTTTACTGGACTCCTGTGTTATGTAATGCATCACTAACACTTCTTATGTCATTGTGATGATGCCAAAAGACCAATATTACAAATGTTTATGTCTAAAACTTTACATAAAACGTTTAATGAGAGGATTTATTGCAGGTAATTTAATCAAAAATATGATTCGGTCACGATTCAACAGTGTGCTACGTAGAACGAGGGAAACTTATTTTTCCGAAACAATCGAAGGTTGTAGTGGCAATCTACGCGTTCTGTTCTCAACGGTAAATAAATTGACAAATCCCCCTGTTAAGATGCCATCAGAGCTTACCTCCAAAACCAAATGTAATGAGTTTGCAGAGTTTTTTAATGACAAAGTCCAAGGCATCAAAAATGCCATCACCTCCACAGTAGAAATTACAATCCAACAGCCAGTGAAGCTTTTTGGGCTGACACACTTTACACCAGTACAAAATGAAACTGTCCAAATGATAATTACAAGTCTGAGTTCTTCTACATGTAGCCTGGATGTATTACCTCCTAGATTTCTTAAATCTGTTCTGAGCAGTCTTTTACCTTCACTCACGCATATAGTAAATATGTCTCTTGAATCTGGAACATTCCCAATGGCCCTGAAAACGGCAGTCATCAGACCCCTCCTAAAAAAGAGGAGTCTGGATGCCTTGGCACTTAAAAGTTATCGGCCCATTTCAAATCTGCCTTTCATGGGTAAAATTCTAGAAAAAGTTGTCTATCAACAACTTACAGAATTTTTAATAATCAATCACTCTTTTGATATGTTCCAGTCTGGTTTTAGACCCCACCACAGCACAGAGACCGCTCTAGTGAAGGTAACAAATGACATCAGACTTAACACTGACGCAGGAAAAGTCTCAGTTCTTATCCTGTTAGATTTGAGTGCTGCTTTCGACACTGTCGATCATGGTATCCTCATTCAGAGACTTGAGGACTGGGTTGGTGTTTCTGGAACAGCCCTAAGCTGGTTTATATCCTACCTACAGGACAGAAAGTATTTTGTGGAGATCGGAAACTGTGTCTCAGACCATCTGGCCCTGACCTGCGGAGTGCCACAGGGCTCAATCCTGGGGCCTCTCCTGTTTAATATTTACATGCTGCCTCTGGGTAGGTTAATACACAGTAATAACGTGTCCTATCACAATTACGCTGACGATACTCAGGTCTATGTGTCCCTGACAGCAGGAGAACATGGACCAGTGGACTCGCTCCTTCACTGTATCCAACGGATCAGTGATTGGATGCAAAATAACTTTCTCCAGCTAAACACAGAAAAAACTGAAATTATTGTTTTCGGACCTCAGAAACAAAGAGAGAGCGTTATCTGCCACCTCCAGTCTCTCTCCCTGAAACCCTCAACTCAGGTCAGAAATCTAGGAGTAATAATGGACTCAGACTTGAATTTCAATAGCCACATATCATCTGTGACATCATCAGCTTACTTCCACCTAAGAAACATTGCTAAAATTAAAAACATTGTGTCTAAAGCAGACTTGGAGATTCTTATCCACGCATTTGTCTCCAGTCGATTGGACTACTGCAATGGCTTGTTCACAGGTCTCTCTAAACAAGCGGTAAAACAGCTGCAGTACATCCAAAATGCTGCAGCTCGAGTCCTGACTAGAACCAGGAAGTACGACCACATTAGTCCGGTCCTCAGGTCTCTGCACTGGCTTCCTGTGGCTCAGAGAATAGATTTTAAAGTAGCTTTACTTGTGTACAAGTCTCTCCATGGCCTCGCACCAGGGTACATCCGCGACATGTTGGTGCCATATGAACCAACTCGGGCTCTGAGGAGCACAGGGACTAGACTTATGTTAGTGCCAAGAGTCGGAACTAGACATGGGGAGGCTGCGTTTCAGATTCATGCAGCTAGAGTCTGGAACCGTCTTCCCGAGAGTGTGAGACAGGCGTCTACTCTAGCAGTTTTTAAAACTGAACTGAAAACAGTTCTTTTTAGCTGTGCATACAAGTGAATGATTTTACATTTGTTTTTATCTTTAATCTTTTTAATGCGCTATGATTATTTATGATTATTTATGACTGTAATCCCTTGTGTGATTTTAATTTTTTACGGTTTTTAACTACTTGTGTGATTTTATATATCTTGTGCTCTTAATCTGTCTTTTTATGTTTACTTAAATTCTAATGTTTGATGATTTATGCATGATGTTATATGGGTTGTGAGGCGCTTTGCGTTGCCTTGTGTAGGAAAGGCGCTCTATAAATAAACGTTGATTGATTGATTGATTTCTATTTTTTTCTTTCTGGCTAGTACTGAAATTTAAATAATGTGCAAACAAGAGAGTGCAATCCTTTCGTAAACATATAATAATGTTTTCCCACATCTGCGCCACAGGAAGTGTTGTATCGTGTGTGTTACTTCTACATGATGTCACAGAAACCACAAAAAGATTCAAGTTATTCAGATTTCTTATTAGATTAAGTATCCATTGCCTCCTTCCACCACCAATCATTCACACAAACACCATTGTCTTTTCCTCTGCTGCTTACTCAAAGAATTTTAAAATAGAGCAAAATATTACAATTTGTGTAATGACATGTGTATCTAACTTTTATTTTCTTTTAGTGTTCGGTTGTTCTTGAAGTTTACCTGGAAACAGCAGAAATATGGATCTAAAAAGTGAATTCAAGAAGACAATGAGCTTTAGTTTTGTGGGCAGCTTTGATTGTCACTACCCCCACCCCCCTTGCAACCCAACCTAGAAATGGATAGTAATGAAATGAAAATTAAAAATGAAAACAAAAGGAAACAAAATAAACTAATTGGTCAGTTAATAAATCCTCTATTGTTGCCAAAATACAGCAGTATCAGAAGACAGTAATAGCATCATCACTGTGAATATTTGAATCCACATATGTTATTGTATATTTTTTTAAGATGGGCTATACTTAAAATTCACTTATTTTGTGTGCTCCTCATTCCTACTGTTCTGTAACTTGTGATGCAACACTGACATTTTAACGTTTTATGTCTGAAGTCAATTCCAGGCAAAGCCAAAAAGAAAATAGGCAAACACTGGGGCTGCTCTCCTCTCCACAGATGTGAGCTGTAACTTGGCCAACAGTGAAGTCCAAAGTATGATTGCATTTCAGGTAAAAACAGTTTTCAGATGGATACAACCAAGACAGCAGTGTATGTGCCTTTAAAGCTGGGGTACCTAACTTTCAAAGCACCAAAAATGACGTCACTCTCTCTCTCAAAACAGTTAGTTATTTGGCCTCAAAAATGCAACATATTTTCATAACATGACGCCAGGATCTGACTAAATCACAACATTTTACAACATTCTCTCTACTCAGACAAAGTATGTTAAAAAGTTACATACCCCAGCTTTAACCCAGCCCTACAGCTCAGTCTCAGCTCCTGAAACACTCACCTGTCTCTTTCCCTCGTTGGAATTATGCGTAGATTTTGGTGTTTTCTCCTGTTGCCGTTGGACTGTGCGTGGATCGTCTCTGGTCTCTGTGGGTCTGAGTGAATTGGAAAGTGTGTCTAAAGGGCAGTTGTCCTGAGTGGATTTGTGCGACCGCTGTCCATTGGCTGCTGTCTGATAATCCTCATGTAGTACAAGCTTAAAGACCTGCTTCTTTCTAAAGTTGGTTCCAGTTATCCAACACATGAATGAAGTCCAATCACCTCCAAGCTCCCAGTGACTTATCTAACTTTCTGGCTATTTTTACGTCAAGATGGTTTCGTAACACACACACACACACACACACACACACAAACACACAGTACACACAAAGCAGAGACACACTAACCAGACGCATTGTGCCGTTTTGGTCCCAAGTACCGCTTTTATTAAATCGTACAAAACACATACAAAAAGAGACAAACTGTACAAACTTTGAAAATAAGTCGTGCATTTTACAGTAACGCAGTGGTGTCCTGTACCAGTGTTTTTCAACCAGTGGGCCGTGGCTCGTTAGCGTGCCGAGAGATGGTGTTTGGTGTGTCTTTGGAAATGGGCAAATATCACATCATTGGTCAAAATAATACTCTGAGGAGCACAGGGACTGGCCTCCTGCTGGTGCCCAGAGTCAGGACTAAACATGGGGAGTCAGCGTTTCAGATTTATGCAGCTAAAATCTAGAACAATCTTCCTGAAAATGTGAGACAGGCTTCTACTCTGACAAGGTTCAAATCCAGGTTAAAACCGTTCTGTTCAGCAGTGCTACAACTGATGGATTGTGTTGTATTTTAATGCATCGTGGGGCTGATTCTATCTTGTTTTGTCCAGCACTTTGAGTTGCTTTCTGTGTGAGCTGTGCCATACAAATAAACTTGCCGTGCCACTTGTTTTTTTCTTCTTCTATAAAATACACAAAGAAAGACTCACATTGTTCATACAGGCTTTATTTTCGTGGCAGTTTCAGCCGGCTATGTGATTATTTTGAATGGAAAAGAGGTGCCATGGCTCAAAAAGGTAGACACACACGCGCACACACGCACGCACACACGCGCACACGCACGCACGCACGCACACACACACACACACACACACACACACACACACACACACACACACACACACACACACACTATGGAATCTGGGCTGTTTTCAGGATTGACAGGATTCCTTGATTTCTCTGTGCTCTTAGTTTCATCACCGACGCCTGGTTCAAAACTCCTCGCTGTAACTTTATTTAAAACCTTGCATACAACCGCGTGTAGAAGACAAACGTTAGCGCAAAGTTGTGCTCATCCACTCCTCTATTCTAAGTAATAAAATATATTTCGCAGTATCAGCTTCTTTCACAGCTTAACTCTTGTAATCGGCAGTTGTCCTGTCATGAAAGGGAAGTGTCAAGTCTTGTTGAATTCTACTTTACTACATTTTGACACCTGTATTTAAGAACTGCGGCTAAAACACACACACATTTTGGACGCCATCTTGTTTTGGGGAAGCACTTTGAGCTGTCTTGTGTATGAATGAATTGTGCTACACCGATAATCTTGCCTTGCCTTTTACGGTTTGTGCTTTCATGTAGATTTTTTGTGCTCCACCCATCGGCCGCTCCACCTCTGCTGCTGTGGCATTTTAACACTATGCAACTATTTAATGCTATTTTTTTAAAGAAATATCAAATTATTTTATTTTTATGGATGGATGTGTTTTTGCTACTACTGAACACCTTAAATTTCTCCAACGAGGGCTCAATAAAGTATCTATCCATATATCTACATTCATCGCCTTTGTACTGTATGTATAGGTTTCATCGTCAAACCGGACCAAGCAGATGGACCGTCATTTTTGTTCATAATTAGCTTTAACCTTTTAATGTTCAGTCCTTGACTAAAGCAATGGATTATTTTTGGGGATTTTCTATGTTTTAAGGGCACTAATAACATGTTTTTATTTCTAGTTTTTAGATTAGGCCTTTATAAATGGTTGAGATGCAGTTTTGTGGTAAAGATGCCTAAATGAAATGTGTGATCTAAAGAAACATTTGCGACTGGAAATATTGAAGTATCTTCTTAGGGGAAAATTGGTAATATTTCATACAACATGGCAACCTTTTATTGATTTTTTCGACTCAAATGTATAAATTTTTTGCGAAATCTTTGCAAAAGCAATTAAAAAGATCCTTTATTTATTTTTATTTTTTTCACTTTGTTTTGTCTGTTCTTTTGTCTGTTCTTCACCATTAATATTACAATTAATGGTGATTTATTTTTAAATGCTCTAAATGTGTTTAATAGTGTATATTACATGCTTGTTTTATTTTAAAAAAACAAAATAAAGAGAATTATAAAAAAAAAGAAAAAAAGAGGCCTAAATGAGGGAGATTTCAGTTCCAAGCTTCAAGTCGAGATTGTGATCCACCAAATAGTTGAAGAAACCATTAAAGGGTTAAACTGGTTTTGGAAGTGCACATTTTACGTCATAACTTCACGGCTCTATAGAACGACTCACCGGAGGATTATGTCATCTGATAATCTCTGAGTAAACCTACATTATGTCAGACCTGAACCAGTCTGCAGCGTGAAACCACATAAAAAACAAATGTCTGCACCTGTGGAATATTGCTCATAATAGTGAAGTACATGCAAACTGTAAATATATATGTAAAAAGTATCAACAAGAGAACATATTATGCAAAAATGTACTTTCCCGGAGCTTTCACCGATGACACGTGTTGCAACATTCAGACCTGGACTTGTTTTGGTCACACTTTAGTTTATCACTTAATTATCCATTAACTAGTGAGGGTTACATAGTGTATAATTTATGATTAATTATCTCTTAATTGGTATTTATCAAGCTCTTATTAGTCCTTATTCTTCAACATAACTAATTACAGAATGACACTTTCCCAGGGTTAAGGTTAAGGTTAGGGCTAGCGTTAGGGAACAATTTTTAGCACTTAGCTAGCACTTATTGTGTGTATAACTTTATACTGTAAATATATAGAGTTTGATATATATTTATATTGAAGCATTTAAAGATAGCTAAGATAGAAACAAAGCAGCTACTTATATTGTATATTTTGTGTGCTCCCTGTTGTGCTCTTACTGCTGTCCTGTTTGTGCGCTGCAACACTGAAATTTCCCCACTGTGGGACGAATATAGGTTTGTTTATCTTATCTTAATTAGTGAGGGATAATCTAAAGTGTGACCATTGTTTTTAGATCCATCCATGCTAACGTCAAGGACTTCTAGCGCACACACGTAGCTCCGCCCCTTCTGTCTAAAAGCTCCAGTCTCCGTCCTGTGATAGTGTGATGTCATTGTACCCCTATGACATCACACTCAGAGCAGTTTTTTGCCTTTTTTAAAAAAAAAGTATCGCTCATTAACATTGCTGTGATTAATATTTATGGATAATGGTCTCGGCTCCTTTTTTTTTTGCATTTCCTGTGTTTGAACTGTTTGGTTTTCTGATCTGTTGTTGGCGAATCGACAACTTTTGCCAAATCCTCCGAGATAACTGCTGTTGTGATTTATGGCTTTACAAAAATACATTGAATTGAACTTGATTTTACCTGAGAAATTACCAAAAATTAACATTTTTTTTGTTACACTCGCGTTTCTGGGTTTGCAGTTGGTATTTTTCAAATTTAGAAAAATACAAACGTCCCTCTGGTGCTAGCATACGGACAGGGCAGGCAGATAGCATTATTTACCCATGATAACTGCTTTAGCGTATTTTCTACTGAAGTAAATAGTCTCGTTCTCGTTTGTAAAGACCAAAAACAATGCATAATATTTCTTCTTGAGTGAAATTATTTGATGAATGAGTTTTTTGTCCTTTAGTGATGCAGCTATTTTCAAGAGATTCAAGTCTTTTCACACAGAGTATTGTGATGAGATCGTACCGTGAGATCTGGATACAGTTTTGTCCTAATAAACATATGGTTCTGTGTGTCTGTGGAGTTTGAGGGTCCGTGGTCACATGCAGGTGGCGCCCTCTGGGACACAGTTCAGCTGCTTCTCAATAACACACCGGATGTAGTTATACCTGCAACAAGACAGAAAACTATCAATGAATAATTATAACATCTATATGAATAGTTCTTTTATAAAAAACAGATTGGGGAAAGGCTAACAATTTGCTTAGTACAAAACAACTAAAGTTTCACCCCTTCTTGAGCAAATTCTGTCAAATGGACTGGCCATAACAAAACACGGACATATCGGTTTTTGAAAATAAACTCTTCATATACACTTCCTGACGTGTTTGCTCAACTGGAACTCTGAACACAAAACTGAACTTAAAAAGAAGACTTTTGGTTGTTTTTATAATGTATTTACTTTTAAACCTTGACCAAGTTAGATACTCTGGTTCTACTTCTACTTTCTCATTTTAATGTTCTGTTTTACAATTGTATTAATATGTAATGTGCACTCTCAGCGGTCTAATAAAGTCCATACATAAAGACTTTATTTCTATCTTATTCATTCATTTAGTTAACATGTACAGACCGGACATAGTCCCAGGGCAGAGGCAATTACACCAAGTTTACAGTGTGCAAAGAATACAAAAATGGGAAAAAGAAAATTGCAAGATTTGGTTCCAATGAGGCTGCTCCCCTCAGTACTTTATAGATTTATGATGAAATAACAAAATCATAAAATTATCTATTGATCTATCTATTAACACACTTTATAAAGACATCTAGTCCAAACACAGAACGATGATGATATACATGATACAAAGGGTAAAGAAAGACATTTTTACCTCCTCATGAGCTTCTGCACTTCTCTGTCCTCTTCCTCTTTGAGTTTGGTGATAAAACTCTGCAGCACTGGCATCTCAAACTTGATATACTGCGCCACCTGGTGGAGGAGAGCAGTCAGTGTCAGGAGCAAAGTGAACACTGAACCCTCCTATTTCATCGCAAGCAAATAAACCCATGTAAAAATGATAAAATATGAGGTGATAAGTTTTGAATCGAGTGGTTTTTATCTTCATTTGAGCACATTCGGACTGTTTTAAAACAAGATTCTCCAATGGGACAAACCCTTTAGTCTTATTTTAAAGGAGCTATACCTGTTTCTGCAAGGTTTGAATGTTTAGCACCGCCCCTCAACTCGCTCACAGGCTTCTTATTTCCATCCATCCATTTTCTTCCCCTTAATCCATTTCTGGGTCGGGGGGGTGGCCAGAGATGCCACCCAGTCCACAGAGCACCAGCCCCTCCTTTCCATCTAGTTTTATTTGCGATCTGATGCTAACATTAGCATTAGCGCAACTTAAGCTGCACAACAATCACTGATGAAATGGTACAAAAGCAACACACTGCTAACAAAATACAGTATATAATGTACATATGAATGTAGTCCGAGCATAGACAGTCCGAGCGTAGATAGTCCGAGCGTAGATAGTCCGAGCGTAGATAGTCCGAGCGTAGATAGTCCGAGCGTAGATAGTCCGAGCGTAGATAGTCCGAGCATAGATAGTCCGAGCATAGATAGTCCGAGGCGGTCCCGCAGGTCTCTCCCATAGACAAGTCTCTCCAGAGCATACGATGTAAGCTAGCTATGTTCACCCGGGCTTGGTTTCTTCTTTGATAATTTTTTTCCTTTTGTTCCCTCTTCTCTTCCTCACTGTTGTGTGGTTTGGGCTGTTTTGCTGTGTCTGCAGTTACAGCCAGAGGAGTTATAGCCACTTATGCTAACATGCTACTGTGTTTAGCAGCGCTGTAGAGGCTAGAGGACGCAGCCTCGTTCTGTGATTGGAGGAGAGCGGGCGTCACGCTAAAGTCTCTACTTTAAATTACGGATTATAATACAACTTGTATGTAGTAATGAGCATTTTTATGAACTGTTGCTCTATTTTATCATTCCAAAGGAGACATTTCTTGTATCTTTTTAAAACAAGATCATTTTGCTCATTGTCCCTTTGGCAAATTGTTTTTTAAGGCTCAGTCAGAATGTGCTCAAATCAAGATACATTTGGCCAAATCCTTCACTTTTTGCAGCGTATGTGTTCGTATGTGTGTGTATTTGAAAGAAGACTAAATTGTTTGTCCCGTTGGCTCTTACGTCGTAGGTGACCTCCTCCCCCAGGTCGGCCTCCATCAAGAACACTTTGCAGACCAGCTCACAGGGGCCCTGCAGCACCCGTAGCAACAGCGGGAAATCACTGCGCCTCAGCCTCATCCTCTCTGAAACACAAGCACTTTACAGACAGGAGCTACTATAGAGGAGACCCAAGCACTTTACAGACAGGAGCTACTATAGAGGAGACCCAAGCACTTTACAGACAGGAGCTACTATAGAGGAGACCCAAGCACTTTACAGCAGGGGTCTCCAACCTTTTCCCCCAGAGAGCTACTTAATCGAAAACAAAAATGGCTACTCCTACTTCTTTAAGAAAGTGATAATACGTTCTGTAATATTCAGTATATTATAGAATTGGTAGAGTAGAATCTGGTCTCTCCCTATGGTCTCTCTATCTAGTCTCTCTATCTAGTCTCTCTATCTAGTCTCTCTATCTAGTCTCTCTATCTGGTCTCTCTCTCAGGTCTCTCTCTCAGGTCTCTCTCTCTGGTCTCTCTCTCTGGTCTCTCTCTCTGGTCTCTCTCTCTCTGGTCTCTCTCTTGTCTCTCTCTGGTCTCTCTCTGGTCTCTCTCTGGTCTCTCTCTGGTCTCTCTCTGGTCTCTCTCTCTGGTCTCTCTCTGGTCTCTCTCTGGTCTCTCTCTGGTCTCTCTCTGGTCTCTCTCTGGTCTCTCTCTGGTCTCTCTGGTCATTCTCACCTCCGCTGGCGTGGACCAGGTACAGGGCAAAGTCGTCGGGGCTGTTTTCTATTTTGAATTTGTTGAGCAGAACTCGCAGGACCTGAGGCGTGGTCATGCAGCTGTTGATACGGACGTTGGTGACGGAGCCGTACGCCGGGGTGAAGACGGCGGTCTGCGGGGGCAAAGGAAAATCAGAGTCAGACACACAACAGAGAGGCTTCTGGGTAATCTCAGTTGGGAACCTGTCTGTGAAATGACTTAGTACTGATTGTAAAACTGGATATCCCATTTGGTTTGATGCTCCTCCTCTCCTCTCCTCTCCTCTCCTCCTACTTTTTCTGTCTGCATTATAAGGATTTTGACTGTAGTCTGTTAATTGCTATTCAACCGTTGTCCCATTGTCTGTTTCATGATGCGACGATGGGACCTCTGAACCCGGCCCCCTCCATCTACACCTGTGGACTGCCCTGCCCGACCCGCCTGGGAGCTGCCTCTGTCATGGTGTGGATTTTTTCATTAAATTAGTTTTACTTTGACTTCAGTTCTGTGGTTTTGTTTGAGTTTGACTTCCTGTTCCCCTTTGTTGAGTGTTTGCCCTACTGTGTCTCTGTCTATTTGTACCTGTGCTCCTCTCCCTTTGTTGCTGGTCCATTGTCTTTGTTTGTTCATGTCTTTGTCTGACTTGGTTCCTGGTTTTGCGCCTGATTTGGATTTTGAATTTGTTTTTATTACCTTGGACTTTTGTTTTTTCATCATTAAATCCTTTTGTTTTTGAATTCCTGCATTTTTGGGTCCTCCACCATCTCATCAGGTCCTGGATCTATAGCCTCAGTCCTCGTTCTGCAGCTTAGGTCCTGGATCTATAGCCCGTCCGTTCGTGTGGAGCGGATCCCTCTCTAAATATGTGGATCTCCTCGAGGTTTCTCACTTTTCTCCCACTGGGTTTTAGGGTTTCTCCTCTTGAACAATTAGTGTCTAACAAGAAGGACTGTGATGATCCAGGACACTCTATCATTCTACAACATGTGTTCAATACTCACTGTGTGTGGACTGTTGATTCTCTAATCTGTGTTGGCAATTTCCACAATTTTTGTAAAGTCCTCTGAGAAAACTACTGTTGTGATTCAGGGCTATACACGATTACATTGAATTGAATTGAAGTGCTCATGTGATTCATGACCAAGTACAGTAGATAGATATACTTTATTGATCCCCCATAGGAAACATTCAGGTATCCAGCAGCAGAAGACTCTTTTTTGTTGTTGTACAGTAGTAGTAGTAGTAGTAGTAGTAGTGTGTTTATTTCGAATTAATTGCGCAATACAAAAAAAAAAAGAAGAAACATATAAGTCAGTCAGGTTTGTTGTACAGTCTGACAGCCGAAGGAACAAAGGATCTCTTCAAACGTTCCGTTCGGCAGCGTATTGATAGGAGCCTGTTGCTTCGATTACTCCTCTGAGCGGCCATAGTGTCATGCAGAGGGTGTCTGGAGTTACCCAGGATGCCCTGCATTAGAGCCCCATCCTTGTAATGACCATGTTGTTTCAATTCACATTTTGTTGGCAGGAAATATGATGATTTGATGAAATGTTTAAAATCAGTTTAAACATTTACTTATAAAAGTATAAATATCTCAGCCATGAAATGTGCAGGATGTCATTGTGTAGGGTTTCTCATGTTGTAAATGTAACTTATTATTTCTTAGTGCTCATATAAGGAGTCAGAAACACTTGCACCTCCTTTGGTTCTGTCCACTTTTACCCTGTATGGACTCACCGACACTTTCTGTCATTTCTTTCTAGGAGTAATCGAGTTTAAAACATGTAATGTTTTAAACTTTATCAAAGGCAACATATTCATAGATATAAATCCTGTTTCAAGCCAGTATTGACCTATAGTCGGCTCATGTTTGCAGCGAGACCTTGTGGTTGTAGAAGTGTCCGTTGATGGAGAAGCGGTGCCTCCTGATCTTGCGCTGGTCGCTGGGGGAGCGTCTCTGGCACCTCCTCAACACTCCGGCGTCGCTCTTAGTGCGGAGGAGCTGTGAGCTGCAGTCACTCTCCTCTGCACAAACAACACACTGCATTTAGGGAAAGAATCATACGTGAGATTTGTTATGGACGGAATTTTGACAAAGGACACAATCTTGGTCATCCCCGCCTCAGTCCTCGTTCTACCGCCTGAGTCTAAAAAGGTCCAGAAGTGACAAGGAAATCTACTTTTACTAACATACTACTGTGTCATCACTAAAGGTAAAGATGACAGTACACTCCCTCTGGTCTAATAATCAATAATCAAAAGAAAAAGGATTATCCACTGAGCATTCGACCTCGTTATCACACAGTAAGGTCGAATGAATGAAGTGAATTCAATCTAATCTCAAGGCCCTAAAACCCTGTATGAGCCTCACCGTCAGCCGGCTCCTCACTGATGTCCTGGTCCTCGGGGTCGGGCTCTGGAGCTGAGGTCACCTCCACGATGGGGACTTCTGTCTGCTCAGCATTTTGTGGAACTCTAAGATATCAGAATAAAACACACCTGTGATTATTTATGATTTGAATGTATTGTGTCTTAATGTTTTTATAAATATATATATTTATTGTACATAATATATCCTGCATTGAACATGTTTGCACATTTCTTTCTTTTTTTTCTTGAGTGATTCTATTCATGCCAGATTTCTCCTGTGTGAGATCAATAAAGTCTATCTTATCTTATAATGTGTTGTCTTGTGTAGGAACTATGTTGTTGATTTATGCAACAAAATATGCTCAAATCTAGGGTTAGAATGTATTGGATTCAATATCCTTATTTTTGTTATCATTATTGACCTGGCCTCAGAGAGATGGGGCAGGAGTGGGGTCAGCGAGGCTTATATGGGGGGCTATTGTACATGTTTGTAGTGGTGGGGGAACAGGAGTACCTGGAGGAAACCTACAGACACAGGGAAAGGTTGTGAAGCACAAGTGCTAACCACTGCACCACTGTGCTATCAATGCATGTATACAGTACGTATAATACATATGCAGTATTGATGTACATAATATACAGTACATGTATGTTTGATTAGCTACTGCAGTGTATTTGTCATCTGGTTTTCACTTCTACTCTTCTGGTTTTCACATCTCATATTCTAGTAGATGGTTTTCAGTTCTAACAGTTCCGGTAAATTCTAATATTCTCTAAATCTGTTTTTCAATCCTAATATTCTGCTAATCATGTTTTCAGACCTCATATCCTCTGATCTGTGACACCTGACACTGGATCCATACCTCTGGCGCCCCCGGTGGTGGTGAGCTGTAACCGGATCTTACCCCTGAGCGTCCAGCGCGCAGCCCGAGTGCCATGAGGTGGAGGAGGGCGGCGGCCGCAGCCTCTCGTGGTCGTCCTGCATCTGCAGCCGGATCGGACGCCGCAGACCCCAGAAGATGTTCAGCAGCCCCTCCACCACCAGCTCCTCCTCCTCCTGCAGGACAGTATAATAATAATAAAAATAAAACATAATATCATTTTATAATAAGAATGATAAAATAATAATAATAACATAATATGAATGCAATAACAACAGGACTACTAATAAATAAAAAAATGAATAAATAAATCAATAATACATAATACAGATAGAAATAACGATAATAATAAAATAAAATATCCTATAAACTCCGGAGCGTTTTGAAGCACTGACCTCTCTGTGTCGCAGCTGCAGGTTCTGTCCTTCATAATACAGATTATAGGTCTTCAGGTGAGAGAGGACGGTGGACCTGACGGAAACACACATCATCAGAAAATACAAGTAGTAGTACTCAATTACATTTTTCAAACTTTGATTACATCTAGACAAATAAAGAATTATAATAATAAACATATACTGTATCACTTCTACAGTCACATAAAAACGTGTGTTTTCCAGGTCTTGTACTTAAGTATTTCCGGCCTTCTTAATTAAAACATTTCAGTGTCAATAATCGACAGGTTTCAGATTACAATATTCCTCTGAATTATTAATCTCTGGCACAAAAACACAAGATACAAACTCATTCTTTCATTCTTCAGAGAGAGACTAGAGAGAGACCGGAGAGAGAGAGAGACCAGAGATAGATACCAGAGAGAGAGAGACAGAGAAAGACCAGAGAGAGAGAGGCCAGAGAGACCAGAGAGGGAGAGAGACCAGAGATACAGTAGATACCAGAGAGAGAGAGAGAGAGAGAAAGACCAGAGAGAGAGAGAGGCCAGAGAGACCAGAGAGGGAGAGAGACCAGAGATACAGTAGATACCAGAGAGAGAGAGAGAGAGAGAAAGACCAGAGAGAGAGAGAGGCCAGAGAGACCAGAGAGGGAGAGAGACTAGAGATAGATACCAGAGAGAGAGAGAGAGAGAGAGAGAGAAAGACCAGAGAGAGAGGCTAGTGAAAAAAGGGCTATAACCCCAGTTAGAGGTAATGCACTACTCCACACACTGGATCCAGCTGAATCCTTCTCTCTCCTCTCTCCCTTCTTCTCCCACCTCTCTCCTTCTCCTCTCTCCTCTCTCCCATCTCCTCTCTCCTCTCTCCTTGGTCACCGGTTACTGGATACTCACTTGCTGATAAACTTGTTCTCTCCGATCTGAACGGCGTCACTCATTCTCATGAATCATGGAGTCATGGGACCCTGAGGAGCAGAGCAGAGAGTCAGAGTCTGGTCTTGTGACTCCTCATGATCCACAGCGACGGACCGAGGAGACAACACTGCACTCATTCAACCATCAATGTTACTGTAGATAAAATCCGGAACACAACATTTACAACACTGTCTTTAAAGATTTGATTTTGAGACTGAAAAAAGTCAAGTTTCAATGTTATTTTTGTCCAGTAAAAATAACAATGTTTTATATTATCGTAATCCTCAGTAGATCATACATGCCCAAACAAGTATGAAGGGTAAAAGACGCTATGAGCCGGCACTACCCATATGCGACCACCAGAGGGAGTAGAATTTGTTTTGTCTTGGGTCAAAATTTGACAACAACCAGCAGCAAACACAGACATAAGAAATTTCCAACACTCATTTATGTGCAATACTTTTGTTTTAAAAGGGAGAAAACGGCTCTGAGTGTGACGTCATAGTGGTACAATGACATCATAATATTGAATGGATGCGATCTCTGAAACTCGTGAGTTCTGAGTCCGACAAATGGGAACAAAAACGCAGCTCAACTCGGACGATTCAACTTTCAATTTTTTGGCTGAAACTTGGGCTGTAGTAATGGTCCAAGTAGAGGAGAGTATAGGGCCAATTAGGGCAGCCTGTTTGTTATTATTGCATTTCCTGTGTTCGTTTGATTCCCTGTTGTTGGTGAATCGACTTTGTAAGGTCCTCGACTGCTGAATTGCCAGTGTAGTTAGTTATTTTGTAGTTGTAGTTTTGTAGCTAGTCATTTCCCAACTCACTATCACCATATTTTGTCTCATCTTTCACCAAAACCAGTGTCTTAAAGGCTTTTGCAGCTGTTGCATCTGGAGCTTAGCCAAATCTGTCCCGATGTGAGAGAGCAGGTGCTGGGACACTGCTGAGTCCCTTTGTTCAGAGCATTCAACTAAAGGCATATTAGATGTTTTTTTTTTTTTTAAGCTGCAAGGACGAGAAAACGTGAATCTTTCTTTATAATGTTCAATGGGCTCTGGATTTTCTTAGACGCTAAATCTGTAGAGTTGAGACCTGTTCATCTGTGACATGTTAGTGCCATATGAACCAACTCTGACTCTGAGGAGCACAGGGACTGGCCTCCTGCTTGGACTCTGAGGAGCACAGGGACTGGCCTCCTGCTTGGACTCTGAGGAGCACAGGGACTGGCCTTCTGCTGGTGCCCAGAGTCAGGACACATGGGGAGTCAGCGTTTCAGATTTACGCAGCTAAAAACTCTTCTGAGAGTGAGGAACTATAGTAACATAGATTGTATGACATGGGTCCATTCTGCTGTGGTTTTAAAGCTACGTACACTGCAAAAAATGAAAAAATATGTGGTAATAATAATAATTTCTGCATTTTTTAAACTTGTTTCTCACCAGTTTTTGCAGTGTACCCAGCTTTAAATATCTTTATCTTTTGGTGGACTCACCGGTTCTGGTTGGAGCCTTGTTGTCGGTCTGTGACGGCTGCAGAGAGAGAGATACAAAGTCAGAATCTGGGTCAGTCTGATGAAAACATAGACATCAGAGCTACATCTTTAACACGTTCAGAGGAAAAGCTCTCCTTCCGTTGCTGCTTCCTCATTTATGCACGAGCTCAAACAGGAAGCTGACGACGACAAAAACTTCCTCAATTTAAGGAGAATTTGTGTACAATGCCGTCGCAGTTTAAGATTAAGATTGAGCGATTACTAAAGCATAATAAAGAAGCAAGTAAACATCTATAACTTCAGCATAATAACTATAAAAACTGTATATTCTAGTGCCAGAAATAATATAAAAGTTGTTGATTAAAATGACAGAACTGCGAATGTTGGGAGAAAAGACCAAGATGTATTTCAAAATATCAATGAAAAATAGTGAGAAGTAGGTCAAATATGATCGGATTAGAAAGAATAAAAGGAGCTCTCAAACAAGTATGTTTCTGTGGCTATTACAGAAGATTAAAGCTGGGGTTACTAACTTTGAAACAATGTAAAAAAAATCTAGCTAACTAGTTCCTCGCTCTCAAAACATTTCGGTTCTGAGACTAAAATGTATCGTTAGCGTCACATCTTTAGATCAGCTTTTTCAGACAAAAAAGTCAACCTGGAGGTCCCCCATCACAGTTCTAACCAGGCCCTGCCCTGCTTCGCTTTCAGAGATCTGACCGGCTCAAGCTTTCACAAACAGGTGGTGCCACAACAAAGCTAATGAATCACTTTTGAGAACTATATTCAAAGCTGTAAATGTAGTTGCCCTCCACCACAACCTTAAACTGTAGTCTCTATGGCGATGTTGTGATGTCACATGAACACGATGGAACCTAAAGACAGCCTTAATAGCCTCTAACAGTGTAATATTGGGTTACTCACGGCTAAAATACATCCACTGAACGGTAATCTGAGGAAGCGGTCAATCTCAGGGACAAATGAGACGATGAAATATTAACATGTTTTCTGCCTGGTCCTGGTTAAAGCCCTTTAATATTTTATAACCTGTATTAGCCGCAGTCAATTGATCAAACGCTCAGTATTGACCTCCACACAGAACAACGCTGGAGCAAAGCATCATGGTCAAGGCCTTGGTGATCCACAATGTTGTAACTATGAAGGGTTGGAATTGGCAAAAATAATTGATTCTATTGTATCGCGATATTTTGCCCACGCTTCAATATTATCGCGATTCTTAACATATTGCGATTAATGTCACTCGTGTTATTCAAAGGCATAACAATAATGGAGGAAAATAAGTCACATTTATCAAGATAAGATAAGATTCGTCCCACAGTGGGGAAATGTCAATGTTGCAGCGCACAGACAGGACAGTAATAAGAGCACACAGGGAGCACACCAAAATATACAATATAAGAAGCTGCTGTGTTTCTTAGCTAGCTGCAAATGCTTCAATAACAATATATCTATTCATCTCTATCTATATGTATTTTCTTTACTTTTGACTGCGCTGGAAAACGGCAGCAGGTTCTAAGTAGCTCTGAAACATTTTTTGTTTTGTGATTTATACATTTTATTTTTCTTGCTTTTTTCTACCTGAGATGTTGCTGCAGTACAGTGTTCATGGTTTTGCACTGGTCCAGACCAGAGCAGAGAGGATTCATGGTCCGAACCAAGTGGATCAGGTGAAAATCCACTGCAGGAATGCTAACTTTTTGATAAATGCTAATGAAGCATTTAGCATTTTACTTTGGACTAGAGCAGAGAAAATGCTCAGAACCAAGCGGCTACTCCACCTTGTGACCCGTCCTGCTCCACCCAGAGGTTACTCCACCTCTGCTGCCAGGGCCGGAGTGGGACAACATTTCAGGCCGGGAGCTTTTCATCCATTCAGGCCAAACAAGGTTCTAAATTTGGGTTTTTGTCATTGTATTTTGATGTTCTTTTAATAGTTTTAAGATTGACTGTCAAAACTTTTGTTTTCTTTATTTTTTTTTATATTGACTGTTTATATAATCTCGGACGTTTAAGGATTGTTGTACGTTGCTTAGCAACGTAACGTTTATGGAGTTTAGCGAGAATAAAGACACACACACACACACACACACACACAATGAACTAAGTGTTCATTAGTGTATAACTATAACAAGCTAATCAATTATTGTTAAAAAAGTAGTAAGGTAAAATCACATCATTACAGCTCATATAAAAAATAAAAAATATAAAAACGTGTATGAACCATCAGTTGGAGAGACCACTCATTTCAACCGGGGAAGCTACACTGGGTGCACTGCTAGGCTGGCCTGGCTGTGTAGCCGACGTGTGACGTCACATTTGTTTAATTTTTCTCTGGCCCAATGACAGTAAAGCTTTGGCCAGTGTTGTGCCAGTTCACAGCTTTTCTGAACTAGTTCAAGTTCAGTTCATATATGCTCAAAGTGAACAGTTCACGTTCGAAGTTCTCAATTTTAATTCTGAACTAGTTCAAAGTTCAGTTCATTTTACTTTTTGCGAGATATTCAAATAAATATTTTTTTTCACTACGAGCTAGAAATCACAATACGTGGTATATATATATATATTATATATATAATTATATCCTGTACACTGCACAGGATGTTTTGACTCCAATGCAGACAAGATTTACATGGGTTTCAATGGGAACTGAGTTGTCCCATCTCTGCTCATAAGTACAAACTGTAATGCGCTGCAGAACGTGTGTCTATACTTTATGTCAAATGTAAACGGCCCTGTGTCACTGACTTACCCCTGTGTTTTCATCACGGCACATGTGAGTCCAACAACCAATGAATAGCACTAGCATATAGCGCCGCACCGCAAGTACACTGAGTCGGGGTGCGTTCACAGACGGTGGAAACCGTAGGAATTTTTAGTTTTCGGCGGAAACAGTGCGGAGAATACAGGAGGGAGGAACTTTCTCTCGTTGCGTTTCAAAAGAGAAAACAGATTTCACTCAGTTTTAAATGGAAAACAAATTGTCTGCCGTTCATGACACATAATATGAACTAATTCACGTTCAAGTTCTTTATTAAAAAATGTGTTGCGTTCAGTTCAACGTTCACGAAAAAATGAGCGTGTTCAATGAACGCGTTCTTTTGAACTCGTTCACGCACAACACTGGCTTTGGCCTGGGCCTTGCTCATTGGACCAGGCCACCAGGCAGGGTAGGAGTTTGCAAAGACCGTGAGGATAAAATTAAATTAAAAAAAAAATAAAAAAAAAAATAAAAATAAAAAAGACCGTAATGATAGGGCAGGCCCAGGCCACTTTGACACGCAGGCCACCGGGAGATCTCCCGATGCTCCCGATGGCCAGTCCGGGCCAGTCTGCTGCTGTGACCCGTCCTGCTCCACCCAGAGGTTACTCCACCTCTGCTGCTGTGACCCGTCCTGCTCCACCCAGAGGCTACTCCACCTCTGCTGCTGTGACCCGTCCTGTTCCACCCAGAGGCTACTCCACCTCTGCTGCTGTGATCCGTCCTGCTCCACCCAGAGGCTACTCCACCTCTGCTGCTGTGACCCGTCCTGTTCCACCCAGAGGCTACTTCACCTCTGCTGCTGTGACCCGTCCTGCTCCACCCAGAGGCTACTCCACCTCTGCTGCTGTGACCCGTCCTGTTCCACCCAGAGGCTACTCCACCTCTGCTGCTGTGACCCGTCCTGTTCCACCCAGAGGTTACTCCACCTCTGCTGCTGTGACCCATCCTGCTCCACCCAGAGGCTACTCCACCTCTGCTGCTGTGACCCGTCCTGTTCCACCCAGAGGTTACTCCATCTCTGCTGCTGTGACCTGTCCTGCTCCACCCAGAGGCTACTCCACCTCTGCTGCTGTGACCCGTCCTGTTCCACCCAGAGGCTACTCCACCTCTGCTGCTGTGACCCGTCCTGCTCCACCCAGAGGCTACTCCACCTTTGCTGCTGTTGCTGATTATGACTATTGTTAGCTTTTTAGAATGATCAATTTCATTTTCGATTTTTGCCGCTACTGGACACCAGAATTTCTCCGACGGGGATCAATAAAGTATCTATCTATCTATCTACTAGTGAAAAGTCACATATATAGAGCAGGATAAGTAGATAAAGTGACATGATTATGGTCTCCCAGCACATCACTTACATTATTCAAATACAATAGAGTCACAAAAAGCAGACATATTAGAGTTACATTAACCTCAGATGTAAATTACTAGAGTAAACTCGAGAGAAAACGCAGAAGAGAAACAGATAATTAAATATTACTATACTTTGCTCAACTGTATCGATTAAATGCTGTGCAAAAAATATTGCGACACTGAACAGAACCGCCTTTTTTCCCACCCCTAACTACGAGACCGGGAGAAATTAAGATTGAGTTTTCTGCAACTTTATAGCAGGGCTTTAACTATGATGCAAAAGAACTGAAATGATACAATAGGATTAACAGTGTTGAAATGGAGCCGCTGCAGTTATGAGAAGAGAAAGACAGGTTTGTGTTGTTATGGACCGATCCATTCAATTCAATCATTTGTCCAAAGGGAGCGGGATGACCAACGTCCATAAATGTGATTAAATGAACCCGGATCTTCACTTTCCTTTGAACCTCCTGGATTGGCAATGAACAAATAAAAAAATAAAACATAATAAAGAAACAGTGGGGGAAAAGAATACACTTTGGGGAGACACATATTGAGAGAGGGATAGATCCAGGACTCAGGCTGTAGAACGAGGACTGAGCAACAATTATGTAACTATGAGACCAGAGGAAATTAGGCCGAGTTTTTTCTGCAACTTTACAACTGGGCATTTATAAAGTAGAGCAAATGTCGGAAAAAGATGTTCTTAGGACCCTTTTAAATAATTATTTCAATGTTTTTTTTATCTTTCTTCTTTTTACTCTGGGCTTTGGCAGCTAAGCGATGTTGCATTGTTGTAATATTTGTTGATCTGATTTTACTATAGCCTTTATTTTGTATTTGATGTATTGTACTGTGCAGCACTTTGGGCAGCTTTTGTTGTTGTAAACGTGCTATAGAAATACATTTGACATTGACCCGGGTTTAAAAAGAGAGCACTGAATTAAACGGCAGGTAAAAAACCAATAACCCAAAGCACAAGTGTTTTAATTGTTTGCTGTCACGTGGGGAAAATGATGTGTAATATTATGCGTAAAACATAAAACATTAATAAAATCCACCACCCATTTTGCACACACCGACACAAATGTGGAAGAACTGAACTGACACACAACAACAAAGAGCTGGCCATAGAGCCGCAGATGTTTGGAGAAGAGAAAGATCGGGCTGTAAACAAGAAGAATGAAGAGTGGTCATTATCCGCTGCTGTGGAGAATCTGGACTGAACCACACGAGCTGGTCCAGGTTTGAGAGTAAAAGTTAAAATGTTTCTCATACGACTGGCACCAGCACTCATTACATCAGCTCTGAATGCGCCGCTACGGCTTTAAGTCTAAATTTGGTCATTTAAATTCTGCCCGTGTCTGTGTCTCAGTTGGTTCTTTCTTGTAGCTGAATGATAAAAGGGCTTTAAACTCAGCTCATGACCACAACTTCCTGCAGCGCACACACACGCATATAGACACACACACACACACAGACACGCACACACACACTCTCCTGTGCTCTTTTACCCACATGAGGAATGGACTTCTCTGCATTATCTCTGCACACACACTATTGTTACTATTGTCACGGTAACAACAAGGATAGGAATCATTCACAAGGACAAGAAAAGCTCACATCCAAGGACCAAAAAAGAGCAGAGAAAGAGACCAGAGAGAGAGAGAGAGAGAGACCAGAGAGAGACCAGAGAGAGAGAGAGAGAGACCAGAGAGAGAGAGAGAGTGCAGAGAGAGACCAGAGAGAGAGAGAGAGAGAGTGCAGAGAGAGACCAGAGAGAGAGAGAGAGTGTAGAGAGAGACCAGAGAGAGAGAGAGAGAGTGCAGAGAGAAACCAGAGAGAGAGAGAGAGAGAGAGAGTGCAGGGAGATACCAGAGAGAGAGAGAGAGAGTGCAGAGAGAGACCAGAGAGAGAGAGAGAGAGTGCAGAGAGAAACCAGAGAGAGAGAGAGAGAGAGAGAGTGCAGGGAGATACCAGAGAGAGAGAGAGAGAGTGCAGAGAGAAACCAGAGAGAGAGAGAGAGAGAGAGAGAGATGCAGGGAGATACCAGAGAGAGAGAGAGAGAGTGCAGAGAGAGACCAGAGAGAGAGAGAGAGAGAGTGCAGGGAGAGACCAAAGAGAGAGACCAGAGAAAGAGCAGAGAGAGACCAGAAACCAGAGACCAGAGGGAGACCAGAGACGCAGAGTGAGAGACCAGGGAGAGATCAGAGAGAGAGAGCTGAGAGAGAGACCAGAGAAAGAGCAGAGAGAGACCAGAGGAAGACTAGAGAGAAACCAGAGGGAGACCAGAAAGAGAGACCAGAGAGAAACCAGAGAGCGAGAGACCAGAGGGAGACTAGAGAGACCAGAGAGAGAGAGCAAAGAAAGAACAGTAAGAGAGAGAGAGACCAGAGAGAGAGAGAGAGACCGGAGAGAGAGAGAGAGACCAGAGAGACCAGAGAGAGTGACCAGAGAGAGTGACCAGAGAGAGGGACAAGAGAGAGACAAGAGAGACCAGAGAAACCATAGAGAGAGACCAGAGACCAGAGAGAGAGAGAGAGAAACCAGAGAGAGAGAGAGAGTCCATAGAGAGAGACACAGAAGGTTTATGTGGCCTTCTGCCTCTGAGCTCTTTTACCCACATGAGGAATGGACTTCTCTGCACACAAACTATTGTTACTATTGTCACAGTAACAACACGACTCTGAGGCGCCCCGCTGTGAGACCCCAGTCCACGGACACCTCTGAGACTTTCCACTTTGACAATCACCGATGGAAAAGACAGAGCAAGCAGCCATGGAAGTGTGTTTGGACGAACTGATGATCCCATGTTATTATAACGACACGTGCAATACTACTATCAGAATGTGCAATACAGAACCACTGTCACTACTTCACTTAGCCACAGCTGCTAACGTTACAGATGCAGTCTATGCTACAGATGTAAACATACAACTAGATATTTATTGAATCTTTTTTATGCTAAAGCTACAGATTCGATACTAGCTTCTTTATTATGCTAAAGTTGGAGATTTTATACTAGATTCTTTATTATGCTACAATAAGAGATGTTATACTTGCTTTTTATTATGCTAAAGTTTAGAGATTTTATTCTACTTTAGTATAGTTATTGTTCATTTATCTTGTGCTGTGTGCTCCTCATCCCTACTGTTCTATAACTGTGGATGCAACACTGACATTTCCCCAACTGTGGGACGAATATAGGATATCTTTATCTTATTGTGCAGACGCTGTGGTGATGACAGATCCGCTGCAAACAGACGTATGGATGGAAACACGTCTAAGGTGCAGCTACACAGACTTAAATACGTGTTATGTTAATATCTATGTGAGGTTTTTGAAGGCGATGCACGCTGGAATAGGCCTGAACTACTACAGAAACTTACCGCAGCGACAGGCGTTGGATTCGGCTGCTGCAGCTTGTTGTTGCTCCAGACTTTTGGCACACCCGCTCCGTCCGCACCTGCAGGAGAGAAGCCGTCTGGAGCCGCCTGGAGCCGCGGGACCTGTGCCTGATCCCGGTTTGAAGCTGAAACACCGCGAACAGCTCCGAGAGAATTGATGTGAAATGACAAGAAGCAGAAGAGTCCATCTGCTGTGGAGGAGCAGCGCCTCGACCAATCACAGCGCGAGCCTCACGCCCTCTTTGTTCACGCGGAGCCTCACGCGGAGGAGCCGGGGCGCGTGAATGAGGCTGAGACAATAGAGGCGTCAGAGGGGTCTGGGGGGACTAGGACCGGGACCGTCCTGGTCCTGTCCTGGTTCCTAGTCACTTCTACTGCTCAGAGGGGTCTGGGGGGGACTCGGACCAGGACCCCTTCTACTAATCAGAAGGGTCTGGAGAGGATTAGGACCACTACCAGGACCAGGACCCACCTCCAGCTCAGAGGGTCTGGAGAGGACCAGGACCCCCACTTTTACTGCTCAGAGGAGTCTGGGGGTTCTAGGACCCAGGTGCAGGACCCCCCTTCTGCAGCAGCTATCGACCCGCATCAGGACCCTCCTCCTCGGCCTCATCTGTCCCCCAGACCCATAACAAGTCTTCTCCACAAACAGACTGTTGATAATAAACTACATCATTGACGTTGTTTTTGCTTCGAAGTCTACAGTATGTACCGCGCCATATTATATCATAACTCACTACAGACACACTAAGCCTGTGTTTATGAACCCAATTACTTTAGACAGAGCAGGGATTTGACCCACATCAGTGTGTTTTAGCTGGAGAGAGAGAAATACACAGAGAGAGAGAAATACTGAAAGAGAGAACAGAGAAGGACAGAGAGAGAGAACAGAGAGAGCGGACAGAGAGAGAGAGAGACCAGAGAGAGCGGACACAGAGAGAGAAAACAGGACAGAGAGAGAGAGAATAGAGAGGACACAGAGAGAGAGATAAACACACAGAGAACAGAGAGAAATACACAGAGAGGACAGAAAGAGAACAGAGAGAGAGAAATACAGAAAGAGAAAAGAGAGAGGACAGGGGACAGAGAGAGAACAGAGAGAAATACACTGAACAGAGAGAGAACAGAATGCATTGACAAAGATATATTTTTGCGCACAATATATTTTGCCAAACTTCACATTCATCTCTTTCTTTGTGTTTGTGTGCTCTTCATTCCTGTTCTGCAACCTGCGATGCAACACTGGAATTTCCCCTCTGTGCGACTTAAGTAAATCTGGTGTGAAGTTGTAGTTTTTAGACAAAGAGACTGAAGACACAACACAACACTGAATCTGCAACATATTTTTAAATATTTTCAGAAACAGAATAAAACATTTGTTGCTACAATTAGTATGCACAATTATTCTGCATTTAGTAAACTTAATAAATATACACTTCTTATTATACATATCTTATAACGTCGTCTGAACGTATGCATTAGGTTGTATACTGTTAAACGAACCAGAGAACTTGCTAGAAAAACACACATGAACAACAGATTTCAATTGGGATCGTTTAAAATATGTTTCCAGCATGATTTAAGAATAGTAATTATGAATTTAGTTACAAAAAAATGCACAGAAAAAGAGAAATATACAGTTAAAAAAAGGCAGAAGTATAGCTTTTACTCTTCACAAAACTGAAGAGAACCATGTGAGGCCAGAGAGGACCATGTGTGGGGTGGAAGTAACAGCTTTTGGATCAGCGACAGAGGAGCAGGGGTGTCCAGACTTTATCACAGAGGGTCTCGCACAGTTTAAATGAGGCTTGGTAACTTTTAAAACCGTGAATATGGAGAATGCGTGCTGCAAAAAGTGATAATAATTAAGTTAAAAATTGCTCAAATTCAGCAAATGTATCTTAATTTCAGCACAAGATTTGCCAATGGGACGAAGCATCTTGTTTTAAAAGATACAAGAAATGAGAAAATAAAGCCACAGTTCTTAAAATGAAATGGCTTGTCCCCAAATATTGTTTTAAGACAGTCAAAATGAACTCAAATCAAGATAAAACCACAATATTCAAGCCATTATTACCGCATATCTTATCATTTTTTGCAGTGTAGTTAAGACCCGCCCCCACAGCTTCCTGATTGGGCGCAATTAATTCAAACCGTTTCCACCAGCCTTACTTGGCCCTAGTCTAGTCTACCCCGATTGGGATTTTTGGCCTGGATAGAACCAGGGCCAAGAGAGGCCGTAGTGTTCCGACTGACAGTGATTGCTGCTGGAAGCCGTGGTTACCAAGAAAAGTCCTCATACCGTTTTGTTGTGCGTAGGTTGCTAGGATACCAGATACTAAAGCATAATGGAAACGCAACCAGGCCAGTAGAGCCGAGTAGAGTAGAGTAATGCAGGGCCAAGTAGGGCTGGTGGAAACAGGGCTACAGACAGCTAAGGCCACTCTTTTTAATTTTTATTTAAAGGCCAAGGGAATGCAGAACACAAGAAATTATTATTATTATTATTATTTTTGTGTTGGTTATCAAGACACATTGCAACACGAGTGGATTATCATGATAGTAAAGTCATTATAATTGTGGTTGACTTTCTGTTTTTTACGGCTTACTCCTGTGAATAATTTTTGGAATTTATTTTTAATCATGAAACGTGCTATATAAATAAAATTGAATTGGAGATTTGGAATAGACTTTTCAACCGCACCTTCAGCAATCCCTTCAAAATCAAAATCTGCATTCAAAGTAACCTCTTGTATTAATTAAACTGGGTCAAATCAATGGAAAACCAGAGGGCCACTGAAAATGCTGTGAGGGCCGCATTCTGCCCCCGCGCCACAATTTGGACACCCCTGTCATATGAAAATCTGGCTCATAACCAGGTCTCAAGGAACAGCCAGCAGACAAAATGAGCGCTTTAAAGAAGACATAACATGCTTCAGTCTGAGATACGAGAGATTCTACAACCCCCGATAACAAAACACACATTAGAAAAGACTAGTTTCTCACACTTCCACTTTCAGTCCTGCCGCGTCGCTCTGTGCTCTGCCCTTTTCGGTCCAAGGAATCAGCAGATACATTTCCATTTGAGCGAAAATGCCTGCACAGCTGAGAACAAGCCGTTAACACTGAGGTCTATGGTATAATCTCCTTATGGCCCATGTGGATTTAATCTGTAATACCGTGGGTGGCCACTAGTCCCTGTGGAGACTTGTTTAAGCTAGCAATACCCAATCCAGATAATATAATACAGCCGTGGAAACAAGCTTGCTTTAACCAGGAAAAGTCCCACAAATGGGTTGAAGCTTATTGTACACGTTTTTAGTGGTCTGGAAACTGGGGAGACACAGGGAGAACGTGAAAACTCCGATCAGAAAGTCCCAACTCTGAGCGGGAATCGAGCCTTTTCTTGCCACAGTGCCACAAGAGAAAGGTTTAACGCAATCCAATCGCTGTGAAAATGCATGTTATGTCTAATTTAAAACGCAACAAGACGAGATCATCAAACTTATCAAATACCATAAACACCAAGAGTTTAAAGAAATGAGCAAAAATACAATCCATTTCTACTCGACCAACTCTGCGGGTGCCCAGGTCCTGTGTAAAATGACCATTGTAGGAAGTCCAGGAGGTTTTTCTTTTTTTTTGTACAAACATAAATTCAAAACTACTTTCTAATAACGTTGACCTTGCAAGTCATAAGGCAGAAAACAGTGCAGTACAAAAACAGTGAATATTGCCACTGAGAAAGCACACATGTAAGATGGTGGAACTGGTTTTGTAGACATTTGAAAACATGAAAAACGTTCAGTAGATACACACACGAACAAATACATGACCAAAGAGGAGTAAAGTTGAAAAGTAAAAAAAAAAAAAAAAAAAAAGTAGCCATTTGTTATCGTGAAACCAAAAGGCCAAGTGCCATTGATACATACTGCTTGAGTTATGGCATGTTAGGTCCACATTTGGTTTTGAAACATTTTAAGAGCAATTTTCACATGTTGGCACAGTTACATCTGCAAACATAGACTGTAGGATGGAGAGGACGTATAAATGTATGGTATTGACCTCGGTCCTGGATCTACAGCCTCGGTCCTGGATCTACAGCCTCAGTCCTGGATCTACAGCCTCAGTCCTGGATCTACAGCCTCAGTCCTGGATCTACAGCCTCGGTCCCGGATCTACAGCCTCGGTCCTGGATCTACAGCCTCGGTCCCGGATCTACAGCCTCGGTCCTGGATCTACAGCCTCAGTCCTGGATCTACAGCCTCAGTCCTGGATCTACAGCCTCAGTAGTGGATCTACAGCCTCGGTCCCGGATCTACAGCCTCGGTCCTGGATCTACAGCCTCGGTCCCGGATCTACAGCCTCGGTCCTGGATCTACAGCCTCAGTCCTGGATCTACAGCCTCAGTCCTGGATCTACAGCCTCAGTAGTGGATCTACAGCCTCGGTCCCGGATCTACAGCCTCGGTCCCGGATCTACAGCCTCGGTCCCGGATCTACAGCCTCGGTCCCGGATCTACAGCCTCGGTCCCGGATCTACAGCCTCGGTCCTGGATCTACAGCCTCGGTCCTGGATCTACAGCCTCGGTCCTGAATCTACAGCCTCGGTCCTGGATCTACAGCCTCAGTCCTGGATCTACAGCCTCGGTCCTGGATCTACAGCCTCAGTCCTGGATCTACAGCCTCAGTCCTGGATCTACAGCCTCAGTCCTGGATCTACAGCCTCGGTCCTGGATCTACAGCCTCGGTCCTGGATCTACAGCCTCGGTCCTGGATCTACAGCCTCAGTCCTGGATCTACAGCCTCGGTCCTGGATCTACAGCCTCGGTCCTGGATCTACAGCCTCAGTAGTTTTTTCTTGTCTCAGTAGAGGGAATGATCCAGGACATTTATGGACAGGTAAAACACCTATTATCCAACCACTCTTAGACCACAGAAATACAAAAATAAAACTTTTTTTTTTTTTTTTTTACTCTAATCTGTTTTGACAAATCAACAAACACCGGACGAGTGCTATCACAATTTTGGCCTGTACAAAAATAAACTGATTTGATTCGTAGCGACCAATCAGGAGCGAGGCACTATTTGCTATCCAAACCTACATTTGGGGAGACAAGGCACGTCAAAAAAACTAAATATTTTAATTCTGGGTATAGTAATATTTCTTCTTCATGATACAGTCTAAATGTGCAGATATTAGTGTGTAGTAAAAAGGCCCAAACATCACTTTCCAAAACACAACTAAACAAAGGAATGAAATTGAAGCTTATTTTCTCATTGCAACAGATTAAACAGTCTGAATATTGTAGGTCTGAAGCCATTTTATCTTTATGCTAAGCGCTAACGCAAGTAAATGGTTTCATAAAAGTAAAATGTTTGTGCAAGAGCAAGTTTAACACCTACTATCTGGTCTTAAATAAATAAATAGGAAACGGGAGAATTCAAAAGAGCACATTCAGAACGGTTTGCGGACGACGGCCATGGATTTGGTTCATGAGGACACATCTATAATTGTGACGACAGCTTCGCTAGTTCAGTAACTTTTGGTTTTTAGGATTTAAATTCAACCAATGAAAGCTTTGGCACGGAAGAATTCGATTAAAAACAGCTCCATAGCATTTGTAACTAAAATAGCTAATCACGCCGAAAGTGCATATGACAAGTTGTGTATGATTTGTCCAATAATTTAGTGGGAACTACATACATAATATACATGATAGATTAAGATGCGAAAATACGATATTTTTTTAAAGTTACAAAACATAGGATATTTTTTACCCAGTTTACAAAAAGGAATCCCCCGTATGATGTAATTTAAACAAATAAAAAATATTGTTGTGGAAAATTGAGGCATACATCTGTAATGTTATTATTTAAAGCTGGGGTACGTAACTTTAAAGCCGCAAGAATCATCCATGTAACTTGTCCTATATCTTTCAGTTGGTTCTCGCTTGTTTTCACATTTGTCTATATACTTAAGATTCAGATTTTTCAGACCTAAAAGTGAAAATGAGAGAACCACCCTCTCTCAGCAAATCAGCTCTAAGCCCAAAGAGTCAAAAAGTGACTCACAGGGCTCTTATGTATGTAAATGTGTGCAAAATATACCACGGTTTCTTTTTCGCAGTTGGATTTGTTCACATAATTGTACTTTTACAGGAGTTTTTCTGTTGTGACAAACAATGAGTGTTATTTATGAGAGAAAAAATGAGGTACCCCAGCTTTAACCTGTCATAGGCACTTTTTAAATCACCAATGTTACTGTAAATATTGTACGCGTGTCAGTGGGAAAAATCGAATTCACATGTTTTAAAGCAACACATTGTAACTTTAGAATTGTTTTAACATTATTTTCTTGTCCATTCCACAGAAATAGAATAGAAAATGCTCCGTGGAGGAGGCCTGGGACAGATACGAGTCAAGTTTAGGGAGATGCAAGCTCGCTCAAGTCAAGACACGCGATTTTATGCATTTTTAGTGCGCGATAGAAGATTCGAAAAATGTAAAAACACGCAAGTATTTCAGTAAATTCTTTTGTAAATTTCAACGAGACAAGGTGAGGTTTTAAACACTAGTTACTTTTGCGCTAAAGTTTTAGATTTGATTAATTAAAGCTGATTATTAAAGAGTTATTTTTGGTAATGTCCATCTACGTCAGTGTTTAGAAGGTTCTACGGTTTACAATAGAGCACAGGTATTCGACCTGGCTCGCAAAGGTCCAGTGTGGCTGCAGGTTTTCACTCCAAGTAAGCAGGAGCACAACAGACTCCACCCATTTCTGTCAGGTCTGCAGGTTAGGACTGGACTCACTTGAGGAAATGGGTGGAGTATGGTGTGTTTCTGCTTGGTTGGAATGAAAACCTGAACCCACACTGGCCCTTTGAGGACCAAGTTGAATAAACCTAAAAGAGAGGCTAAAAGTGCGACATAATTTCTCACTTCTGGGTTCGAGGCTGTGGACACTTTTCAAAACAAATGTAGAGAGGTTGTAGATTAGAGAGAAAAGGGAAGTGGCTAGAATTCATAAGTAATGTTAAGTTTAGGGATCCTGCTTTTTAATTTCCAATTATTATTACAAATGCTTTCCTGTAACTCCCAATGCAGCCACCAGAGGGAGTGTGCGCTGAGTGTGATGTCATAGTGGGACAATGACATCATACTATTACAGGGTTGAGACAAGTTCCTAATATTAGCGTGGATGGGTATAAAAACAACTAAGGAACAATATTGTAACATGGTTTAAAGCTCAAAAAAGGTGGATTTTGCAATATATCTCTATTTAAACAAATTAAAGGAGAGAGAAGTGGCCATTTTCTTTAGCCTGGACCCGGAAGTGAAAATTTTAATGTCATCCCTCAACAACAGATTTGATTTGAATAAATTGCAAAACAGTTTACCGACTTGTCCAGGACTCAAGGTGTAAACAGCGGTGGTGGGAGGTGTCACGTCACGGTTCACTTCCATTTTTTCATCTAGGTAGTGAACCGTGACGTGACATATTCGTGTGGAGGCAGATAGTGCAAAAAAACCTAAAAATAATATCGCAATCGCTAAGGGCAGCTGCAAACTACGTCCATCTGTGCGAGGGCAGTAGCTCCGGATCTCGGCTAACATGTGCATATCTGATGAGGGTTGCATAACGGGGGGAAAGGAGAGAGCGCTGCGCAACTTTTCTGCTTGGAGTGGACATCAGAATGGTTTTAATCTGGTATAATGTTTAAATACAGGTGTTTTCACAGCTGGAAAATCCTGCTGTCACGTCTCCACACGTACGGCATAAAACTGCTTGAATTACTATAAACGTGATGTAGAGAATATTTTAAAATGTGAAATTATTTGCTTTCGTAGCTGTATTTTGTATCTATGTTAGAAAAGAGGCCTGCAACTCCCTCTGCTACCACCAGAGGGAGGAGTTAAAAAGTAAGTTATTTGGTTGGAGATCTTACAGTTGTCTGGTATAGAAAAAACAAACAACTTTATTTTACTTAAACGACAAGATGGACCTCCCTAAACAAGGAGTTACATTTGTTTTCTTTGACCTTGATTCTAGAGATGACTAGAATGTGCCATTGCTGCCATCTAGTGACAACGGTGGGTAATCACAATCTGCTATATTTACGTTTAAATCCAAGATGGCGTGGTCTATATGAAGGCACGCAGTCTAAAGACCATAATTTGACTGGAGATAGTGCCAGAACTAATATAAAGGCAAAAACTCTGTCACATTGTAAGAATTAGTCACAGCGAAATAAGAGCATTCGGACAAAAGGGAGTTTTAAGGCTTTTCATAATAATCACATTTTCTTTGCGACAGTGGAAAGATCTTTGTCGTTTTAAATGTAAAATGGTCATGTTTCATCTGTAGAGGGCTCATTATGACTAAAAACTAATCCTGTTTATACTCTTCGCATATGTTTTTGATATTGTACTTGCATCAGTGGCATAGTAGTTTTAATATTATCAGTTTTTGCAATAATTTTTGGAAGCAATTTCCAATCCGTCAAAATTAGCCTTTGCGACAGGTATACTGCGTGTTTGTGCCAGAAGTTTCTTGCATAATTTGTGGCATTTAAAGCTGGGGTACCTAATTTTAAACCACAAAACATGGACCTATGCGATACAATCCATGTAACTAGTTCCTCAAAACAGTTTTGGTTCTATCATTACGGACTGATGGCTCCTAAGTGTTTGTTATTATTGCATTTCTTGTGTTCGAACTGTTTGTTGTAATTTGAATTGAGGTACTCCACTTTAAAGTCTTGTGATGTCGCATGTGACGATAGATCCTTATAATGCCATACTGTGGAAGATTTCAGGCAAAACTATTGATAGATTGATACGAAACAAGCGGAAAAGTTAGCGTAGCGCTCGGTAAACATTGAATCCATGAAAACCTTTGCATAATCCAATTCTAACATGTTGCGATTGATCCGAATTTGACTCGGCAGTTTAAACTTTGCAATGAACGGGAATGATTTCTGCACACACACACTCACACATATACACACACACACACTCACACATATACACACACATACACCTCGAAACCTCCCCATAGCGACGCCTTTTTCCGCATGCTACGATCTGCCAGAGCATGCTTCAAAAGCCTAGAGAGGGAAGCAGGAATAAGATCGACAAAGCTAAAAGAAAAACCCAAAACATACTAATAATAAACTCTCATTGTGCATTACAACAGCCACCGCCGTCTCCTCAGTGAAAAGTCCAGCGTTCCGGAAGGTTCCAGCTATACGCCGCTCTCCGCCGCCGTTTCTGGAGCTTTGGCCCCGTGTCCGGAGCAGCTGCAGGCTTTCCGCAGCCGGCCCCACTGGTACCCTGTGAAGGTGGGGCTGATGGGGAGGTATGTGAAGATCGAGTGCTTGCGGATGAAGTCCATTCCGAACGGGAGGTCGTAGGAGCGCATCCCCTCCAGCTCCGCGGCGCTGGCTCCCGCCCCTCGTTTCAACTTCTTGATGCCGCGTTCCTCCAGAGAGCCTGAGATGTGAGATTAGGAGAAATGTCATGTGTTGTTGGTGGTGTTCATGCTAGGGCTGCATGTGTAGACTGTTTAGAGATGGACAATGCTAACGGGCTAGCTCAACAAAACCCAATGAGGAACAGGAAATGGACAAAGTTTGGCTCCAACTTACTCTGTCTCCTATTGGCTTAACAGCACATACAAAATAAAACGCCTCTGGTTCAGTCACAGTTTGTGTCATAGTCACAATTTTTGGTTTTAATGGTTTGCTCAACTACTTGGCAGATCCCTTTTTCCTGTCACTACATCTACTTGAAACTGAAATCTACCTCATTGGTGCTTCTCTATCAATCGGTTTTAGGCACTTTTACCATCAAGCTGCAACATCAACCATCTGGTAGAGGCCTATAATAAAAAAACTGGAGGGACCAAGAAAATGAAAACAATAAAATTTTTGTTATTAGTGCTTCTACAACTTGAATACACTTTCCATGGCTTTCTTCAAGGAGTGAATATTAAAGGGTAAAAAAAAAATCGGTGGTTTAGCGCTCTAGCGCTCTCTGTGATCTTGGTGTTTATATTGTGATATCGTCTTGGTAAATCCAGAGGTGAGCCCTGATTACTGACCAATCAGAAGGCCTCTGTCGCTGGATTTCACGTTAGCCAGCAAGTAGCCGCTCTTGGTAACTTCGCTGTTGCTACTAACAAATTTGCAAATCATTGGCGACACATTACCGCTGAAATAGCTTGTTCGAGTTAGCCTTAATGCAGAAGAAGCCGATTAAAGCTAACACTATGGTGATGTCGGCCAGCATTTGGCTTGCTCATATCATAGTAAACCAAAAAGGAGGTGAGGCTGTCCCTAAAATCAGACTGGATCAAATTGCCCAGTGTCTCAGTGTCTGTTAAAAATCACACGAAGAACCCTTGTGTATATTTTGTAACTGTTTCACTTCCTGTTGATTCAATATAAAACAGACTTGAATAATTATCTTTCCATCACATGCAACAATGACATGCGTTTAGTGTAGTTTAATTCATCTGAACGGTGCAATTGAATATAAACACATAATTAAACATGAAGAAAAACATTGTTGAAGATAAAACAAGACAATAATAAGAAAATATTGAAGAGGAGGAACGCACCGGGAATAGTGTTGTCTAAAATGAAGGCGACGGAGCCTCCCACAAACATGGCGGTGGTGAGCAGCACGTTCAACACTTGATCAATCTCCACGATACCTGCAAAAGTCACACGGTAATAATTTCTGTTTCACCTCCGTCTGTCAGAGCGAGCAGAGAGAATCTGGAAACTCCACATTGAGTGAGCAACACACATGTCAACCCAATGGCTAATGAGGCTCGCAGATGTATTTAAGTTCATGGGAAAAAGCTAGCCTTCCGTTAGTTGGCATGTACTTCAAAAACTTCCCTGGGTTTGATTGTCGAGTGGAAAGCATCTGGATTGTGCTGCAGGATATGAGGTGTTTTATAAGCAATTACAGACGCAAGTATCTGAGGAAAAGCTAAAGACGTCTTTTATAGTGTGGTAAAAGAGTGGTTCAACTAGATATTGGGATTTCATGTATACTGAGACAGGAGAGGTCCGCACCTGTACAGAAACTAGAGTGGTCTGCATGTATACGGAGACTAGAGAGGTCTGTATTCTGAGACAAGAGTGGTCTGCATGTATACTGAGACAGAGAGGTCTGTATGTATACTGAGACTAGTGAGGTCTGCATCTATACAGAAACTAGAGTGGTCTGCATGTATACTGAGACAAGAGTGGTCTGCATGTATACTGAGACGAGAGAGGTCTGCATGTATACTGAGACGAGAGAGGTCTGCATGTATACTGAGACAAGAGTGGTCTGCATGTATACTGAGACTAGAGAGGTCTGTATTCTGAGACTAGAGAGGTCTGCATGTATACTGAGACTAGAGAGGTCTGCATGTATACTGAGACTAGAGAGGTCTGTATTCTGAGACTAGAGAGGTCTGTATTCTGAGACTAGAGAGGTCTGTATGTATACTGAGACTAGAGAGGTCTGCATGTATACTGAGACAGAGGTCTGTATGTATACTGAGATTAGAGTGGTCTGCATGTATACTGAGACTAGAGAGGTCTGCATGTATACTGAGACTAGAGAGGTCTGCATGTATTCTGAGACTAGAGAGGTCTGCATGTATACTGAGACTAGAGAGGTCTGTATGTATACTGAGACTAGAGAGGTCTGTATGTATACTGAGACTAGAGAGGTCTGTATGTATACTGAGACTAGAGAGGTCTGCATGTATTCTGAGACTAGAGAGGTCTGCATGTATACTGAGACTAGAGAGGTCTGTATGTATACTGAGACTAGAGAGGTCTGCATGTATACTGAGACAGAGGTCTGCATGTATACTGAGACAAGAGAGGTCTGCATGTATACTGAGACTAGAGAGGTCTGCATTAGGGTTTAATATTTTTCCCGAAAATGAGACGTATCAAATCCCGGGAAAAGACGACGCCTTTCCCGGGAAATAGCTGTTGTTTGTAGTTGTTGTTTTTAGCCCAAGTAATGTATGATATCACTCAAATATATAATCCAACAAAAGCTGCCGTCTCCACTAGTGTTTCACTAAGCGACTTGCTAGCTTTTCCAAAGTAGCCATAGCGTTTTCAGACGTTTTGTTGATGGGCTTTCTTCAGGAATTTCACTAATATGAGATTCTAAATGTCTGCCCAATCCACTTGTCGACCAGTGACGTGCGGTGAGGTTTGGAGGCACTGACTTCAGCCCTGTCAGATGAACATATATCATATAAATCAACAGAACCTACAGAGCGGCTCATTCACAATTAGTTTGGCTACAGCAGAATGTTTTCCATGGCCCGCATTGTTTGCTCAAACAAAACGCAAAAGTTCGTAAAAGGCACATTTCCAATTGTGTTATGGGTTTTACCTTAGTTATTAATGAACAGCACAGACCACTTCGGTTCAGACCAGTTTCATGTTTAAGTCCAGATAATAGTTTGAGCGTAGATATGTAATCCCCCATTTGGAAATAAGCCCAAAGAGTTTTAAAGCGTAAAACAAAACGGGTGCCACCTCCATAAGCTCCTCTGTGTTTTCGCTGGCTGCAGCAGACTCTCGGGCGCATCCAATTTATAATATCAACCTTCTTACCCTTCTCCTCTCTTCCTTATCATTCCTATCGTCATTGGAAGCAGAACATTACCCTAAATGCATTTTATATGATCTTAAAATGTGTTATATGTATGTTAGCCAAACCTGTTGCTGCCCTTAGCAGATGGAAAAAAAGAAAGGAGCTTTCTGATAGAATTGGACGTAGCCAAATTCTGGGCTCACATGCGTACCCTGAGGCTGGCCTCATTACAAGTCGTGGTTTAGCGCGATTAAGACCCATATTTGTTTCAAAAACACAATTTATGAGCCATCCTCTCAGCTGTAGATATGTTGATTGTAAATGAAATATGTTTGAACTTTGAACAACAATAAACGTGCTCTATAATAGGAGCGCACTGGATTTTTTTTTTTTTACTTTCATTTCCCGTTTCCCGTCATAACATTTTCCGGGAATCGGGAAATAGTTTTGATCAGATTTCCCGGGAATCCCGTGTCCCGGGATTAAACCCTAGTCTGCATGTATACTGAGACTAGAGTGGTCTGCATGTATACTGAGAGATCTGTATGTATACTGAGACTAGAGAGGTCTGTATTCTGAGACAAGAGTGGTCTGCATGTATATTGAGACTAGAGAGGTCTGTATTCTGAGACAAGAGTGGTCTGCATGTATATTGAGACTAGAGAGGTCTGTATTCTGAGACAAGAGTGGTCTGCATGTATATTGAGACTAGAGAGGTCTGTATGTACTGTATACTGAGACAGGAGAGGTCTGAATCTATACAGAAACTAGAGTGGTCTGCATGTACACTGAGACTAGAGAGGTCTGTATGTGTACTGAGACAAGAGAGGTCTGGGCCTGCATGTATACCGAGACAAGAGTGCTGCATATATACTGTAGCCTCCTCACCGGTGACAAGTGGGTTCTGCTTGAGGTAACTAGGCAGCATGAGGCCGAAGAAGATGGAGAATCCCAGGACAAAGAGGTTCCTGGAGGAGTTCAGGTCCACAAACTGCAGGTTGGAGAGTCCCACCGCGGTAATCATCCCGAACAGGGTGCAGAAGAGCGCTCCGAGCACCGGGTCTGGGAGCGACGCAAACAGGGCGCTGAATTTACCCACGAGGCCGAGCAGCAGCATCATGGCAGCTCCGCACTGGATCACGCGCCTGCTGCCCACCTACAGGATCAAAACATGTAGAATTAGTCCTTCCATTGGTCACGGTCATCATTAACACCTCCAATCTCAATGGACTTGAGACAGATAGAAAACTCTTCATCTGTTTGATCTGAGAGCTGATTGGAAAGAGCGGCCCTCTCTTTTTCACTTTTCTATCTAAATATGTGAAGCTTTTAGATTGTTAGATTGATTTTCTTTCCTGGATTCAGTTCTTTTGTGGTTTGAAATGTGTGTATCCCAGCTATAAATTTCACTTGACCGAACCTGAAACTACCAGGCCTCATAAAAGAACGACTTAGACTTAGACAATATTGATCCACAGTGGAAATTGCGTCGTCACAGTAGCTCACATTGTATTTCACAATAAAAAATAAAACAGTAATAATCTCAAAATAATAATAATAACATAAGATAATTGTGTGAGGACAAGGAATGAGGTATTTTTATTAATTCAGATACAGCCCAAAATTAAATATATATAAAAAGGATAGACTGTTGTTTTCAATCTTGTGAATATGTTGTGGAGGATGTAAGACACTTTGGGCTCTTGTAGTTGTAAATGTGCAATACAAATAAACTGTACGAGACACCAGATAATGGGACTGTTTATATACAGAACTGGAGGTAGAGACAAACTGGGTCCTTTTCGTACAAACGCCTTAATAGGAGTTCAGAAACAATCTATGACATAATTTTATCCTAAATCGTCTGAATGTATAACTTTGTGTGTCGATTGGACAATATTCAGAACAGACAGAAAATGGTCTACACTAGAAGCAGACTAACAGGAGCCCAATGCAGCTTTTTCGGGATGTAATGTGTATAAGTATCCACTGGGCGGAGCTACAATATTATCACAATTTATTCAGGTGTGACCCAGAAGGGCACATTGCTTTTTGCCTGATTTTTCACTGTTCTGTCCTTGTGTGGTACAGGCTAAAAGGACTTGGATCATTTTATTATTTCCCAGTGAAATTAATGGATGTCTATTATATGTATTCTTAAGCTAATGGAGCTATAGGTACAGAATTCACTTTCGTTGCTGTTAAAGTTATATTTAGCTTTAACAGCAATGCACATTACCGGAGAATAGAAAGATAAATTTAATGCCCACATCAAACATGACCTATTATTTAAGATTATAGATAATAAAACGATAAAAGAATAAGATAAAACCATACCTTTGTGATTCCCAATACGCCTATATTTGGACTGGAGGACGTTGAGCCGTTTCCTGTGCCGAAAAGTCCATCCAGAACACACGACAGTCCCTCTATGAAGATCCCTCTGAGAAAGAAAACAGGATGTAGGGTCAAATTGTAACGTATAAACTTCATTATGTCCTCTACCTGTATATTTAAGGCTTATAAGGTTCTTTAAACAAGACAAAGTGTAAAGAGGCCAGCACTGTGGTCTCTGGAGAAGTGAGTCCCAAGTGTGAACCAAGGTGAAGGCCCCCTCGTCTCCGTTGATGGTCCACGTGCTTTGCATTTATGTTCTTGCGTTCTGACTATTTCTGCATTGTTCCAGTTCATTATATGATTTTCGACAAAAGTCTATCGCCAAAACATTTCAGATATCTAAGTGGTACTTGCTTCTTTACACTTTGGCCTTATTAAAATGACCTTTTAACTTCAGAATCTGTGCTTTTTTTTCACTTTACTTTTTCCGGTTACCTGTTGATGGCGTGAATAGGTGGGGGAGGGGCCAGAGACAGGCGAGCGCAGGCGTAATAATCTCCTATGGACTCGATGATGCTGGACACCACCGCGCTCATCATGCCGATCACTCCGGCCGCGGTCACCGTGGGAACGCCCCATTGCACTGAAACACAAGTATAAAGTATAAAGAACGGGGTGGATGACCAATGTCCCTAAATGTTGATAATACATCTTTATTCCAGTCTCAAGGTCCATATAAAAGACAGTACAAAGACACCACAGAAAGTAAACATAAAGTCTAATGACTCATTTAAAGAAGACACTTTCCCAGAACTGAGATGATCATGCAACGAAATGCATCTGTGCAATAACTTCCAATAATGACAGCTGACAGCTAATCACTCACTACCTTAATATTAATGCACCAGAGTATTACAGATTTACCTACAGATGTTTACATACAAGTATACATAAATGTAAAAAGTTTATTTGTCTCATGTTTAAGGCTTTGATGGTTATTTTAATATTTTAATAAGAAAGTAAAGAAAGCTACTACAGACATGTTTGGTTTCTTTATTTTCTTGTCTTATTAAAAGAACCTTCAAAGCCTTAGACAAGTATATATACAAGTATATGTTTCTCGCGCTAGAAATTCTACTTAATATTTTCTTTTTAAAGTATAGAGTTGTGCTGTTCTTAATATCTCGTGTTGTGTGCTCCTCATTCCTACTGTTCTGTAAATAGTGATTCTACCGTGGGATGAATAAAGGTTCTCTCAATATTAAAACTGAAACTGGTCTCAGATACTCAGACCACGACCTTCTCGCAAACTTAAAACTCAATGTAGGAGAAGCGGCTTTTTCCCATAACACTTTTCCAACAAATAAAAGGGGTAACATTTCTTTCCTTCAGAGTCTTAGGGTGTATTCAGACCTGCACATTTGCTCCACTTTAAACGAACCAGGATTCGTTTGGAACTCTGATCAGAATCTTTTATGCAGGTCTGAATACACACAAACGAATCCTGGTCCGGACCAAAGAACCGAACCGAGACCCACTTTTTGAGGTGGTCTCGGTCCGCTTCCAAACGAATTCTGGTCCAAGTCGAATCAGGTCTGAATACATCCGGTGTCGATCCGACACAACTCCAAGATACGTGCGCATTTTTTGGGCTTAACAAGCCGCAGACAGAAACTGAGGAATTAGCCACGCAGCGGCTAACTATGATGCTAACTATGCTGCTAACGCTACACAACAACACTGAGCCGTGTGCAGACCTGGAGCAGTGAGGAGACGCTGTGCAACAGGCTTATGGAGTTACAACTGTTCACAGTATACATTGATGTTAATGGCAGCATCTTTAAATACTTTGCATTATTAAAAACCTGACACTGTTTGACTCACGTCTCAAAAAGAAATATCCCGCATCATGTAGTGAATTGTGTTCTTTGGTTCCTACCTGATCCTCAGCGTCTGTTTGTCCCGTGGTTATTATAGATCCATGGTTTATCCACAATGCTGAACAGGGCCGTTATTATCATAGATCCATGTGTGGGACAGGACACGTAGCGCACAGACAGAGTCTCCTTCGGCTTTCTCCTTACGCATTCTCCGACGCTGTTCCAATATTTAAAACAACGTGTTTGGCCTGTGCCATATGAGCTGCTGTTGATGTTGAAGGTGGTTTTGCTCTAAAAAGAACAAACAGAGGCAGAGCAGACATGCTGCACATACGAGCCCTCAATGTTTTCCTCCGGTTCCGCGTCTATCCTCCGTGAGCTCTCTCTGTCCAATAGGAGCGCGGATCGTCACACGTGTCGATATGTTTATATAAAAAAGTTCACTTGCAAAAAGGACAGTCTGAATACGAACCGGAGCAAAAGAAAAAAGTTTGGTCCGCTTTTGATTCGGATCAAGCAAGCGGAGCAAAGGACTTTTCAGGTCTGAATACACCCTTAGTTGAGTCTAGATTTGCTGGTTTTAGTTCAGTATATTGAGTATACTATATAAAATGTAAGATAAGAAATAAGAGGACCTTTTTATCCTCTCATAGTTTGGTAAAATAAGTACATTTCCTTTCCTTTTGATGCCAGTGGAATGCTCCTCTTCATTCATTCCTCTCTCTTTCCACTCATACTCACGAGGATATGGGATTTTGAACCAGGGCGCCGCGGCCAGGATCCCCGGCCGAGCGTCTGTGCGGGCGTGAAAACCATATTTCTCTTTCTCCGGAGGAAAAACGTTGGTTATGGTGAAGATGAAACACATGAACCAGGACACCAGGATCGCCATGATGATCTGAAACACAAACCGTACACCATTGTAGTATTTCATTCATTCATAAAAAACATCACACAAGGAAGTGACACATTGTTATATAGAAACAAAAGCTAAGAAACAAAGCTCCTCCTGCTATCCCCCCTCCCCTCTTCCTCCCCCTGTTCTCTCCTCTCCTCCCTTTCCTCTCTTATTTTCTCCTCTGTCTCCTCCCTCTCCTGTCCTCCCCTTCCTCTCCTTCTAGTCCTATATCTCTCCCTCATTCCCCCCTTCTCTCCTCTGTCCTCCCCTTCCTCTCCTTCTCCTCCTCTCTTCCTCATTCCCTCTTCTCTCCTGTCCTCCCCATCTTCTCCTTCTCCCCCTCTCTCTCTCTCTCCCTCTCCCCCACCCTTCCCTCCTATCCTCCCCCCTCTCTTACTTATCCTCTAATTTCCCATTCCTCCCTCTCCTGTCCTCCCATTCCTCTCCTCCACCTCCCCTTACTCATACTCCCTCTTCTCTTCTCTCCTCTCCTCTCCTCTCCCCTTCCTCTTCTCCTTCTCCCCTTACTCATCCTCTCTCTTCTCTCTCTCTACCATCCCTCCCTACCTTCTCTCCCTTCTTTTGCTTGTCACGGTTAAGTAACATCGCAATACCACTTGTGACCAGCAGGGGGCGACATTCACCACCACACGACAGCACTTCCCTCCTCACACCACACTGGACAAGTTTAATGGAATAACAAAGACATCTCTCACACTCACCGGAAACATCTTGAAAACTTGCAATCGATAGGACGTCCAGCCCTTCTTGGCCTTGTATATGGGGAGAGGGAAGTGGACGTTCCTCGCGTATTGGGAGAAAATCAGCACCAGAAAGATGGTCCTGCAGACACGGCAATCCAATTAGAGGAGACAAAATAAATGCCTTGCACCGCTGTGATCCCTGCTGGGCCATCTGCGTGACGGAGGCTCTCCCCACAGAGCAATCAATTAGACTAACAGCCCCCAAAGTGCGCAAACGACGGCCTATTACCGGCACGTCCAGCGCTCAGGGCCACGCGCGACTGGGGGCAGAGTACAGCCCAGAGTGGCACTGACGCAGCAGCTATTGCCGTCATCCCATCATCCCAGGGTCGAGTGTATCTTTCCAACGAATCAGCCGCTCTTATCTCCGCTGTCTATTTATACAGGCGTTCCATTACCGCGGCTGGGAGCTCATCGCACGGATACATGTGAGAGATAGAACTTTTTGGAAAGATTTCTACGCAATTATGATGTTTTTTCAGATATGCTTCAAAAAGATTATTTGATATAGGCTTGATGTGTCTCACTTTGCTAGTAACCAGTCTGTCATTTACCAGTATCTGCTTAATAGTACCAGTATCTGCTTAATAGTACCAGTATCTGCTTAATAGTACTAGTATCTGCCTAATAGTACTAGTATCTGCCTAATAGTACTAGTATCTGTTTAATAGTACCAGTATCTACTTAATACCGGTACTGGTATCTACTCAATAGTACCAGTATCTGCCCAATAGTACTAGTATGCTTAATAGTACCAGTACAAAGATAATTGTGTCATTTATAAAACACAAATATTCTTTACGGTTTGTTTAAACTTGATGTTAAAGTCGTCATGAAGAATAAATATTTAATGAAAGACTTGAACTGAACACTTCCAAAAACAAAAAGTCGTCGCAAAAAGAAGAAACAATGTGAAAAAGGTCAATATTTCAGAAAATGAAACTATTATGACCTCATATTTGATCATTTTTAGCAGTGCAGTGATAGAAACTGTTATTAGAGCCAGGAACATGTTAAATTGATCTTTTTGCACAAATCCAATGTAAGCGGTTTTGAAAGTTGTCATTAACAAAAGCACTCAGATTATTACACGACGCTAAGAGTCGTTTCTTTGAAGGATTCAGCTCGATAAGTGCCATTACGGAGCCACAGCCACAGCCTGCTCTGGTACTTACAACATGGCGATGCCCCAGTGTTTCCCGGCTCGCTCTCCGGCCGCCTCGAACCCGGACAGACCGATGAGGGCCACTGTGGGCGTGATGGTCAGGGGCCCGATGTATTTGAGCAGCAGCCCCGGCAGCCCCAGCGCGCCGATGCAGACCTCCACCGAGGACGCCACGATGATGGCCCCCTGGATCTGTTCAAACAATATATTTGTATTACTTTTTTTCCAACCTTTATTTAACCAGGAGAGTCCCGTTGAGATTGAGAACCTCTTTTTCAAAGGAGTCCTGGACAAGACGCAGCAAGTTACACAGTTACATAAAATTGCAGAATATAAAACACTTAGATTAGGACGTCTCAATGTCTATGATATCAATTCATAAAATAACAATTACAACAATAATAATAATAATGATAACGCTAACAAAAAGTATTAGTTATTGTACAAGTTCAGGAGTCAAATTAAGAATCAAAAGGCAAAAGAAAAAACTGCAAAAATAAATAGTAAAATGAATTTTCCAAAAACGCAGGAACAATATACAGGAAATAAAGGAAATTCATATACTGTACAGGGTTACAGGAAAGATACAGGATACTGTATATCAAACCAATGAAAAAAACTAATATATTTCAAACGGTTTAATAAAGTAAAACCTTTGAGTGTCCAGGAAAGTGCTAAAATTATTCTCATGAGTGCTTTCACCTCTCGTATCCTGGGGTGCCAGATGTGCTCTGTGTGCATGAGCTCTGAGCTGTTCATGGACGTGATATCTGCAGAAGAATTACAACATTCAGTCATGGACGCTTCAGGTCAAGATTAACATGAAGATTATGAGATACTTTATTTGGCTATAATAATAATCTCTATTTCGGATTCAAGGTTGATACAAAAGACAACACAAGGACACAACAAAGACACAGAGAAACACAAAAAAGTGTATAAAGTGTTAGATACTAAAAAAGAATAATATCTCTAGCTTTAGAATATAATAGTAAAGAACGGGTTTGAACAGATTTCCACCTGTGTTGTTGCACTTCCACTTGTCCAGGGAGAGAATGGCCCTCGCCGGAGCCAGGAAGGCGAACGCACTGGCCTGGAACAACGGCAACCTACGGAAGAAACGGATTCAAAGTTATGTCTGCAACTTCAATTGTATTTCATTTAGGAAAATAACAAATTTCACATATGACCCTGTGGAATATTCAGAATGATTTTATTATTGTTTTCTGAGGGGAAAGTGTGTGGTCAGGCCTGTGTCTTGGTGTGTGTGTGTTGGGTTGTGTTGATTGAATGAGAGGGGTTAGTGGTAGTAAGAATTGTATTAAAAAAAATTATGAAAAATGACAAAACAATTTGATACTACAACGACCACCACCACTAGGCCTGTCACGATAACACATTTTGCTGGACAATCAATTGTCTCCGAAATTATGTTGATAGCCAATAATATTGTCGTTCTAAGATCATTTTCATCTAATACAATGATAATGATGCAGGTACAGCTTTTCAAAGAGAAATAAACTTGTATTTTCAAAGACCACCGCCGGAAGTGGTAGAGACTATATAACAGCAGTATGTGTTCACGGAGGTGCGCCATATACGTTTATTTTATTATGAATCGGTACTTCCACATCTGCAAACATGCTAACACTAGCTGCGCTAGTACAGTCACTACTAGGCCTGAATATCAGGCTGGCATATGTTCACAACTACTGTGTACCCCCTTGTCAATCCTTGTTAAGTCCTGGTTTAGTCCTGGTTTAGGTCCTGTTTTGGCTGTATTTTGTATTTTTGAGTTATTTCAGTCTGCTTGCTAGACCACTAATGTCCCCGTGACCCCTTTGCGGCTCTCTGACGCGGGAGAGAGAGGGAGAGAGACGGGAAAACCAACAAGCATGCAAATGCAATGGCCAGAAAAATTGAGCAATTTTTAATTATTATGTGACATTAATTGAATAGGGCGACAAGCCTAACCCCCACCACCACTACCACTACTATTACTACCACCACTACTACTACCACCGCTACTACTACCACCGCTACTACCACTATCACTACTTCAAGTTAGACCAATGGGGAGGGCCGCTAGTTGTCTATGATAAAGACTTTCTGTCCCATAGCAGGAAAATGTCAGTGTTGCGTCACAAGTTACAGAAGAGTAGCTGTGAGGATATATAACAACATACATTCTTGTAGTCTATCAAGGATCTTAATTCACTGCGTCCAATCAGGAACTTGTGGGGACCGGTCTAACTGAACACTACATTATAACATAAAATTAGTCACGGTGTGTTACCAAAGACTTTCATTATATAACTTTATACAACGAGTTTAATCCATGTTTGTCTTGTTTTACATGAACACACAACAGAGAGCCACAGTTTGGAAACTCGTGTGTAATGTGGTTGTGTTACCAAACATCAGCCCAAGAATGTGACACAACAGTTTAACCAGTGAGAGCCGGTCTGGACATGAACGCTTTACACGGTTTAAAACGGCTAATTTGTGTATAAGCTGATCAACACCTGTATAATCATCTTAGGGTGGCACGGTTTGCATGTTCTCCCTGTATCTGCGTAGGTTTAATAGGTGAAAATACTGCAGCTACGGTAGTCCTGACCTAACCTGGTCGTACCACACCATAGTACAAATTACATTTTGTACTTGGGCGGCACGGTGGCTGAGTGGATAGCACACTCGCCTCTCAGCAAGAAGGTCATGGGTTCGAATCCCGGTTGGACCAGGGCCTTTCTGAGTGGAGTTTGCATGTTCTCCCCGTGTCTGCGTAGGTTTCCTCCGGGTGCTCCGGTTTCCCCTACCACTAAAAATATGTACAATAGGTCTGACATGTGACTCCTGTACTGGCACCCCCACTCACAAAAAAAATAACAATTGTAAACCGCTTTGAGACTCCGATGTGCAGTGAAAAGGCGGTATATAAATAAGATTACTTACTACTACTACTACTACTAAGGTTTAGAAGTGCTCCATTGTACTCAGTTAACAGTGGGAGGGGTTAACTCCTTTTGCAGATTGAAACGATTGGATCTGAGTTTACCGGCACGTACGTAATGCGCCCGAGTGAGTCATTAGCAGTTAGCAGTTCCGCAAACGGAGCCCGTGGAGAGAAGCGCCACAATCTTTTCCAGTGATTACATTTTCTAAAAATTCCTCTTGCTCCGGCTTCAATTTCTTGATAGACCCAGACCGGATTACTTTACTATCGCTTTCTTCGCCATTGCCAAACATCCAACCTGCACGTTCGCCGCAAACTGTTGACGTCACCCACAACCAGTGATGGGAATAACGGCGTTACTAGTAACGGCGTTACTAACGCTGTTACTTTTTTCAGTAACGAGTAATCTAACTAATTACTTTGACTGTAACTATAACGCCGTTAGCATTTCCGACATCCCGTTACTGCGCGTTACTCAAGACGCACAGTGAACTTCTCTTTTTACTTCGTGATAGGACTCGTGCGCGTGTTGTCATGAGAGAAGGGAGGATGAGAAAACCTCTCAGATGTTATTGGCTGATGTAAAACATATTTCCTTTACAATCTACATGTCTACAGTTGAGAGGATGGCTCATAAATTGTCTTTTTGAAACAAATATGGGTCTTAATCACGCTCAACCACGGCTTGTATCACCGTGAGGTCAGCCTCAGAAGAGCGCATGTGAGCGCAGAAGTCGGCTGCCTACAATTCCATCGATAAGCTCCTTTCTTCTCCTGGTTTATCTGCTAAGGACAGCAACAGGTTTGGCTAACATACATATAACATATTTAAGATCATTTAAAATGCACTTAGGGTAATTTTTCAATGACTATAGGAATGATAAGAAAGAGAGGTGAAGTGTAAGACGGTTGATTTTAGAAATCGGATGCACCCGGCTGCAGCTAGCAAAACAGAGGAGTTTATGGAGGACACACGTGTTTTGTTTTGCTTTTTAAAACTAATTGGACTCATTTCCAAATGGAGGATTACATATCTACGCTCAAACTATTATCTGGACTTAAACATGGAACTGGTCTGAAGCGAAGTGGTCTGTGCAGGTCATTTATAAGGTAAGACCCATAACTCTTAGTTTTGCGTTTTGTATGAACGTATTCTGCTGTAGCCAAACAAATAAGCCACTCTCTAGGTCCAGTTGATTTCTATGATATATATGTTCATCTGATTGGGCTGAAGTCAGTGCTTCACCGGTGTTTCCACATTCACAGTGGCGGGTGTTGGTGTTTAGTGCTTACAGCACAGAGAGAGATGAAGAGTGTACAGGACTTCAGCAGCAAAACAGCCTTTTCTAGATGGAAATATTGGCAATATTTCAGACTCACTGAGGTTAAAGGTTAAAGGTAAAAATGCGCACGTCGAGTGCACATTATGTTCCAGAACAAAACGAAAAAGTAACGCAATAGTTACTTTTACTGGTAACTAGTTACTTTTATAGTGGAGTAACTCCGTTAGTAACTCAGTTACTTTTTGGGAGAAGTAACTAGTAACTAGTAACTATAACTAATTACTTTTTCAAAGTAACGTGCCCAACACTGCCCACAACTAACTACAACACCCACCTCCCGCGCTCGCTGATTGTTCGGATGGATTTCAACCCATTGTAATCGCAAACACAGGGACCAGACCCAGACGTTACATGCAGTGAAATGATTATTGAGCGGAGTGTACGGATGGATAAGGCCAGACTAGTCCTGACCAAGCCGAGTATCAACATCTGGAGATGGGTTTCCGGGCGCTGTTACTACGGCGACCACTGGCTCCTGACGTAAGCCTGAGTGGCATCAGGATGGGTCAAATGCAGAGGAAAAAATCCCTACGGTGCCAATAAAGTGCACATTTACATTTTATTTACGGAAGGAAAAAATGGTGTGTTTCATGTGCGAAAGAAGCACTTTAATGATCTTGTTTAATACTTAAACTATTTTTATTGATTGGTTTCACATAATTTCTTGTACTTTTTTTGTTTGTTTTTGATGAACTTGTCTGGTGCACACTGGGGACTTTTGCACAGGTATTCCAATGTGGTTTTACTGCAAATGGCAAATAAACTGGGGCTAGTGATATGATAATTGGGTGCAGCTCTGACCCAGAAAAGGATTAAGGGGAAGAAAATGGACGGATGGCAAATAAACTGAATCTGAATTTTGGACAGATTTTTGACATTGTCCTCTTTGTCCATTTGGAACGGCCCTCTACGGGAGAGCCCAGAGTCCTCACTGGGTAAAACAGGAAGTCTCCTTGATTTACTTTCTCTCCACGTCCTTCCTGTGTGTTTTAAGATTATTTTCATATTTTACAGATCACCCAAAGTTTCGATTAGGCACCTAAAAGTTTCAAGTTACATGACGATGCAGGAGGGTCGAAGGACAGTGGTGATGATTACGGACTCTCGACATTCAACAACATTTATGAACTTTATCAACAATCGGTCATCTGCTCCTTATTGACCAATGGCTCTATGCGTTTTTTATTCATCATTGCAATTCCTATGTCTGAACCGTTTGATTCTTTGCCCTGGGTTGGCGAATCGAAAGCTTTGTAAAGTCCCCTGAGATAACTACTGTTGTGATTTAAGGCTACACAAAAATACATTTACATACATCTACTCGCCAAGACCGTATTTTTACTTCTTTTGGCAAATTTTGCTTTAGTTACTTAAAAATATGCTTAAATCATCTTGGAGGTTTCGTGTCAGATAAGGGCACGTGCTTGAGCTGCAGCTGCACTCTTGGACACTTCAGAGGGTTAAGGGGAGAGAGCAAGAGGAAGTGAGAGTGGTGCTCCAGTGAAGAGGAAGAATAGAGCTGCAGACACAGGCATGGGTGTCCTCACGGAGACAATAACACATGTTTAATAGACCACAAGTGACTATGGAGATAAAGCTATATACAAGCAGAAAAACACCCTGTAGAGCGCAGACCTCCGCTAACAAGGCAACAGTTCTATCCCTTTAAGATATTCCTGGATCTAGATCATCATCATTTTCAAGGTCTCCGTTGAAAAAGAGGTTATTAATCTTAATGGGACTTTCCTGGGACATTATATAAAGGTTGAAATAAAAAAATAATAATAAAAAACTCAAATATAAATTCTAGGGCCCCTTTAGATTACCAAAATCGTCCAGGGCTCAGGCTGTTCTGAGCTTTAGTGCATTTGTACAGTATATAGTAATTTTAAGAAATGTATGTAGTTTTTTATGTATGCAAGCATTGTTCCCTTCTACTTGAACTTGTTTGCACCGAAAGCCAAAGCAATTTTTTAGTTTTTGACTAGTTACTCGACTAGTCACTCAATGAAATAATTCTGATTAAAATGAGGTATTACATGTCTATATTGGTCCATATTTGATGGAGTTTACTCGCCATTTTTTTGCTATTGCCATTTGCAGTAAAACCACATTGGAATAAGACTTACCCCAGTGTGCACCAGACAGAGCAGATCGTACACACCAGAGCTCTTACCACAATCAAACCAGATACAACTAAAGCTGAACAAAGTCAATAACTGGATTCCAGAGATCCTGAGCTTCACATATAGGTATAGGCGGAGCTGAAGTTGGCTGGATGACACTGTGAATTTGAGTTTATGGTTACTTGCCACAATTGGGTCACGGCGCCGTAGTGACCTCAGCATCAACACTGAGCATGCACCTCCATTAACAAGATTTTATACAGTGCCTTGCGAAAGTATTCGGCCCCCTTGAACCTTTCAACATTTCGCCACATTTCAGGCTTCAAACATAAAGATATAAAAATGTAATTTTTTGTCATGAATCAACAACAAGTGGGACACAATCGTGAAGTGGTACGAAATGTATTGGATAATTTAAACTTTTTTAACAAATAAAAAACTGAAAAGTGGGGCGTGCAATATTATTCGGCCCCTTTACTTTCAGTGCAGAAAACTCAGTCCAGAAGTTCAGTGAGGATCTTTGAATGATCCAATGTTGTCCTAAATGACTGAGGATGATAAATAGAATGCACCTGTGTGTAATCAAGTCTCCGTATAAATGCACCTGCTCTTTGATAGTCTCAGGGTTCTGTTTAAAGCGCAGAGAGAACCATGAAGACAAAGGAACACACCAGGCAGGTCCGAGATACTGTTGTGGAGAAGTTTAAAGCCGGATTTGGATACAAAAAGATTTCCCAAGCTTTAAACATCTCAAGGAGCACTGTGCAAGCAATTATATGGAAATGGAAGGAGTATCAGACCACTGCAAATTTACCAAGACCCGGCCGTCCCTCCAAACTTTCATCTCAAACAAGGAGAAGACTGATCAGAGATGCAGCCAAGAGGCCCATGATCGCTCTGGATGAACTGCAGATAACTGGTTTCATACTGTATAGGGCCAGTGTACAGTAGATGCAGGTTTCAAATCTGTGTGCTCCTGCTTAAGTTGGTAGCACAGATAAGGGCCTGCAAAATGTATAATATTTCTAA